GAGAAAAAAAAACTCTACAAAAATAGAACAAAAGGCGTGAAATTCTACGCGCTTTACAAGTTAATTAACCGGACTGCCGGTAAAGTGAAAAGTGGCTCAATTTGAAAGTTTGAAGACCGAGAGATTCGGAACTCCCTCGAAATGCTAAGATCTCGCTTCTGTGATTTATTGGCTTGTTCGGCTCGTCGTCGCCTCTTGCTGAAACATTGCCTGTGCTTTATTTTTATAACAATGACAAACTAGAACAAGAGAAACCTTTTTTTGTGTTTTTTGCCAAAAACAAGCAAAAAACGACATACACATTCTGCACATTAAATCAATCGCAACCAACAGTATTGCCTTGTGCTTGCTGAACAGCTCGCGTGATCCCAGGACAATCGATCAAAGGCCCCAAGATGTCTGAGCTGCGTCGCAGTTTCAGCCGGCTCTCCATGATCGTCTTCAGAGCCACTCATTCCAGCGAACAGTCGTGGCGAGAAGAGCTCCTCAGGTAAATCCCAGGTAGAAAAGATCGATCGCCGATCAGTTAAAACCGTAGGAAAGTGATCACTTAGGTGTTTTAATGTGTGGTTTGCCAAAGTGAGCGTAAAATCTTTAGAACACTTTATTGATCACTATCTTGACATATATTTTAAACGGTTTTTTAAACTTTATTAGCTTTTTTATACCCTTGCAGAGCAAAGGGTATTATAATTTTGGCCAGAAGTTTGCAACGCAGTGAAGGAGACACCTCAGACCCCATAAAGTATATATATTCTTGATCAGCATCACGATCTGAGTCGAAATCCGCCTGTACGTCTGTCCGTCTGTCCGTCTGTCCTTCTGTCCGTCTGTCCGTCTGTCCGTATGTCCGTTTCTGCCTAAACTAGTCTCTCAGTTTTAAAGCTATCTTGCTGAAACTTTCCCAAAAGTTGTGTAGGTATTGCACGCAGTATATAAGTCGGAACGGGCCGGATCGGCCGACTATATCGGATAGCTCCCATACGAGAGAATGAAATAAAAAATGCTCACGCCGTTGTTTTTGGTCAGATCGACTTGAATTCTTCATGATGGCGCTTTCTAACTGTTATTGAATTTCGTATTAAATTTGAACAAAATCGGATAACTCTATCATATAGCTGCCATAGGAGAGATCGAAAAATATATATAGAATTAATGGAAATAAATTGACAGCATCGTTGTTTTTGATCCCACGAGCATGATTTTTTGAGTATCAAGTTTTTTAACTAGCCTTGATTTATAAAAAAAAATTTCATAAAAATCGGACAACTATATCATATAGCTGCCATAGGAAAGATCGAAAAATCTATATAGAATCAACGGAAATAAAATGATAACATCGTTATTTCTCATCAGAAAATCATGATTTTTGGAGTATAGAGTTTCCTAACGACTCTTGAATAACAAATAAAATTTCATCGAAATCGGACGACTATATCATATAGCTCCCATATGATCTATAGTCGGAAATATGGAAAATGAATAGAAAAATCGTTATAGCTTCGATGTTGTTTAGCCTTTATGCATTTTGTTCGACATATTTGATGACTGCAAGGGTATATAAGCTTCGGCTTGCCGAAGTTAGCTTCCTTTCTTGTTAAACTGTACTTTTACAAATCTTATATGTCTCGGCATGTTAATAATTTTTGAATAAATTAAATAAAAGTTCTAATTACATTTCCTACAATCTAGCCACGATTCCGGTTGTAGAAAAACTTATGCATCGTGATCTGCAGTCCAAAGATCACTTTCCATAACTTAACGTGGTTTCATAATGACTTACAGCAACCTAGTCACCCTTGAAGGTTATTTAAACAGCTGAACTCGTCACGATCTCTGTACTGTACATAAAAACATGTGTACAAATGTACATAAGTACATATTTATATATCTATACTATATATGCATCTGCGCATTGCGAGTTATAATGTTTAATCGAATACGGCATAAATATTTGTCTGAAAGCGTTTCCATTTTCTTTTTCGCGATTTAGCAATCTTTGCTGATATATCCGCTCTATATATAACGCCTTCAGATCAAAGCTTATATAAAACCCAAGAAAGGATGTTTTCTTCTCCCCTAATCATTTTTTTTTTCTTTAATGTGAATTGTTCACGATTTCCCTGAGTGGCCAAAAGGCCTGTTGACAACTTATGGCGAACGTATGCAGATTCATAATTATACTTTTCACTTTTGCCATTTTGATTTTGGCAAAGCAAAATAAATGAGGAAATGGGCAGGTGCATTACGTTTTGTAAAGGTAATTCAATGGTAAATAACTGTCCTTAACTTATCGAAACTTAAAGTATTAATTAGATTACTTGGTACCATTGAATCATCATTGTTTAAAGTGGGGAGACTTCCGGAATTAGTTTGAATACATACATCGCCTTACGATTACGAAACTCGCTGTACGAATGTCTGGCTGTCTCATTTTGATTTATGGACAGCAATTGCAACCCGTTTCATATAGTATATAGTATATATTCATTCGTAAAAATATGCATATGTGGTGGAATAAAGTACTCATCGAAATGCATTTCGTCTGGGCCATTACAAATCCCAGAAAAATCAATGACGTCAATTCTTGATTCTTTATGATCTTAACCAATCCGTATTGATTATGATCATGACCATGGTCAACTTATTTGCACCTTCGACGTATAGATTTGTAATACCAGATGGTCCAATTGCATTAGTTCGGCAAACAATTTGTTGGCCAATAGCCAGGTGATTGAAAAGCCACAGAAAAACTTGAAGGGGGTATCACCTCCAGCCCTCCACCTTTTGTCGAGTTCATTTTGTCCAAGGTTAGTTCTGTTTTGACTTTTTGTTTCAATTGCCGCGATTATCTCACAGGCTGAGCTTTAATTGCAGGCCATAACCCAAGGACCGCTTATCTGGCCTCCGCTTGTTAGATAACCCCTCAATATAATGAAACATTTTTAGCCTTCCATTTTCTCACTCACTCACCTGCTTTACTATCTGTGAAAATCTAAAATTTCAGCTGATATCATGCCAGTCGACGAAGTTGACGCATTAGTTCATATGTGTCGCCTGTTCCATTGAACTTGTTTTACTTCGCCCCTTTGGCGCCAACCGGTTTTTCCCCCAGGTATTGCATTTGGCAAACCAAAACCAAAAAAAAAAAAGATTATAAACAAAATAATAACAATAACAATGAGGCACTCTGTCGAAGCCGGTTTATTTGCATGAGCCAAACATCAGATTTAAACTAATGAACTCTAATGGCACTGCTGCCGCCCGGAGATTTCTACGAATTTTTATTGAGTTTCATCTGGGAGACATTACTGTTCTGGGAATTGCTCTCCCTCTTATGTTTTTAACAATTTGATTCATTTTTAACGAGGCTGTACAATGTTCATTTTTATCAGTCACTCCAATGACTCATTGAGAGATTCGTGTTGACTTGTTTGGAGTTTTTTAAAAGTTCCATTGACTTTTTGGTAGAAAAAATAATCTTAAGATTTTTATGGATCCGCAATTTTGAGTATTTAAATGATTCAGTTTCATTTCTTATCAGCACAGTTGAGAAATATGCAATAAATTTTCTTTATTTTGTCCGCTTATACGTTGTTTGTTTTCAAATAAGTAGTTCATAAATTAAAAGCCATTTATTTTTGCGTTTTATTTATTTTGGACTTGGAAAAAACATTTTGTTAATTTACACAAGTGATCGATTATTAAAAAAACAATATATAAATCATAAAGCTTAGGGACATGATCGATTCTATACAGATTGCCATTCCGAATCCATTTGTCGCAACTAACTCAATTAGTTTTCGATTCCACCATGCTATTAGTTCCTCCTTATCGCCACCTCTCACCCCTAAATTCACTGGACTTCACCTCTGTCGATCTGCTCAAGCTCCACTTGGAACAATTGATAATCGCTATAAAGCTCAGTTCCCCAATCTGAGTGGGGGCTTTTGCACATATTCTAGCGGATTTCAGTGCACAAAGCAAAGCGGACTGATAAAGCGTTTAAATGAATCGAAAACGGAATACATATGAATATGTAAATAACATTGTAAAGCAAAGTGTAGAGACAACTGCAAATATCAGCTGTTTGCAGGAGAACGCCCGCAGTTAAAGATTAATACAGTTACTTTCGATCCAGAGCACGACTGTAGATCCCCACTCATAGTCTTTCCAGTGCTATTTCGACTCTGGTCCCCCAATAAACTTTCCATGGTGATCTCGTGGATCCCTGGAACTCGTAGCACCAACAATAAAAGATCCAAAAGTGCTCTGTTTGCTGATCAAAGTGATCTCTTGGTAATCTCTTGTACTTGCAGTGTCAGAAGTTTACCATGAAAACTTTAAAACATTAAAACATCGAAGTGATAAAATAAAAGAGTTAAAAACCCCCAAAAATCACAGGGTACCCAAAGTGATCTATGTGAATGCGCAACCCTGGCGTCCGAAGTATCAACAATTGATAATCGCCAAGTGCTCCTCATGCTGTTCTTTATCGGTCTGGTGTGTTTAGTCTGCCTCTCAAGCGTTTTGCTCCAAGCTATGATTTGGTAAATTAATCAGATACCCGTGCATATCCGATAACTATTGGTATTATCAGGAAGAGTGGCGAGGACAGACGGCTGTGGTTTTTGTCTTGCGACTTCCTGTTGTTGCCATCCTTTATCATTCCGAACAAAGGCCGGCTATAATCGGTTAGCTCTGTGTGCATTGTGTTCATTACAGTTTTTTTGTTATTATAGTGGGTGTACTGACTGCTAAAAAAAATATATTAAATTGTAGTTCAATACACTTAATCTCCTTATTGCAATAGGGTGCACAAATCTGCACTTCCAGGAGCCATAACTCTATTCATTTTAAACCGAATTGAAAATGACATGCCTCTACAGTTTTGTAAATAGATTCTTAAAAAATGTTTCACGCCCTTACCCAATACACCGCTTCCACCTATTTATGTGCCATATTAATGTGTCAATCTATATCTTCTTTTTCCATTTTAGGTACCGGCAGACACGCTTCAGCTCGCGGCGTGTTAGAAAACGTGTGGTCTTCAAGCACGGTGAGTGCAATGTGGTGCAGGGAAATGTGGCGAAAAGACGGCGTCGATATCTGCAGGTGAGTGGTGGGAGTTTTGGGGCGTGGCAGTGCGTATATCTATATCTAGCCGAAGGCCCACTTGCGTTCGATTTGTGTGTTATATTTAGCCCTCCTCTCGCGGCTTTTGCATAACGTTCTCGGCGAGACTTTGGCAGTAATTATGTAAATTTATTTGTATTACTTACAAGGAAATCCAAAATAAAATGAGTTTCTCAAATCAAGCTATAAACTGCCAAAGTTTCTGTAAAATTCAATTAATATTTTGAAGCAATAAAGCTGTCTTGTAAATTGTTTTGTCTGTGTACCACTAAAGTTTCGGTAAATCTATATCCTAAGTTTTTTTTCCAGGACATATTCACCACCCTGGTCGACGCTCAGTGGCGCTGGACGCTGCTCGTCTTCGCCGCCAGCTTTGTCTTCTCATGGGCCTTCTTCGGATTCATCTGGTGGATTATCGCCTATGCTCACAATGATCTGGAGTACACCATCCTGAAGAACAACTCCCCCGATCTGGTGGCCAATATGACGCACACGGTCTGCGTGACCCAGGTGTCGAACATGATGTCCGCCTTCCTTTATTCCGTGGAAACGCAGACGACGATCGGTTATGGTAATCGCTATGTGACGGAGGAGTGTCCCGAGGCGATATTCACCATGTGCATCCAGTGCATCACGGGCGTCTTTATCCAGGCCTTCATGGTGGGCATTGTGTTCGCCAAGCTGTCGCGTCCCAAGAAGCGTGCCCAAACGCTGCTCTTCTCCCGAAACGCTGTGATCTGCCATCGGGATGGAGTTCCCTGCCTGATGTTCCGGGTGGGCGATATGCGCAAGTCGCACATCATTGAGGCTCACATCCGAGCGCAGATCATCCGGAAAAAGGTGACGAAGGAGGGCGAAGTGCTGCCCTTCTTCCAGCAGGAGTTGCATATCGGAGCCGATGGTGGCGAGGATCGGCTGATGTTCATCTGGCCAACGACCATAGTGCACAAGATTGACAGGAATAGTCCGCTGTATATGCTCTCCGCGTCGGATATGCTCAAAGAACGCTTCGAAGTGGTGGTTATGCTGGGTGAGTTTTGATTTAATTCACTTTTAGAAGGTGTATACTAAGTGGTTTTAATATTTCAGAGGGTGTCATCGAATCCACTGGCATGACCACACAGGCCAGGAGCAGCTACTTACCCTCGGAGGTGCTGTGGGGCCATCGCTTCGTGAATGTAGTGTCCTTCCGCAAGGAGACCGGCGAGTACGAGGTGGACTACACGCTGTTCAACAACACCTACGACGTGGACACACCGCTGTGCAGCGCCAAGCAGCTGGACGAACTGAAGTCGGAGTACACGAAGAGCGCCAAGAGTTGTCCCGGCCTCGGGGTGAATGCACCCTTTGCGGATCGCACGCTCTCGGCCAGCATGTTTCAGCGGATCGCCTCCGCCGCCTCGGTGGATCATCTGGATCCGGCGAGCGACGAGTCGCTGGACTCGGGCCGTCTGCAGATCCGCTCCCATTCCATACCGAACGGCGTGCTGGCCAGCGAGCTGGAGCCGCTGAATAACAACAAGCACGGCGCTTCGTTCACCATGGGCGGTCTGACCATCACGACGACGGCGCCCAGCATCCCCAACCTATCCAGTATTAACGAGAAGACCAACTCCGGCAATTCCATTAACAGCAGCAACTACAGCAATAACAATAGCCTGAGCACGCTGACCGGAGGAGGAAGTGCTGCCAGTGGACCCGGCGGTGGTATCACCATTGTGGCCGGCTCTGGCAACAATGGAGGCGGCAAGCACAAGTCGAACCCTCGTCGGCTGAGCATCAAGCAGGACCAGCTGCCCATCGATTCCATTTGTTGATATTATTAAATTGAGTTATATGATGTTGTATTCTAGTAAAGCATTAGGCTCCCACCATAATTCTAACTGAAACTAAGCTAAGCGAGATTCCACGGAGAGCTCATCTGTCATAGCCATAGAGCTGCTGCAGCTGTGAACACCCACACTATTAATGCCCTGCTGAACTGGAGGCAATCTGATTGTTATCCACCCACCCACTAATCCTTGAAACGATTGTACTATATTATATGTGTAGGCTAAGATGATGAATGAATGATTCGCGTTGTTAGCTTTACTTGTATTGAATTTACTATAGTTAAGTTACAAATTGATATTACACCGCAAAGTAAGATGTGAGACACAGAAACCAAAATGCTGCAACTTCCTCGTAAGCTTAGACCTATAGAGAAATGATAAAACAGCTCACAAATAATATACAGAAATGAATTTGAAATTTATGCGAAGACGCAACGGAATTGTAAATTCCCTTTTACCCGATAATAGTTGTTAAATGTTACTCACTCAATGAGATAGAAAATGTAAATCTAAAATTAAAAGAGTAAAACTGTTTCAAAAACAAGAGCTTCAATTATAAATAAAATGAGTGGACAATAAAATTGTATGAGTATGTGAATGGTTGATTAATGTATTTTATATTTAAGCGTCACCCGAATTGTGAATATGAAAGACGGAAAATATAATATAAGATGAAAACAGAAAAAAGTCACTGACGGGTTTCACTTGTGGTTTGCTATTTTAATAGTAAAATTCCATGAATTAGAATGGGAAGATTAATAAATAAGTTTCACTTACTATATTTAAACTGAAGTAGAATGGGTTATTCCTCTATTAAATCGAAAGAGTTATTTCCATCGTTGCGTATTCCTATCTTTTTTATACATTTTGAGAATCACTCGGAATAAAAAGACAGTTGAAGTATTTTTTAGTTGTTTTTCTTTAATTTTGACGTTTTCTTTGTTTAGCTGAGGAAAAGTTTATCATTTTTAAAGCATACAAATTTCTCATATGAAACATACACAAATATATAGCGACATACAAGTACAGGGGATTGATTGGTCAAGGGGAGCTCAGAGATCTTTGCAATTCCGGATCCCCTTTTAATCAAAATTTACGTTAATAGAATATGCGAAGGGGTTCTTTTAATTTATTTTATATGTCCGTAGGCGTAGTAGTACAGTAGTAGTTATTTAGTTAAATTTCAATTTACAACAAATAATTCCTTTTATTAAAGTTGCGCATTTTCAATGAATTTCGAAGTTTTCGTTTTCGACCTGTGAAAATCGACCTTTAAATGTGCGCGAAATTCATTACAACAATTAAAATACATATGCCTATATTAACAATAGATTTTTGTTTCGTTTTCGTAGCGGATCTGTTTAAGTTGATATCGTATTTGTATGTTTAATCATTACGCATAGCTGTAGCTTAGTTTAAAGTTAAACTCTTTATGCTTTAGGACGTGTTTAAGAATATTAAATATTAATATCTCTTAATCGCTTATCAACTAAGCCGTTACCAGGACAGTTAAGGGGCCGCCCTAGCAAGGGCAATTATTTTTGTTTAGTTTTTGTATCTGTTTCTCTTTTTTTTTTGTTTTTTCTTTAGTTTCTGTGAGGTGTTTTAGCACACTCTTACTATAGCCTAGTGCTGGTTGGTTAAATGTTAGCTAAGTTTAATTTTGTATTTACAAATGCTAAAAGCTAGCCCGAATGATACGCTAATTTGTGTTACTTTTTGAGAATGGGATTTTGATAAATGCCTTATGAATTTAGAACGATTTACAATATGTACCTATGTGGTAGATCTCTCACTAGATGATAACTTACGATTAAGTGCTTTACGGGCGTAATTCATGAAATGTCCAGCAATATTTTTCAACCTTTACAACTGTTTTTGTGTTTTGTGTGCCTATCATCTAATTTATACATTTCTCTACATCCATCTTTGTGTTTTCATATTTTACAAGCTAATATAGTAGAGACGTAAACGGTTTCACCATCAAATATTGTTGGACGACGCGTTGATAAGTAATGGGTGATTGTGAATGTGAGTTGTTTACTGATTTACAAATTCATTTCAAGCATATTTGATTACATTCGGTTCGGCTCTGTTTCTCTCTGGGTTTTTGTCTGTGAGCTTGCGTTCCGCGGCGCCAAGAATTCATAGTTGACAAACTGATTTATCACAAGTAATGTTTTTTAGTAATTGCAATTAAGTAAAAAGGCTTCGCACGCACACTCCGGAAGGGGTAACCACTTGCAAGACGAACTCTGGTCGAGTCCAGATAATTAATTAATTAAAAAATAAATAACAATCATGCTGACTAAATGAGTAAACCATAAATGGGAGGAGGATTGGTGCGATGAATGAGGCAGCTCAAATTGGCCGACAGCAGCAGGTCCAACAAATGTTGCCAGCAACATGTTGCAACTAGTACTGAAGAGGAGTAACCAAGTCGCCGCTTAGTAGTACAGGTAACTGTTGTTCAACATGTCGTAGCGGTAATCGAACTGCTGTTGCTGCTGCTCGGATCGATGCTGCTGCTCGCGCTGGAAGCTAGTGAACCAACTCTTAGTTGCGGCAATACGCAACAGGTACTTTCATTCCTTGCGGTGCTGCTGTTGCTGCTGACCTCCCGGCTGCTGTTGCTGCGTCTGCAGATGATGTTGCTGCGGCTGCTGCTGTTGCAGGTGGGGCGGCAACCTCGACTGCTGCTGCTGCGACATTCCACTGCCCACATGTTGCGCCTGCATTCCGTGTTGGCTGTGATGGCCATGCATGGGCGCCTGGGTGGCTCCATGCCCGTTCAGACTTCCTGCGCCAGCCGACGACACTGCATTCGAGGCAGCGGTGGCCGTACTATTACCCTCCGACTTGTCGCGAGGCAGCAAGTAAACGGAGCCATCGGCAGCCTGTTGCAAGCTGTAGTCCGCCGGCGAGCAGGGATTGCCCTCGGGATCCCGCAGATACTGCAATCGAAAGAATTGATTTAGTTTGGGTTCTCACAACGAAAGAATTTAAGTACCCACCTGGAAGACATGGCGATGCAGCATGGCAAACTTGTTCGAAATCCTCTTGCGCTCGCTCTCCAGATGATCGCGGGCCTGATTCAGCTCCGTCTTGCGCTTGACCACCGCGTTCACCTCATCCTCGAGGGTTAGAATCTGGTCCAGTTTGCGTTTGCGGCAGTTCTGGGCAGCCACCTTGTTCTTGCCCCGCCGACGAATGTCCCGGATCAACGACAACTGATTCTCGCTAAGGTCGTACTTGGACAACCGCTCGTTGAACTCATCCATGGGCAGGTTGATGATGTCTTGCACCGAAATGGGTATGTTCAGGGATCGGGCACGCTTCTCGTCGCGTGTCAAATGCTCGTCCTCCATGCCACTGCTACTTCCGCCGGCACTGCTGCTGCTGCCGGCACTCGTTCCCTTCGAAGCGGTCTTAGTGGCCACCATCGGCTTCTTATCGCGTGCCTGGGGTCTGGGCAGGGATCCACTTCCCTGGGGCAGCGAGTAGGTGTGATTCAGTTGCACCAAGTCCTGCGAAGTCCTTGGCGAAGGTCGCACTGTATAGTCCCCGGAGAAGCTGCTGCCGCTGGCTCCCATTCCGTAGGCCTGATGATGATGGTAGTCCTTGGATAGAGCAGGTCCCATAGCTCCGGGTTCGGTGATGCCACCGCTGGCCATTCCCGAGGAGGCGTAGCCAGCATCGAACTCGTACTTGATGCTCTGCGACTGGACTGCCGTTGCAGTGGCCGGCGGAGCGGTGGGCGGCAGAGCCGAGGGCGTCTGCTTGTGGGGATCCCGCTTGCCGTACAGCTGATGCTTCTTTTGCGCCACCGGCGGCTGACGTGTGGCCGTGCTCAGCCGCGAATTGTTGTTGTAGCTAAAGTCATAGGGGCCACCGTATTTTCCCTGATGATAATCTTGGGCCGAGTCGCTGCCCTCGCCCCACTCCCCGTCGGAGAGGGACGGCACTCGCTCCGAACCCATCGAACTGACAGCACTGTCGCTGGACGCGTCCAAGCGATCCGCACCGCCCTGTGCTCCTGCACCGCCGCTGGCCAGTAGATCAGCAGTCATGCCCGCTGCTCCAGTGCCCACAGCCGAGCCGCTCATTGGGCCCACGCCGCCGGTTGCTCCGTTGGCCTGGTTGCCGTGCGGATTGCCCGCCGCCAGTTGAGTCGAGCTGCCAGAGCCGTTGCTGACATGTCCACTGCTGGGCAAGCCCAGAACCGAGGAGTTGTTGCTGGTGCTGTTGTCCACCATGCGACAGAAGCCTGCAAGAAGAAAAAGTGGGAAATATCTACTTAGTATATTTCATAATACAATTTACAGGAATTTACAATGAAAAATTCAATGCAATTTAAGTGGTCATTTATTGGTTATTCCGATCAATAGCAAACTAACTCATAAAAGCATAATCTAACTACCTGACTTAACAAGTGTTCTATTGGGCTATCAGTTAATTGCTACAATCGTATGATTGAAAAACTTGATGATATTAGGTTGTGTTGCAATACACAATAAAGTTATTCTACCCTCTTCAACGATCGGAGCCGAACTAGTTCTTTAATTTTTGGTGCTGATTTTTGGTCTGACCCACTTCACGTAGACAGGGTTTATTAGAGATTCGTCCTTATCACAAGGCACGTCTTGAATCACTCGCAGCTTCGATTATTCAGCACAAATTTACGACTAGCATTCTGGCCGCTTGGCAAAATACGTAAAACTGTGCAGTCATTCCATATTTCACTGAACTTATCTTATCGCGCGATAAGGTATGAAATGTGTGTGTGTGTGTGTGTGTGTGTTGAGAGTAGCTCGTGTGCTTCTCCCATATTTTTAGCTGTTTCGCAAATACCTGGCCACATTTCCACATCTTTTGACTCTGATAAGGAGGAGTCAGATCTGCTCCCCATATCTAATCGTGCAGTCGAGACCACAAGGCAAAAACAAGACGACACGCCCAAAGGGCATATTTTTTGGGGCTCATCAAAAACACGTAATCTCCATGTGCAATCTCTCATTACTGTGCGCTTGCAGTTAATTAGTCAAATCAATTCGTAAGCTGATTGGGGCAAGCTCTCGTGTATTTGTATACCCTCTGTGAGCAAGGTCAAAGCTTAAGGGGGTCTTCCTATGTGATGGGTTGAAAAAATCGATTTTTTTTTTTTTTCATAAATTGCTCCCTTAACATGTCTAGAATACGGTAGTAAAGCGATTTTAGAAAATTCGAAGTCGTTTTAAAGATACAGCAGGTAAAAGAAAGAGCGGTTCGAAGCGCTGCGTTGGCAGTTAGAAACTTTAAACGCGTTTTTCTCAAAACTGTGTTTTTCAAACTTTCCTCCATTGTATCTCAGAAACGGCTGGACCGAATTACTTGAAATTTACAGGGCACACTCAATATATGTAAACGCATGGAATGAACTATTATCAATCGAAAATTTTCAAAACTTCGATTTTTTTATAGCAAAAAACAAAAAAAAAAAAACGCCAAATTTGCAACTTTTTTTCAAATGTCTATCAAAAATCCAATTTTTTTATATTCAGTTGATTGTAGTTCATTCCGTGCATTTAAGCCTACAAATTAAAACGCCGTTTATTTTTTTTCTTCTGATAAGCCGATCAGCCGGAATCGTGGAGGAAGTGGGAGCTCTTTTTTTCGAGGCGGGGGTGTTCAGAGCGCTGTAACTCTAGTTTGACCGAATATTTTTTGCTGAAATTTTTTATTTATACTGTCCAAATATGTGTTAATAAATGATAAAAAACTTGAAGCTCTAAATATTTACTGGTCGTAGAAAAAAAATCCTAAAATAACCCTAAAAAACAGGCCGTCACATAGGAAGACCCCCTTAAACCATAAACATTGATGACTTGACAAAATGCAATACTTTGTATGAGCACGAACTGTATATAAGTACAGGGCTTACTCATTTTAATGGAAATTATTATTTATAAACTTTTGCCAATAATTGATAATTTAAGAAGTGCTGATAACAATTATGTTTTTATTAACTTGTCCTTATACTGTACTCGTCATTGTGAATTTCAATGTATGTATTTTAAAAGAGATTTCGAAAGCCGGATTAGTCATAAAAATGATAGGAAGTTGCAAATCAAATATGGTAAAAATAGCTGGAGTACTCAACACATGTTTACTGTTTGTTGACTATAAGGAGCTTTTCATTGTTAAAATTAAATTGATAGCTCTGTTAAAAATAATAATAACTAAGCACTTCTAGTATTTATGATCCTCTCATATCGATAGTGCACTGTAAGCGAACAGGAGAGTTATCAGCCACGAATTGAACGCAAGACATAACGGAAACCATAAAGATAACTGTTAAAGCCAGTGACACGTTTCATGATGTGCAGAAAAAAATGTAAAATTAATACGAAAATCGAAATTGAGAACGTCTTTGTTTCGCTAACACGTAACCCACTAACGCTCTCTTCCCTTTGAACTCCACACCAACCCCTTAGAATTCGCGTCAAGATATTTAGCAACTATTCATTTGCCTCTCTATGCTCTTCGAGCTTTTTTTAACGTTATTGTTTCGAAAAGCGATGACTCAGCAGTTTAAAAATAGTAAACAGCAAACAGGCGGGCAAATAATAAAAAAAAAAAAGAAGAAAAAACTTGCTGAGCGGGCATTAGGCAGCGCGAGAGGGAACGGTGGGGGTATAGAATCCGCTCGAGAGAGAGAGAACGTTCCGCTGATATCAGCGACAATAGCAGCAACAACAAAGATCGCCGTGCGGCATGACTAATGAAAAAATTGTTACGCGGTCACAAGTAAAAATTTTAGAGGGCTTTTGCTCTTATTTTTTCGTGTTTTTGGCAAGGGGCGCCGAAAATAAAACCACCCCCAAAAACCGACCGATCCAGAGCAATATCTATTTCCCTGATCACTCTCACCTGTTGAATTGCTTTCACCGTTTTTGGGATGCTGCTAAAACCGCTCGACATCCACGAAATGAAACTCACTGAGCGAACCGATACGTATATATCTCGAATATATTTCTACACTGCTGGCAAATGCGTCATTGTTTTATCAAATTCGTTATGCTAATTACATTAAGCGTACGGCACGTTGCGCGACTATTATTGTGATATTTTCTTAGGCGTACATATAAATTTTTTAATGGGTTTTCGAGTCGCGTCGGTTCTAATATTTACTTTACTATCGTATTCGATTGTTCGTGTTCGACTGATTTGCCTTCGCCTCGCGCTCTGTTCTTTTCGCTTTGCTTTTCGCCCTGCCTCTCGAGTGAGTTGTTTTTTACTTTTTGCTTTTTGTCGCCCGAAATGAGTGAGCGGCATCGGCGAAACCTGAGCGATCGCTCAAACTCTGAACTAATTGTACGAAATTTCGTATGCTAATCGCGTCAGAACGATAAACGGTAGAAAAAAGCTCAAGCTGCTTGCGCACGCGCTTTCTCAGTTATTCTGAGTCGCGACTCGCGAGTTTTGAGTCAAAGCTTTCGGGTTGAGTGGCTAGTGGGTGGTGACGATTCGCATTCCACTAAACAGAACAAAGCTTGCTACTGATACAAAGAAACGGAACTTTTTGGCAAACGAAAAGCTCAGCACTGAGAAAAAATTCTAGAGTGTTCAGAAATAACTAAATCCTTTAAGATATCAGTTTGGAATTATCCGATTTCACTTCAAGTATATAAAATATGTTTTTAAAAGTCTCAAATTCTTATAGAAAAAAGATATTAAAACTTACTCTCATTCATGTCCATCAAGTGGAGATCCTCATCGGTGAAGATGGAGTTGATGAAGCCATCCGTTTGGTTAATGTCCGAAGAAGTGTTCTGTAAATAGGTAACACAATGTTCGTTTTAAATGACTGAATCCAAAAACTTAATAGAGATTGTTACTCACCCCGTAGTACATCAGATCGTGCTCCACCTTGTAGGCAGCTGCAGCTGCGGCGGCGCCATCAGCTTCATGGCTGGAATTGGTAAGATGCATGCTGGAGCTGACCGCCGAGCCCAGATTGTGGCCATAGTGGGGCTGGCCGGTGGGGCAGATCTCGCCCAGAGCGGCATTCGGGTGGTGCAGCATGGCCGCGTGGTGCGGCGGCGGTGGTGGGGGTGGCTGCAACGGAGCCGCTGCCCCACTTCCGTACTGACCATGCTGGCCGGGAGTGGGGGGCTCCGTTCGAGGGACTCGCCTGGTAGGAGTAACCCGGGTAGTGGTGCGAGTAGGGCGACATGTCCGAGACACCACCCACCATGCTGGGGATCGGGCTGAAGTAGGTGGCAAAGTCCTGGAGACGCTCCATCGAAACGCTGCGATTCAGACGCGGCATGCGGCCCTGCAAGTTAAAAAATTGGAGGGAGAAGAAAGACATTGATTAATTCGGCGCTCGTCGCTTAGCTCTTGTTGATGTATTAACAAGGTGAGAAGGGTTCGGAATTACGAAAACTTATAACTCAATAACCGATCAATCATCCGCCGGGGGAATTCTCTAGAAACGCGGCCAGACAATAAGCCGAATTCAAATTGCGCTACAAGTAACAATCTCGTGGCTGTCAGAGTCTCAGACTCACTCGCTCCTCGTCGTGTAAGCCAAAAAACGTGCACAATGTATCAGTCTGGCGATTTGACTGCCAGATCGATCAAATCGGAATTGAAATGAAATTCGTATCTTTCAAATTGACAAGTGCTCGAGGTTCGCAGCCCAGCCAGTGGTCTCTTGGCCACAGTTTTTGGTTTTGGTTTCGTTTTATTTCTTGTTTTCCTAAGACTCCTCTGTAAAAAGCTGTAAGACTTCGCCTGACTGATGGCCGGGCATCGTGAGACTACTACTACTTCATTAGGCCGTCTTTTGTTATTGTTAATTACCGGTGGGTTTATTTATTTATTCAACTAATTCCGCAGCCCGAGCGTGGGCGAATGGCAAAGATATTATGTATTATATATACATACTATATAAACTCCCCCCGCACACCAAACTCACACTCACTGTCGAATAATATTCCTCGAACTGCGATCCTTTATCGATTCCTTTTGCGGCACCAATTTGTTTCCGAGCGCTAAAGATGCAATTAAGATCTTTCTGAGATGAGATACCTATATCTGGCTGACGTTGACGCTGATGCACTTTGACACTGACATTGCCGCGAGATACGGATCGAAAAATCGAACGAAAACTCCGACAAAAGAACTCTGAATTCCGACTGCGATCGAACTCCTTTGCGCGTTGACGTTGAGTTGTCGTTTGACCGGCACCAGCTTTCTGACTGACTAACCAACCGACCGGCTGACTGACGGACGGAATGACAGTAGCCAAGGCGAATCTCACACAGATACGCCGAGATGGATGCGCGTTCTTGGTGTGAGTGAGGGCTGAACAAACACAACCTGCATGCGAGAGCGTCTAATGAATGCCCCAACACGCTCCTGAACGCAAACAGGTAAGACCAAAAGCGGCAGGTAGGAGCCATCGTCGAGCATTGGGCGTTAACTTCACAGCCAGTTGCAGTCGCTCTGTATTTTTGTATCTCTGTATCTCTTCGCGCTTGTATCTGTGTGTGTGTGTCGGTGAGTGCGCAACGCGCATGTGTAATTTGAATTGTCACTGTCTTGTCATTAACTTCTGGTGTTGGCCATTGTTTGTTACGCTTCACAGGCAAACAAATCCAACCGCCGACTTAGACACGGTAGCCGATCTCCTTGCACACATACTATATCGATCTGGAGTGAGATCGTCTGGGGGTTTTTTGTGTGTGCCCAAGAATCTATTCTTCGGAACCTCTAATTCAGCCTCAACCGTTACAGGGATCGGTGAAATGGGAGGTGCTGGCATTAGATTGCATATTTTATCGGGGGAATCACTATCATTTAATAGTGTTTCATTATTAGCAATCCCATTAACGGTTGTCGTTCGGGTTCCGCAAGATTTCGATTATGATCTAAAGCGGCTTTTGCATCTCACTGGGGATATAAGGAAGTATATCTTCTAATTCCCTTCAAAGTTCAATTAGTTTGTAAGTTCCTACACCTAAACACGTATTCTTTCTAATTTATAAGTTAAATGCCTCGCTTAAACTTAATTTGGTTGAGCAATAACAATTTTTAATTAACCGTAAATTACCTCAAATTAATCATAGATTTGATTAATTCGTAGGAAACCACGATTCAAATGTGTTAACAATTATTTAAATGAGAAGCAATACTTCAAATAAATTGATGTACAAAAGATATTTATACACGAACACGAGTATCTGAACTTGAATATTAGAGGATTCAAAACAAACAGATACAAGTGCAATTGGATCCAAAAATATATTTTTAATTGGAATACTTGAAGCCTTGTCAAAATCGTTGTTTAATGATCAAAACAAACACATTGTTTTTGATATTTGCTAAACATATTTCTTGGAAATCCTAATGTATTAATCGCAATGCGGGAATCACCGATTAGACTACCTCATTCTATGATTTACTTAGTCCGTGTTGCCAACGGCCCACAAATCCCCTCGAGTCCCTTGCCATCACACCTGAGCGGTAGTTTCGTGTGTTTTTTGTCATTAACTTGATTTATGTGTGTGCACAAATCGAGTCCCATGACAGCCGCAGTCTGAACTGAGTTCCTCAGTTCGAGTCGCAACTTAAGCCTCCGCAGCCATCAAACTGTTTACATAAATTGAATTAAAATCGTACGGCAAAAAAATCCGGAGGGGAAAAAACTACAGCCAAGAAAAACAACGAAGCGAGTCAAAGCAAAACAGAGATGCTGTAAAATAATTAATAAAGTTTTTTTCTGTCTCGCTCTGCGCTGATTTTTCAGCGTTAAGCTTTTTGCAAATATTTAAAATTCACATAATTAAAGCCGTGCAGGGCGATTAGGTGACGAGGGGGGAAAGGGTCGGACATTAAGAGATAAATTTTTTTGTAATTCGCGCGCGCTAAATGGGGATTTAATTGCAGGGGCTACCGCCGTCGAGCGGCTCAAAAGATGCAATCAAGCTGAAAGGGGAGGGAAGGGGAAGGGAGGGGAAATCGGGGGGCAGGCACCGCTGCAAAGTGCCACCGAATTCAATAAACACTTCGGCCCCATGCGGAAAAGTCAAGTGGCGCATTGCAACGACACAGAAAGAAAAACAAAAAAACAAAAGCCCCGAGCAAAAAGTCAACGGCAAAGTGTCCGTAATGAACGCAGGCGCCTCCCTTCCGCCGATCCACCTCCCCACCGCCCCCTTTACATTGTCTCCCTCGAGAGCTTAGCTTAGTGATTGCAATTAGCAGGAGGTACACAACAAAAAATATTAATTTCAACAGGTTAAGATGGTATATTACATTATCAATCAAGTTTTGTAAAAGAATATCCATCTACGAAAAAAACATTGGTTTTTAGAAGTTACAAATTATTTGATCGATTAACTGTTAAACAAGAACAGTAGTATTTTTTACTCTTACATTTCAACTACTAAGTTAACTATTTCTCTCTGTGTATTGATAGCCAGAGATCTCTTTCGAGACACCTGAGGACAGGTAGGCACATAGCAACGTCGCATCATCAATGAATGCAAATGGCAAATTAAATGTGATCAGGAAGTTGCGTAATGATTATTCGCACAGGATCAGGCGAAGATGTGCTGGAAAAACAAAGCTCAAAGCCGCCTAATGACACTTTCTTCTTAACGGTTTATTCGAACGGAATGGGAAATTCCCCCCAGAGAGTCGGCAAAGGATTTAGCCGACAAGAGTTCCGCAGAATCCTGCGAATAAACGATCATCTGGCTCATTAAATGGCTTTGCAAGTGCCGAGAGTCGGAGAGCCGGTGACCCGCTGACATTCACAAAAACTGCACAACTCGACGGACCACATCAAACACGCCGGACTAAGGCTAATCCACCAACTCTGGGTGACCACTGTGGTTTTTCTTTTAGCCGAGGTGGTTTACGGTTTATGAGTTTGCTACCGGCGAAAAGACTTTACGGTAATTGCCGTTGACTTCATGACTGCTTCGCCCTCATTGTGCTGTCTCTTTTGTTCACTGTATGTCCGTCTCTTTCTGGGCGGATTAGGTAGGTCAAAGGTTGTGGCTTGGCCTGAATGAAGAACTGGAAGCACTTGTTCGGTCTGGAGTTGTGGTGGATTAATTTTATTGGCCACGAATAAGGGAGCAAACGTTGTGCAAACAAGAAGGGACTTAGTTGTGAGGACAATCCTTGGAATTCTATCGGGTTGTTGCCAATATATTATTGGAGGTAAAGAATAACAAGAACTGCTAGAAACCGGCTTAAAAAATATCTTATGAAAACGTCAAGAAACTTCAGAGCAGCTCAGTCAAGTTTTAAATCCAAGATGGGAGACTCTGAGTTATGCCTTCCACACAAAAAGCCGTCTCGGTCTATATGTATATATTATTTTAACTTTGCTCGCATTCGCCTCACAATCCGAATTTTGTTGCTGTTCCCGTACATTTTCGATGAGAAGTTACAACAAAAGCCAAAAAATAATAATACAAAAATCCGTCCGCCAAGAAACGGCTAAAAAGCGAGTGAAGAATGAAGAGAGACCCAGAAGACTTGGGTCTTGATTGACGAACTTGTGGCTGGAAACGGAATAAAAGCGTGAAACTTTTGGGGCGGAAGGGAAAATGGGGGCAAGGTGCGAGCCATGTACAACCAGATTTGAAGCTTTGTACAAACAACAAACACCACGGCAACAACAGCGACTCTTGAAGAGAGCAGGCCCAAGATCAAGTGCTTGAGAACGGTGGAGAATCGGAGGAGCAGTGCGGACCACGTGAAGAACCAGAAGAAATGGAAGGCAGAACGCGAAGTCGAAGAAAAAACGAACAGTGAAAAGAGCCTCTCCAAAAACGAGAAGAAGCAGCAGAAGAATAACGAAAGCGACGTGCCAATGATCCTTGAATGATTACATATGTATATACCACAAGCACATATACAACTCAGGTCAAAATATAAGCTTTTTAAATAACATTTTATAAAAGAAAAATAATAAATGATTAAATTTGGTAAGAACTTTAACTTTTGTATCTTTTGAATAGTTATTATTAAAACCAATACATTTTGCGTTTCCTTTTGTTCTCAACCTACAACTTCATTTGAAACCCCTATTTATTTGACCACAGCTGTATATACAGTCACACTCCGGCGGGGTATGTACATGTGTACCCATGTAAGTATGTGGAGCGCTCGACGGATGGCAGCACTTGAATCGAGCATCCGCATCAAATTATAAATAAATTCACCTTTTTGTGGCGCGTCTGTTGGCTGCGGTTGTGGTTGTTGGGGAGGATTACGATCGATGCAGCAAAGTACACGTACCTGGTGATGGCCATGATGGAATCCGCTGGCAGCTGGCTGCCGCTGGAAGGCGCTGCCCGTGCCGCTGCCCACGCCCACTCCGACGCCGACGCCCACGCCCACGCCGACTCCACCGCCGTAGTTGGCCTGCTGCACCGCTCGCTGATGGGCGGCAGCTGCGGCGGCAGCGTGATGGGCATGGGCGTGGTGCATCGTGGCATGGTGGTGGCTGTGGGGGTGCGCGTGGGGATGGCCGTGGTGCGGATGGGGGTGGTGGTAGGGCGGAGCCGTGGATTGCAACATCTCGTCTAGCTCCTTCTTGGCGTCCTCATCTAAGTCAAACAGGGGCGAGCCCACGGAGTTCTGCAGGTCCTCGAAGTCGCTGACCGAGAAGCTGTCTCCGTCGCCCTTCTCCGGATCGTTGTCCCTGCCCTCCGCTCCGACTCTGCGTTGCTTGCTGGGAAGTCCTTCGCCGCCGAGGATGTCCTCGCCGGTCTCCGAAACAATCCGTTGTCCTTGGTTCTCGTTCAAAGCAGCGGCCGCCTGCGAAGTGGAGGCCACCGGATCGTTGGATAACTAAGGAATCGGGATAGAAAAGATAATATATTTATAGGGTTTGTTTCCAATATTAGTAGGTTGGACTCACCTCGTCTTCGAGCGGGAATTCAGAAAGCTTCAGTACGTCGTTCAGCAAGTCATCCAGGGGCAAGCGAATGTATTCACCTGAGGGGAACAGGTAAGTGATGCGTTAGGAAAGCCATCTAATTGTATTTATTTTATATTTTATCTTGTTTCTGGTCTATAAATTCTGTTAATCACCCAGCAACATTATCCTCAATAATATATATTTCAAAATAAACGTCATCATATAACCAACTGTACCTCTATCACTAATTTTCTACTGATGTTAAACAACTAAATGCCAAACATCTAAGCAAACATTTGGTTATTACAAGATATAAAACTATCTACTTCCAAGAACTGTTTTATTTTTTAGCACAATCATTGTTCAAACAAAAGTCCTGATCTTTTGATAGCCTCCAATATTTATAATAAACAAATTGCATTCCCCGCGGAGAAGATTTCCCCAAGAGTCAAGATCTTTGTGACCCGATCATACCATTATAAATACACGAAAATATTTTGATCATTTGAATAGGATTGCCTGCTTTCTCTTCCCGTCATCGCAACTCCCCAGAGGGTGATCAATTTTCTGCTACGAAAACAGTTTGAAGACCCAGAAAATCTCCCCCGAGGGCGAAGGAGAAGGTAAATAAAAGGATCATCGCAAACAGTAGCACTTTCCTATGGGAGGATGAGTTCGTAAGATCAGCGGAGAGATCACAGAGTGGACAGTAACTAGAGTCAGTCAAGCTGCGCGGATCATTAATCATAATCATAAAAACGTGATCTCTGAGAAATCTCCTTCACTCAATCCGACTGACGGAAGCAGCTGAAAAATATTGCAATAAATGAACGATTTCCCAAGCTCCCTGCGGTCGAAATCCCCAACCTCCGCCTAATTGATGATCAGTTTTGACAGCTCCGAGATATCCAAACTAAACACGAACTAAACTCGAGACATAACAATGGAAGCTTCCCTCAAGTGTATCGCTTACAATTGATTCCTGGTCAAATATTGATGGCGGCCAAATATTTGCATTGGAAATTCTTGGGAAAATCCAAGTCAACTGAGAAGTGAGTGGGGCGATTCGACATTATCAGAAAATTACTACTTAACATCGACTCGAGTTCCACGAAGAGGAAAACCCCGACCCAAACGTGGGCAAACATCTAGATAAGGCCAAAACGAAAACCCGAAAAAATAGAAGGCTGAAAAGAGGGCGCAACTTGGTCGAAAGACACGGACTCAAGTGGTGTGACGACCACAACTGCGACCTTTGCCGGAGCACTTGAGTCGGGTCAAAAAATTAGAATAAACACCGCAGATGGAACAGTTTGGCTCTCTGGGCCCGGCCAACACAATTCTACCAAATGCATTGTTATTCTTACGATTGGTTACAAAACACAATCCCCCTTCCTCTTTGGCTTTTCTAATTTCCATCGCAACCATTTTGGGCCTGGTCTCTACTGTTCTGTGTTCTTGTCTTCTGGCCATGTTTTTTTTTCGGCTTGCTGGCGTATTGCCTGTTATTTTAGGGTTCTCCCTTCTTTGCTTAATTTTCTTTTTTTTTTTTGGTAACAGTCCGTGGCCCGTTAATTTTGGTATGCGTTTGTGTGGGTTCGGAATTGTTTACTTATCGTTTTTGGTCTTTTGGGCTGGTTGTTTGTCTCTCGTTTCGTGGGTTTCAATCCAGCGCTCGCATTGTGGTCGAAACGACAACGAAAATATTATTCGATTTGGGTTTTGTTTTGTGGCCGGCTGGTTGGTCAGGAGCAACTGTCAACTGTCACCAGCAATTAGGCGACAAGGCTCGAAAGAGGCGTTGATGGGGCCAACAATTGTTTGACCGCATCGAAGGTGGGGGTTAACCAACTTTTGGTTACCTTTCAGGAAGTTTGTTCGGAAGGAAGGCAGGAAAACTGTGGGAGAATCGCGTAATGGAGCCGCTAATGGGGTTGATTGAGCCTTAAACACCGACGGCTACTTGATATTTTCACAGGGGTGGAATTTTGGGTGGTGAACGAAACACTTTGGCCTGTTTGCATAGATTATGAGTCTAATCGAAGAAATGAATAGGGCTTGACTTGCCTTGAATGTTGTGTTAATGGTAAAGATTGAGGTAATAAAAGGTGCAAACAGTTTTTTCGGAACAGGCTTGTAGTGAAAGAAAAAAAGGGGAACTTCTAATATTCATTTAGAAATAACTTAGTATAAAATGTTAATCCCATCTACCTTTAATATCTATAAGCTAGGCCCCACATTGGTCGCCTTATTTTCAGTACACAAAAAGCTATACTAAAACCCGAAATTCGGTCACAGCTTCGAATAAATCTATAAAGCGCTACGAACCTTTTTGTTAGTTAAAGGGATGCTGCAATGATGACGCAGTTGATATTGATGAAATATTCGTGTTTATAATCCAAGAAACACAAACGCCTAAAAAACCCAAGTCAAATGTGTCTTGGATGTTTTTATTTTTTTTTTTTTCTGTTGGTTGTCTTTTGTGAACAGATTGAACACAAATTGTTGCAATAAAGCGCTGATTGTTGTTGATATTTGGCCAAACACTTTGACAATTATGTAACGTTTTGACAGCCAAAATGTTGCAGAATCAACAATGGCGTGCCGACTAAAAACCGCCAAAGCAAAAGCAATCCAATCGCAACTCCGATATTGCCGTTTCCGTTGCAGACAGACCTTTATTGTCTTGTCTTTATTTTGTATTTTTTTTTTTTTGATTCGTATGTGCTTTGCACAATTCGATTGTATGTGTGGAAAATGGGTTTAAGTTATTTTGCAATGCCTTTGATTATTGTTGGGGGCTTTTTTTTAGAATCGCACAATGGTCACTTGAGAGGTACATGCATATGTATTTTTGATTTGGTAACTTTCACTTTTTTATTTCGTTTTTCGCACAAATGCAGACGCGTAATAGTTAAAAAAGCTGGTTAATGTTTGACACAGTTCGATGATATTCATTTGCAGAGAATTTTTCAAATCATCTAATTGGCATAAAAAGATCCGAAACACTTGACTTGGCCAGAACGAACGATTTGAACTGCCGACTTGGAATGCCGCGTCACCTTTGCCGGGCTCACAAAATTGTTAAAGAAGTTTTCGCAGGAGCAGAGTCCTTTTTTTCTTGTCCACGCCCACGAACTCGGTGGCTTATTTATTTCCTATTTTACCCTTATTCGATTTTCTGCGCGCGCGTCAAGCGTCCAACGTTTCTCGAGCGTTTATAAAAATTCAAATACGATTCTAAAACGCTGCTCAGTTCGCTGCCGCGGTCGCTGCTCCGCCATCGCTGTCGACGCCGGCGGCAGCAGAGGCGCAAGAGAAATGGCGCTCTCAAGTCGGGCCTACAAAGTGAGTGCGAGCGAGACAACCGTATGGACTTCCTCCCCGGTTTGAGCTGCCTGTGTTCATGCGCAGTCGATTTCTGTATGTGTGTGTGAGCAAGGGGCGGAGCTTGGAGTTCAGCTTGAGTTGTGTTCGTTGTTGTACTCTCAACTTTTGGCCGCTTCAATATGGACGCTTTGTTTAAGCCCGATGTCTTCCACAAAAACGCCAAAACTGGTTTTCTTGTTCTTATTCCCAGCATGTGCATGTTCCCCAGCAAAAGTGTACGTGTGTGTAAGCCATCAAGACGAAGAAAAAACAATCTAATCAAGTAATTTAAACAGTCAACAGCAATAAAAACTGCTTAAATTTGCATGGCCAAGTTTTTGGCTTAAGAAACTTCGTAGGACCGAAAACAATGCAGGTGTACTTGAATTTGCAGAATTTATATTATAATTTGCAGAATATATAATTTTCAATTTAAATTTGGAACCCCAAAAATAAAACAATAGGTTGCCCTGAACATTTAAAATCACAACCGAATTTCAAATTTAATAAACAAATGAAAGAAACACAAAATAAAATAATTTCAACAAGCCTAAAACATTCCCTCTTAAAGTCAACTCCTGTTTTTGATGTAAAGATCGTGAAATTCAGCCAATCGTATAGCTATCACATTTCCCTTGTCCTCGAACTTCTTCAATTTCTCCTGCAACTCTTTTAAGGACTTTATTTCGTCGGTCACCTCCGAGATCCTCAAGTCCAGGTCGTGACTGGTTTCCTCTGCCTGGGCTATCCACCAGTTCTGGATTTTGGCCAGCTGCTGTCGCATCTGCAACTCGAAACCGCTGGCGGTTTGTTGAACACCGGCCCGCAGTTGTTGCTGCAAGTGCCTGGAGTACTGGTTCTTGAAGCTCCGCTCTTGAGCAGCTGGCGTCCAGCTGAGTAACTCATAGAGGTACAAGGATGCCACTAGGCCTCCAAGGACCAGCATGGTTACCCAACCCACCGAACGAGCGGCCAGTCCACTTAGCAATACGGTTCCAAAGCAACCATCTGACTTCACCAAAGATGCAATCATCTGTAGATTACTTTGGTGAATTAGAGGAGTGGCAGATGAGGACTCCTTGTGACCGTTTAGTAACTTTCGATTCTGCGAATAATTTGAGGGCAGTGAAAGCCTTCCCCGAAGGAAATGCCAAAGTGCAGCCGTTCCGTAGGAGAAACGAAACCTTAGATCCGGATGGAAATCACCCATCAACGATTGGCAATCTACTCTGTGGATTAAATGCCAGTGGATGTTTTCATTGACGGGTTGAGCATGAAATGAGGTCTCCAATTCACAAAGTTTTCTTTGCAATGGCATAGAGACACGTTCCTGGATTTGACCTGTAAGTAGGTTATCCAAATGACCACTTAAATGTCGCTGATAGTTTCTAATTTGCCATGGTAAATGCGGGTGAAAGGGTTGCGAAAAGGATTGTACAGCCGAGGGTATTATCCTGTTGATCTGCTCCTTTAAAACCCTGTTAGCGATATCTATTGTTAATTCGCATATTTCATGAAATCGCATTTGAAGCTCCTCAGTTCGCTCTTGGATTTCTTTTCGACTGTCGCGCATTTCCACATACAAATCCCGTCTTCTATCCACATTTTCCTTCATCAGTTGATTTACTTTGGTTGCGAGAGGTTTCAGCAAAGTGGTTTGTAACTGGGTCAAAACCTCCTGGGCACTAATCAAATGATGTTCGAACTTGGTCTTCAAAGCCGATTCTGCCAGGCAGTTGGCAAAGTCAGCTTCGAATCGCTGGAATTCCAGATATCGCTCCTGCGTTTGAGGATTTGGATTTGTTTTGCAACCATTCCTCAATTGCAGAGCCTCCAAAGCTGAGATGTGGTAAATCCTCTTCTTGGCCTGCTCCTCATCTGAATAAACTCGTAAATCCTCAATGAGCAGCTTCAGGCAACGTTCCATGTGCTGATCCTTAACCTGCTGCTCCATTTCTGGTTCTTGATTACTAGCCACATCCCAGCGATTGTTTAAAATGAAGAGGTTCGGTCGCGAGAGTTTCGAGGATACATCCTTGAAGAACTGCCTCTCCACTCGGGAAATGGTAGACTCTGCATTAAGAACCAGGATGAATACATCCGCATCCATGCAGTACCGATCCAGACAGTCATCCAATTGAGCTGTGACATCCACGCCAGGTGTGTCCATCAGTACCACATCGTAATCCAAAAGCGAGCAGCGACTTTTGGGTATATTAACATACAAAAGAGTCCTGGGTTTCAAGGCTCTTGGCGAATGAGCACTGGCCAATTCGTTTAGGGAACTCAGATCCAGTTGCTGCTCCTCCTCCTCGATCCTCACGTGCTCGGGTTCATCGTCACCATTAGCTTGCACCTGGCAAAAACAACTGGTGGTATGACCCATGGCACTCGGAAGGATTCTTTCGTGCAACATGGCATTTATCACTGCACTCTTTCCATTCGAGGTTCGTCCAAAAAAAGCCACCTTCATGCGTTTCCTGGCCAAAACCTTGTCAATGGAAGATATTTTGTCTGCAAGCATGTAAACCTGCTTGAGCATTTCCAGGTCTTTCAAGAGCATGTTTCCGTCTATTATGTAAAGGAAATCAGCGAGAAAAACACCCATATCGTTATAAACATCCTGCAGTTCGGTTTTCGCATCCACAAACTCACTTAGTCGCGAGGAGGAAGACGAGGACGACCTTGATATGAATGAAGATAGAGAGGAGGTACTTTCTCCAGAGTCCGATTCACTCATTTTTCTTAATTGGTTGCAAAAAGGTACGCAAGTTTTTTGTTTACAAAATATAAGCTCAAATTGTTTAAGATGGATGTTGACTTGATAGAGGTTGTTAGAATGATATTGTTTTGGTTTTCAGATGGAAGAAACTAAGGTAACTTTAAATGATATTGATAACCTAAATCCCCTCCTTTTTAACATGCAAATTATATTATTTTTAAGTCATAATCACATTGGATTACTGATTTATTTGGCACAATTCAGCTGCAATTTTCAACTGACCCCATTCGAGTTTCCCTCACCATTACTATTTCCACTTCGGAGCCCAATCAAAATACAAACTTATTTACCCAAAAAATTAACACAATTACCGCAATCATGAAATCGCCCAAAAGAGAGTCGGAAAAAGAGCAGGCAATATGCACATTAATGGGCCACTGAACTAATAGACCAGGCTAGCCCCAAAAACGCTTTTGGTGAACTTCAAAAATACCAAAAAATACAGCAAATGGAGGGAAAAAAATGAAATTGCTTGGTTGAGGTTCGGTTCGCTATGAAAAATTAGCAGCATCATCAACAAAGTGAGAAGGGGGAATCATTTCGATTGGATGCTTGTATAATTTTTTTCATCGCCGCTAGAAAACAGTAGGAAAAGAGCACAGAAATATATTGAACAAGCCAAACTCGCCTGGTTAATCATTTTTTTTCTCTTCAATGTTTTTTTTTCGAACGTTTTCTTGAGTGCTTTATTACAACTTAATTAGTTTAAATTGTTGCCGACGCAAAAAGGAGATAATAATAAAGAAGAAGCCGATGCTGATTGAGAAAATGGTGGGAGGTTTTGCATCCGGTGAAAGACAATCATATATTGGAATAAATTAGATATAGTTTAGAGGAAATTGCACAACATTAAGGACTAAAGTGTGATCAATGGCATAGTTTACCCCAAGGATATAATTATTACACTGATACAGAAATTGAATTTAGTGATGACTTTTCAATATGCTGCTTTTGCAGACATCGATAATCCCGAAAATAGGAGCAAAACTTGTAGGAGAAAACCAGTGAGCAACAATTATGACAGGACAGATCCGCGACTCCGGATAGTGTCAACAATGAAATTGCTAAAAGAAGCCAGGTCTGATTTTAGGGACGGTACAGGGGGCACCATTGTTAACGGACATGTGTATAGATGGCGGTCGGCAACGTTATCTGTACTTTACGCCACTTTTTGTTGTTAATGAGTTGCCACAAATTCCGAAGAAGCTGAATGAACCTTATGAATGAGCTGGCTGCTGGATGGCTGCTCATTTGAATACCACAACATTGGAAATTAAATTGGAGTAGGAAAACAACAAGCGTTGAAATTGAGAAACTTTCCTATAATCCTTAAAGCCACATGAGCACTCAATGGGTCAAGCACTCCGACTGGCTAATTAAACAGCCAGTTTCTTTCGATATTATGCAATTCTCAGTTAGTTTTGGCAATGCGGGATAATAGAGTGTTGGCGGGGGGAAGTTGCGCAAGACGAAAACACTTGAAAGTGATACGATTATGCAGCAGAAATTCGTTGTTGACCAGGCCAGACTAGACCAGACCAAAAATAAAGCCGGTCAGGACTGCAGCCCCTCGCACCTTTGCGCACCCCGCTTCCCTGTCTGTTTGTTATTTTGTCAGCATGTAAATTTTCCTTTTCTTTCTTTTTTATTTTTTTTTTTTGTAAATTTGTAGCGTAATGCTGACCACGTAGAATTTGAACAATTTCTACGGTCCGCTCCGGCTCCTCTGCCCCTCTTCACCGCTCTTCAGCACTCCCTCGCTTTTCCAGACAACAGCAGGGCGCAGAAAGTAGAGAAGCATGAAAGGCGGGTCAAGGAAGGCCACCAGACAGATAAAAAGTAAAAGAAAGAGCAGCGGAGATCCTCAATAGGTGCACCGCCGCCACCGAATTATGAGACAAGCATCAGAACCACCATTTGTGCACCACATGCACCAGATGTTCTATAATAACCTCCATCATATCGGTTTTACTTTGATGGTTAGAAAGAAGAACCCATCGATAAGCAGGAAATTAAATAATAACTATGAATTCCAATTTATGTATGTATTTATTTTTAGAAAATTATAAAATAGACATTATTCAACTAATTTATGTTGAAAGACCGGACAGATAAAAATATATAGTTTAATCGAGTCATAAATTGATAGGGGAGTTCATTTTAAGTTTCTATTCTAGTAAAATATCTTTACGGTTACTTTAAAACTAAAGAGCACTTTCTTGATTCGTCAATAAATAAGCTCTTTAGAAACGTGCGAGTTTATTCTTTATTTGGCTTACCATTAAAAGAACCCTGATTTTGACCCTTTCGAAAATCAAAAATATTCTCAAAAGATTTCAGTGGTCTGTTCCCACAAAAATCCCCTCTCTGTAGAAGTCAACAGTGGTCAATAAACTTGCGTAGCTTGGCAGCAACAAGAGCGGCCTAACTGATTGCATAATGGAATTTAAGCCACCGAAAAAGAAACCAAAACCGAAATATCTATAACATAATTGAGAATAAGAGCATTTTTCTCCAGATACCACGCAAAACTTCTGGCCAAGTCATGCTCCAAAAGTTGTCAACGATCTGAGGAGCTAACAAAAAAAAATAAACAACTTAAAGGGGGGAAAAAAAGAACAAACCAAATCGAATTGAAAGGCAACGAATGTAATCAGATTTGTGATTCATGGGGCGATATAGAAAATCAGAACTGTAGATGGAAACAATCAAAGCTGATTGGAGGACAGGCCTGAAGCGAGACGAAACATCAACCGAGAGCTACTTGCAACTTAATTACCTCGATTTCGGGTCCTAGAACCTCGAAATGAAATGAGGAACACATGTCCCCATGACAAGGCAACCTTGGCAGGACAATGGCCGGAAAAAGTGTCTCCGAATGGTTACGACTTCATTCCAGCATTGACAACACTAATGAAGAATAATTTGTGAGAAATGGTGAACAACGAACTAAACTCACCTGAACGTGCGGAAGATGAAATTTAAAAATTCTCTTAAATATTCCCAACAAAAGTATCAACTTTGAAATACCATTTACTGAAACAGCAACCGAAAAATGACTTTCAGTTTAGTCGTTTATATTTCGGAGGCCCGAACAATGGAAGATAATGCCGCCAAAGGCTGCGGACTACGGAGATTCGTTGGGTTCGATCCGTGGGGAATTTGGATACGCACAAATCCGAGATCGCAGACAAAGGCGAAGTGCGTGTGAATGCGATATGAATCTATCTATCGGAGTTGGGCGCGCATCAATGGATTTTTAATAAATGGCCAAACGAAGCAATCATTATGAGCGGCATAAATGTGGTCGTGAATAGGAAATATATCCAATATGGTGGCTGCTGTGCTGCCGCCCCTTCCTCCACTATTTTTTCCCTTATTTCGGGGTAACACAAAATGGTGGCCAGCGATTTGCGACTTTCTGTTCTCGAGGGAAGGATGGAATCCCTGACAGAAGCTACTTCTCCCCCTCCGAACTCCCGGCTCAATGAGCCAGTTCAACGGGGGATGAGGCAGGAAGTCCAGGAGAGTAAACTCAGTGGCTCAGCGAAACGGGGAAAAAATTGAAGCCTTATAACTGGAAAATGAAATTACTAAAGAACAACAAACTAATTGAAATGAAAACTATACAAAAACTTAGCTTTAAGTAAGGTTGTTCTTTTAAATACATAGTTTTATCACTCAATATAACTCACGGGATTTTTGAACGTTCGTTATTCACAAAAAACTATTTTAAAAAGTTTTCAATTGATGTTTCAATTTTTTATTCCATGACATGCAATTATTTTGCAAGTTTTAAAGTTAGCAGTTTGAATAAGTTGCCAGGCTTGAATAAAAGGGCATTGATACCAAAATTTTTGTTTAGTCATTTTAGTGTGACCAAGGTAAAGAAATAAATACGTTAAGTTGGCAATAACTGTCATTTCGAAATTTTACTAGATAATTTCTAGATGTTACTTAGTTTTATTTTTCTAACCTTAAGGTGGAAAGACTTAAAATATTCGAAGTGTTTTTTTTTTTTTCAAAAGATTATATGTTCAACCCCTCTAACAACTGCGTCCCTGTTTTCGCCTTGCAAAAAATAAAAGGCTCTTTGATCGGACTATGTACAGCTTATAGGCCAAAGTTGAGGCCGTGCACGTTCGAATTTCCCCGCTGGCAAGCCAACCCCCTCGGAATATATCGTGCCCTGCCATATGGTGTACATAGCACTTCTTTCCCTATATAATATTTATATATATTTCTGTAAGTTCGTGTGTATGGGGGCCCTTGCTATTTTGGCGAATCATGTTTCGTTCATTTTTCAAAAGAAAAATGTTGCATGCGAGGCGACGCGACGCGCGGTGGCTGCTACTTTTACTGCTGCCACTGCCACTGCCACTACTGCCTCTGCCTCGAACTCGTAGTTGGATTTGGATTCGTTTTCGTAGCTGCCCCCACCAGACTTGAGGCCCAGTAGTCGTGGTCTCGTTCCGTCCAGAAAAGGCGGCACGACCCAGTCTCAGAGGCCCAGACGACGAGTTTGGCCCCCAAATCCCCCCTTGCCACTTCCCACTCCTCCTGCTTCTCCTCCTTCTACTCTTGATGGTTAATAATAAAAGTTCGTGTGCGTGTCAAAGTTTGTTTGAAAGGCAGCCGCTTTGCTGGGAAACGGGGCGCGGTTCCAGGCAGATTAGCAGCAGCAGCAGCAGCAGCCATCGGCTTTGGCCTTTTATGGTGGGCGGTGGGTGGATTGAATGGGGGAGGAGGAGGGGGAGTGGGTTTCGGTGTGGGTTGCTGCCATACAAGCCAAGCGAAAAAAAAGCTCATTTTTCTTTTAATTTTCGTGCCTGTCAACTCAAAATGCCTACATTCATTTATAAACGTCTCGAAAACACACGCACACCAATGCCCAAACAATATGTTTTTGTATGCCACCCAACTAAGCCCCCCCGAAACTCAACCCCCAATTGAATCCCCAGGATAATCCATTTTCGTTTATAATAGAGCAGCCGCCATCTTTTGGCAGGCCATTTTCTTTCGACTTATTTCGTTATTTCTTTTTGTTATCAGCAAGTTTCCTTTTTTTTTTTGGGCGGAATAGCAGACAGGCTTTGATAAATGTTAATATTAAACGATATGATACGATATACTTACTTAGAGCATTGAATTCATTTTTGATTAAATAAACATGACTAGTCAGTCAATAATAATTGGATTCAAAAGGGAAAAGTTTTATAGTTATATTTTGTCATTATAGTAAATCAAATTGTTTACTTTTTATTTTCTCTTAAGTTCCTTTTACGACTCGGAAGTGCAAATAAAAGGCCAGACATTTGTCAAACTTAATCCTTTATATTAACTCGTACTTCTATCTAGCTAAGGAACGTGCCATTTAATATATCTATATCTACTTCTGGTGAAGTAGATCTCCTGCTTCTGAAGAGCTTATCGGTGGTTATTTTTGAAAGTGAAATTATATTATCCTAGATAAGATATGGCCAGCAGACCGACCCAAGAGCTCTATCCGACATGTAACCAGAACAAGATCGTATATTTCACTAGAACTCACCAGTTTCGTTATCGATGGTAAAGGGTATTCCGTTCCATTCATTGGTAATGTCCTCCAGGGGGTTCTCATTGTCCTTGTCCTGTTTGGAAAGAGGAGAACATGTTACTGGGGTAAATTCTATTGGTGTTGCCCCCAAAATGTGTGATAGTTGTTAGATAACCATCAGAATTCGACTTCACCTTTATCTCTATGTAAATATTGTGAAATTCCGTATGTAAATCGTGGACGAAGTGTCGCTTTGCTTTACCTTATCTTGCTGAAGCTCCTCCAGAGCTTTCAACTTCTCGATATCGTCGGCAGAGGCGCCACTAGCCTCGTTCTCGGCGGTCACATCGGTGTCCTTGAAGGCATTTGCCTCGGACATCGAAGGATCCGAGGACTTGGCCTCATCCTGCGGCTTCGACTTGGCGGCATTAGCTCCACTATTTCCACTGGCGTAGGAGGCATTGATGATGTCCTCTTGATCCAAGCTGAAGCCCAAATCCACATCCTGCTTGTACAGGACCTCGGCGATCTCACTCTCCTGCAAGCAGAATACTCCACTTAGTAAGGTAACGCACACATATCCCATTAGATAATATAGTTTTATCAATTGCCAGCACAAAATTCTAACCAGTATATCCCTGTGGATGAACACTCTCATATTCACTGATCCTTTTTAGGGATATCTTAACAGTCTATTAACAGTCCTTCACTTTCTGGTTAATCTTATGTTTTCAGTTCTATTTGGGTTTTGTTTGTTTTTAATCCCGATCTGAATTGCTCGCGACGTCATCCGCATTTGCTAGTTCCCAAAGAGAGACTGAAGGCTTCAAGAATCGCCGACGAGTCATAGTCCATATGGGGGACCTCGTCGGCTCTTCTTTGCACTGCTTTACTTAATATGATAATGTCGATTTACATTTCGCCCGAGCTGATAAAGTCGTTCGCTTTATATAGATAAAACTACGTCAGAGTGGTAAAGATTGCGCGGAATGGTGGGTGCTCTATAATGTTATTGCAATACTGTTTATGAGGAGGATATATAACTAAGTTCTCGTTTTTTTTTTGGGTGGTAAATGTTGTAAAAAAGAAGTCTTTTTCTCAAGAGGAAGTGTCATATCTTACATTCTAACTTATCTTTTGATCACTTTTAATCTGCAATTTGCAAAATTATATTACACTCCAGTATAATCGTAATGAAGAATAATAACGCAAGGCTAAGGATTCTTATCTTATTATTTTATCAAAAGGTAAAAACTAATTTAAGAGTTATGTTTTAACGCTTTACAATTGGCTCTCTTAAGATACAATCTCAAGACATTATGGCATTTAGAAGATGATATCTGACAAGTTAAAACTGATAGTGCTGTAAAGCTGGGTGCAAAGCATAACACCAGGTCTACTATAGCTGGGCAAATAGATGGTACTACATATAGATTCTCTTATTTCACCATGCCTTATCGGGCCCCCGGAATAATAGCTCGTAACCCATCGAGCGCTCCCTTAACCCGTGGAAACCTCTCGAAGAGTGCCCGCTCTTGGGACAGCGGTGATCGATAATGGGGAATCTTATCAATGGAACGAGCGACCAGCACAGAGAGTGGCGAAGCCGGGGGCTCAGCACACGGTGATATAGTATTATTAACGCTGATTCAACTGGGGGAAGCGGTGAATGGGGGGCCGGAACACTCTCTTACGGCGTGTCTTGGGTCTTGCGACTTGTTTACGCCGTAGCAAACGACCGCCGACCGGATCTCTTATCGCCCGCCGCCTGCCTCACACTGTAAACAATATTCGCGGGCAATAAATTTCCACCTAAGAGCGGCCAGCGGCCATACACTTGGCAAAAAGTTAGGAAGAGAATTGGCCAACGGAAATCGAAGCATTGCAGATCGTTCGCTTATAGAGATGTCTGCCGCAATTCTGCCAATTCATCCAGTGGAAGAGAGTGACTAAGAAGAGGAATTCTCGAGCTCAAATTATAGCGTTAATGATGCATTATTAACGCTGCTGGCCGAAACCACTTTAATCCTTTTCTTTTCTTCTCCTCCTTTTTTCTTTTTTTGGTCAAGTCAAGTTGGGTTTTTGAAGGAAACGAGGCGTTGTCGCCCACTCTTAAGCCCTGGTAAAACCGTTTGGTTTTGGAAAACAGGTAGAACCCACAGGTTCAATATATTAAAGCGTAATATTCAGTCGACGGAGGGATAATCACAGGATAATGGCCGACATTAGCAGCACAATTGCTGTTCTGCCAAAGGACTTTCTGATGTTTTAATTAAAATGCTTCCCCCCGTGTGTTTCCCTTTTTGAGGTTTTTGTTTCGTGTGACATTTTCCCGTAGCGTGCATTTTCTTTCCCCATTTATGTTTTTCAGTTTTTCTTGTTGTTTTTGGTGGCCCTTCGTGAGGCTTTCTTGGACTTTTCCACAGTGGCAACAAAAAGCAATCAATCATTGTGGCCACGCCTATCTCCTGGATTAGTCAGCAGAATATGGCGGCGGCATCATTGGTCTCTGCTGCCATCTCCCTCGCACTCCTTTGACCCCTGAGAACCGGCGGAGAAATTAAGGGCCACTGTGTTGAGCCCAATCAATTGCTGCCGCGGCACCGCCGACAGCGACGCCGACTGAGCAGCTGGCGGAGCGGCGGCAGAGCCAATTCCCCAGGGAGCAGGAGTCCGTAAATACAGTAGTACATTTATCAGTTAATCCCGCGTTAATTACATAAAATTAAATTTCTCAAAGTTAAATGTAAAATAATATCATTCTATTAGTAAATTATTATATTTAGCTTTTTAAGGTATTAGGTATTTTATAAGGATTAAATTATTATGAAAAAATTTTAATCAATAGAAGTTCCACTGTACTTGAATGTGTGCTGCTGTGCGTTGCGCATGTTCGGTAAAAATGAGCAATTAAATTGAGCGGAGGAAAGAAGAAGGTCTCGGATCCCCACACAAATCCAAAAAGCGAATCCTCCCCTGCTGGCATTTCATTATTGCTTTTTTTCTTCATTTTGAGGGGGTTGTTCATAACATGCACCCATATATAATAGATGTGTGCGGGTATATAGCTATTTGTGGCTCTTGATTGGAAACTTGATTTTTAATTAAACTTCAAAGCGAAGTTGAATGAAATTTTCTTTTCTTTCTGCAGGTCTAAGAAAACAAAAGGTCAACTGAGATGTAAGACATCAAATAATATGTTAAAACAGGAAAACCCCAACTTATTCAATATCTCTGTTACTAAGCCTAGTTATCAAAGTCGTAAAGTATTCTTCTTACAGTGTAGCCAAGTTACAGTTCTTATCGGTTAGGGTCGAAAATACGACCTTATCTTGTACTTATAGAATTTGGAGTAATACGTGACAGTTGAACAGGTTTGAGAGGCAACAACGAATATATACACATAAAAGGTAATTGTATCAGGACATTTGTAAAAATGAACACGGCTGAAAAGCCATAGATCAAGTGAATTTAATCTTAATATTATATATTGTCAAGTTCAATGAACTTCAATGTAGTTTATAATTTCAACTCTTTCATCAATTTTACAACTATGTAGTTCAATGCCTTGTCCCACATATAGGTTACATTTATGGGCCAATTCTTATCGCTAGGGCCTAAAAACCCTCTCCATGACCTTGTAGTTCACGCTGAACTTTTAAGCTACGCAAGCGACACGTGTGGCGCTCTCGAGACTATTTTTTTGAATATGCAACCGCCCGGACTGACGAAATAAAGCACTGATAAGTGGCTGATAAGAGGTGGGAATTTAACAAACAAATACCACCTGCTGCATAGTTCTCTACAAGACTGAGTAATGCTTTAAGTCGGGCCAGCAACAAGTGATCCAAGACGATCAATCAAGACGCAGTGCCCCCCAAGTTGCATCAAAATATTGACACTTGTAACCGTTTGTGGCGGCAATTAGTCCGCTTAACTGAGTCGATTTGACCATTCTTACTTGACCACAGAACGAAAAGGCGACGGACGCATAATGTACAAAATGCTATAGCAAGATAAATGAGTTTCTGATCTGATCCTGCAGGGGCGGCAAATGATGAAAGTCGAGTGAAAGCAAAAGAAAGTAAGCGAGAGGAAAGAACAGGGTCGGGGCCTCAAAAGGAAGCCTCGGCGAAGGGAAAGGAAAGGCTCGGTTTAGCAAGAGTCATTAATAAAGCCTCGGAAAAAGATTTTTCTGATGACACCTGAACTGACAGCGCAGCACGAACGGCGAGATCACTTCAGCATCTGTGGGATACACTCGCAACGGCAGATACAAGATACCAGATACAAAATACGAGATCGGAGAGAGGCGTTCGGAGCTCGGAGATCTGAGCAAGTGTGGCGCATATTAATCATGAGCTCGTCAAGCCCTCAGAAGACTTGGCCGGATTGTGGATTGTACCACCAACAAAGACGACCTGTTTGCGTGTGTATTTGTCTATCTGTATGTGCACTCGTATCTGACGGATTGCTCAAGCCCTGTTTCGAGTGTCCTGTTTGCGGTTTGCGGCAGCAACCCCACAATGGCGAACTCTTAGGCCTTAATAACAGTTCATTTGTGTCATCCCAACGATTTTCCCTGCAATTATCAATTTCAATTCGAACTCAGGTCTCTTTTCCCCCCTTGTAATCAATTTGACATCTGAACTTTCTGCCCACTGAATATACACTTGAACAAAATACAGACAAATAACACTTAAAGTGTTTCAAATAAGTATACTGCTTAGAACTGTTCACTATGTTTAATGTTTACTCAATGTTTAATAAATGAAGACAATAAATAATACTTCATAGAGGTATTTAAGTAATATTTAGAGTTTTTTATAGTGTATGGCATGGCACTCGGCAGAAGTTCGCGAACCGTAATTAACGGCATTTAATTATGGAAATTAACCAACAAACTTGATGGGAAACTGAACTTTGGGCACAAAAAAAGAAGTACAAATATACGTATATATATAGAAACACTTATAAATCCAAGCGAATGCTTCTTCATTGCTTCTTTGGCTCAGGGTAATTTAGTGGGAAAATGCAGCGTAATTACAGGCAAATTATTTTTCAATTTGCAGGCTTTACATATATTTTGTTTTTTCATCTTCTTTCTTTTTTGCTAACACTTTGCACAGTGGCCATGTGAATAGAAAGTTTATTCCCAGTAAACAGAGATTAATGGTTAGATATAGGAAGTCGGAGACAGACCGCTAGGTAAATATGCATATATTTGTACTCCTCGTTGAGACACATTTTGCTCGGCGATTGAAAACTGATTTCCGCTCGAACTGATTTTGATATTGATATTTATAAAAGGGCGATTCACACGATTTTGGTAAACGTATTCACTGGTAATCGGCATAACGCAGACTGAAACTTTCGTTTGGTCGAGCTCGAGAATGTCTGGGCCTACGGCTGATTAGCACTTGGAGGGTCTCATAAAAATAAATATTTTTTTTTTGTTCGATTAATTTCAATTGATAAAGTTTGTTTTGCACGAATTTCGAAAAGTTGGAACCAGCAACCAGCGACTGATAAGCGCAAGCAGCCCAAAGTGGCAGACAAGTACAACCTTAAAAATAGATTACCCGACTTTATCAGCAATTCAAATTTTCAATTTTCAACCTACTATTACGTTATCACATTTCAAATTTCGATTGCATAGTTATCATCAAGCTATAATATCGATTTGTAAAGCTTTGTACCTTGGGACCATGCTTATTCTCGGTTGATGTCTCTGCTAAGCAGCTTTTGAGGCTGAGGTAAAAGTTGATTTTGGTTAGCAACAAATGTTGCTGCGGTGAAATTACTGAATGAGGTGAAGAGAGCAAGCTGAATGTAAAGTGAAATGCATAAAGTGTGGTGTGTAAAAATGCCGGCAAATCAGCTGTTTTCCCTTGTTAGTTTTGTTTGCAAGTTCTCTTTTCCCACAGCCTTCACCACCCCTTTTTACACCCACACCAACACACAAACGTGGGATTACAAATGCATGACAAACTGATAAATGAGCAATTACAAAATGATTTAATAATCAAAATTGGTTAACACAGAGTGAAATAGACATAGAGTATCATAGGCACGTCCCTTCATGATTTAATCGTCAGTGAAATGCATGATCAATAATTAGAACAAAAATTAAATACATACTTAATTAACGTAACCGGACTGGTTGGACACAGATTGGTTTTGATACGTCATTATATCGGGGGTTTATTATCTGTATTAAAACATTTGACTTAAAAATAACACTCCCAAAAAGAGTACAACAAACGAAGTTCAACGAAACTTTTTGCTCGCTTTTGGCGAGTTTTATTTTATTCTTCTGAATCTCAATCAAAACGCGAGACCGAGACCCCAAAAATAACACCCAACCAAAACAACAGCAAAAACAAAAAAAAACGCTGACCGTGTATATATAAACGAATGAGTTAAAGCGAAACGTAAAAAGCTACAAAAGTTTGAGTTTTGAGTTTGCGCTCCACTTGCGAGCTGGTGTGTGTGATGAGGTCACACATACGCACTGTTGCGACCTCTCTCACTTGAGATTTTAAGATACGGGTAGACATAGAGGTAATGATCTTTGGAGAGCGCAGGTGACACATTCACTCACACACCTGTGCATGATGGGTTCTTTGTGGGGGAAACTCATCAAGCTGTTATTTCTTATTGCCTTATTCGTTTATGGAAAAGTGGTGACCAGGTGAAACCAGTTACAACTATTAAACAAAGACTATTATAATAGAGGTTTTTACCCTTTAACATGCCCAGTTCTTGGACAGTTTAAACTTTATGCAAAATATTGTTTTGATAAAAAACTAATATTCTTCGAAATGGAAGTCTGCATAAGTTTTAGCTTTGGCATAAGTATAAATATATTAAAATAAATAGCAAGCGATTTCATCAAAGATAAAAAACAAAGGCCAATTCTGAAATATTCGATGATTATGCAATGCGAGTGGTGAATGCATTTAATTAGATCATATCAAAAGCATATACATGCTTGTGTGTTCTGAATGCTGCTCCTCAAGAACACACAGTCAGTCAGAACAAAAAATAAAACCGTCATCGGCCGAAATGGAAAACATTCGTGACATGTTGGAGCAGAACAACAAAATTGAATTGCAGGCAACTCGAGTGAGCAACAACAAAGAGCTGAATAAATCGAAAATAACACCGAGTTAGTCATCTTGCTCCTGTCTCGGCCATATCTCCTCCCCCTGTCCCTCGCAATTGGCCAGGCCAAGTATAAATATTTATGCATATTTAAATTGCAATTCGCAAAACGCACAACAGCACCAGAGTGTGTAAAAAAACAAATAATGAAAGCGTTGCCTGAATTGCCCGCACATTTGTCGCCGACATTCAGTTCGGTTCGATTTTTAAAAATAAATAAAAATCGAGCACAAAATCTGATTTGTATCTATAAGTTCGCATGCACATAGATGGTGATTGTATGCCATTAAAGCGATTTAACAAATTTATGTTCCCCTATATAGCGTGCGTTACTGGTTATTATGATCTGGAAATATGTTTAAATTAAACTCTGATTTATAAGACCTCAACCTCAGATAAGATTCGGCTTAGTCCGCAGATTAAATAAATTATTCAATTTGTATGGGTCATAAAATAATTACTTAATTAAATTTTAATTTTTGGGCATGAGCTTAACGTATATTTTCGGTTGCTGTTTTGCAGTTTAAATTGTTTTTGCGCAGTCAAAACGTTTAATGACCTAATTGCTGCTTGTTTTGTGTGTTTGCATATAAAATGTGAACTTTGGGACGAAAGACAGAAAGGTGAAAGTTGTTGCGCACGGTTCCAAAGACTTGAGATAAACAAAATATATATCTTTTCCTCTGAAAAATAAATCTACTCAATAATCCGAATACAATATAATATGTTATACGTATCTGTATGTACGTATGTACTTGCAACTATATAAATTAAGTTATTGCTTTCCAATAATCCTCCAATTTGACGAATTAACCAACTTATAAGTTAGGTATAGATAGCTATTAGATTTTTACTGATAGAAATGTATTAGTGGATAACCGTGGCAACAGTCATGCTGATGTGTAAACAATGTCTGTTCCCTTATCTGCTGATAAGCTAAAAAATATGTGAGACTCACTGGATGGGTGACAAATCAAAACAGAAAGCCATATTTGAATATCGATTGGCTTTGGGGAAACCTATAGAAACTATATATAAACCATATATACCGCTATGAAGCGGTAGACTGGACTGGGTCAAGCGATGGGTTCGCGAATCTTCATTAGCAATGCAAAAAGCTTTTTTCGAGCTACACTGTTTGATAATGAGCACAAACACACACCGAAGCACACTCTGCAGGTGGTGTCGTTTGAGTGCCTTGTAATCAGTCAAATCAAAGTCATTTACAATTACACTCAGAAAAAGCAAGGAGAGCCACAGTCCTTGGATCTAATCTATTCTTGACTGCATTGCATTGTTGTTCGAAATAGTATTTTGTGAATAAAAGATGGAACTTAACTACTTGGGAGGCAAAACATATATTTGCCACTTTCTAATTTGTCAAAATAAAACAAACAAATAAATCACATTTACATTTACATATATACAAGGGTTGAAGGTACTTCAAATTTTAGACTTTGGAAGCATTTCGGTTTCAAATAAACCTACCTTAGCGAAAAATACTTGACTTGCTAGTTTTTCTTTTGGTTTTTTTGTTTAGTGTTTGGGGTTACCTCCTCGTCATCTCCGATTTCCACCTCGTTAGCGAAGGTGGCGCTGCCGAAGGGCTCGTCGGTGGTCAGACCCTCCACCTCGCAGGCATTGGCCACTCCACCGGCCATTTCGCCCTCGTACTCGTCATCCTCGTCCTGGCCAAACAATCGACCCAAATACAGGCTCTCCTCGTCGTCCTCATCACTTCTTCCCGCCGAGTTGTTTGTGACGCTGCCCATGTTTCTGGGGTGTGGTGTGCTGTCATTAAGGGCGGCGTTGCTCAGGGGCGTGGCACTTCCGCCGGTGAATCCATGGAGTAGTGCTGCCAAACTGAGATCCAAATGCGAGCTATTCGGCGGCTGTTGCTGGCCATCCTTAAGGGGTAGGTTTGCATATGGACTGGTTTGTAGATTCAGATCGTTATAGTCATGCAGATCCGCTAGGTTCTGTTCCCATATAGAGCGTTGGTCCTGCAGTGATTGCGGGGAGAGGAAAATGTCCATTTCGGGGGCAGGATGCAGTAGCGAATGGTTGGCATTTCCAGTGGCAAGCGAAGCGGTATCGATGTGAATTTCTCCCAGTGAAGAGCCACCAGTTGGACCTCCGGATGTGGGTGCACCACCACCGGAACCCACCGAACTGGCAGAAGCTCCAGCACTGTTGCTCTGTACATCCTGCAGAGCAGCCGTCTGGACACTACTGTTCCCAGTGGTGTTGTGCAAGTTCATTACAAAGGTGCTGCCATTGAAACTGGTGGGGAGTTTGTACTCCCCCACTCCGTTTCCCACTCCTCCGAGGGAGGGATCATCAAAGTTGAGCAGATCCTCGATCCGGGGACTCAATCCTTTCCGATTTCCATAGGGGTTTTGATCCATGTCCAGTCGGTGGACCGTGCGCAGCATTTCCAGCTCCCAGCCATCGCCTTGGGAGCCCAGTTCCAGCTGCGAGTCCCAGCGATGGAGCAGGTAATCCGGATTGTAGTGCAGCAGACTTAAGGCCAAAGCCAGCTGCAGCATTTTCATAGCGTACGATTTTTTATTTGAGATCATTCTGTTGCTTCAAGAGGTTGCAATCAATGAGAGAACGGGTGCGTGGGTGACTTCTATAGTCTGTAAACCCTCCTCCTCCGCCCACCTCCTCCTCTTTTGCTGTTGTTGTTGTTATTGAATTGGTTCTCCGTCCCGGACAACAGCTCAACGGCTGCGTCGTCCGGGATCTCTGCGTTCAATGACGCCGCCTTGCCCCGCCTTCCGGCCTCCTCGACTTTCCGAAAATCTGCGCAAAAACACAAAGTTCGCAGTTTCCACCGCCGGTCCCCGATTTTCCAATGCTTTTCGCTTTTAATTGATGGCTGTCCTCGTGTTCGTTCTGTAAGCAAATCAAGATGTGACAACAAAATAGAATGGAATTAGTAAGCATAACGATTTGTTAAGTATATCTAGTAAAATAATGTATGATGCTGCTGCATGGCCATATATGCGATTTGAATGTTAAATGAAAATGCTTTTGTTTCGAGTGTTTCGGCCTTTGTGTTTGCTATTCGATTTAATAAAGCGCTGAGCACAAGGAAAGAAAGTTTTATTTCCGGTCGAAAGTGCTATCATAAGAAGTTAGTTAAAGAAACTAAAATCTTTCTTATCTTCATTGTTTAGAATGAAAATCATATGTGCAGACCTTCTCTATAAAAACCTATTATTTACACTTGCAATGACATTTCATCATAAGTGAGATAATTTTTGATAAGATTAAACATAACATTATTATGTATTGTAAGACACCAACCGAGATTTTCTAGACTTCAACATTGGATTTTTTGTTGACTTTATATTCATGGACAATTAAGCAGGTCAAGAATGGTAACTGAAATGGAATTGTCTGAGATTTATTTGTCCTTGTTGAAGGCAGTTGCCAGAAGTCAGTTTTATACCTACAACGTATTTAATATGCCCATCCTGTCCGCCTCCTCCCCCGTTCTTAACCCCCCGGGTGGGTTAACAGACAACGGCCACACAAAAAGAGGCGTGGGGGGCAGAAAGGAATGACCCAGACCCAGACGAAATGGCTTTGAACTTGAACTTGTTCAAGGTCTTTCGCGAGCGTTTGAAATGTGCGCAATGCGAAGTGAAACACCCAATTCAAGGACGGCCACAAAAATGTGCGAAAAGCGTTAGAGGTCCGATATAAACTTTCTTTGTTTAAAGAATTTGCAAAGGAAATAATTAAAAAAAAAGATTCGAAAACCAAACTTTGATTGGCTCGATTCTCAATGAAAAGGTATCTTTATATGTATGTGTAATAGCGGATGTGGGTGTATTGCAGTGCACTCACCTCAAATTTTTTTGGCGATGTGGAGCCGACTACAACGGTAAAAAGCTGCGGCGCAGTAGAAATTGTTCTTGTTGTTGTTGTTTGATCTTCTTCGTTTTTGCTTCTGCACACACAATGGTGAATGGTGGGTTATTGTTAACCGTTTTTTTACAGAGCCTTATTTGTTTATGTTTCACTTTCTTTCTCTGATTTTTACTTTTAATTGCTGTAAGACACGCGTTTTATTTATATATTTTACAGCTTTGGATATCTATGCGGTTTGTGTGCGTCCTTGAACTTTCTCTTTACCACCTAATTTGCATTCAATTGCCATTAAATATTTATAACAATTGGTATTTGATTATATGACAGCTGTTTCTTCTTCTTTGCCGTCTGGTACGCATTTTTGTTGACTGTGTGTGTGAGGGTTTGCGTGGTGAAATCGTCACTTGTTTAACCCAAAATGGAAATACCATTTTAAATTAGAATTCGTTGTTATATTTGAAATAAATCATGTACTTTTTTCAATTTATCAACATGTGTGGTTATCAGCCCTACATTCACAAATCGTTTTGAACATTGAAATGAATGTTTTTCATATTTTTAATAACAACAATACGGTGTACTAAATCTTACTCAAGTCCAAATACAAAAAAAATAATCCAACAAATATGTATTTACGCTTTAGTAGTTGTTTTTGCACAACCTAATATTTTCATGTGATTTGCCTGCACATCGCTGTTTATTTCTTTGTTTGCTTTTATCGCCCCTTTCTCATGTCTCTGACTCACACACAAAAAAAAAGCACGCACACGTCGAAGCATAAAACTACTGTTTTTTCTTGCCAATTCCGCTTTGTGGGCACAATTAATGCAATTAATTAAATGCAAAATGATTTAATTTTTACGGAGTATCATACACAGCAGCACACGGAGAGCAAAACAAATTGTGAAAACACGAAGGTGGAAACTTCGAGAACCAGCGACGAACAACCGGCAACAGATTTCAACCTTCGCTCTGCACTTTGCATCAACAAATTATTTATCAAATCGCTTTGCCCGATTTCGTTTTTGTATGTTACTTTATTTTTTTTCAACTGCAGCCTGTCAGCTGAGCAGGACAGAGGGAGAGAGAGGGAGACTGCGCGCGAGAGCGAGAGGCGTTTATTGCTGAATAACTGTTGTTGCTAGCCTGTTGGTCGTTGTTGTTTAACGTTTTATCCACCACCCCCGCAATGAGTTGCACTTATTGGGCATGCAACATTGCAATTATAGTTTACAGCCACTGTTTAAATTGTAACTAAAACTCTTTTATTTGTTATTCCGGCACACACACAGCCAGACAACCAGACGGCACGCACACAAACACACACAAGCGGCGTGTACTTCGCACTTTTACGCGTCTTCTTTCACTGTTATTTGGCAAATTATCGCCGCGTCGGCTTTGCTACTCTCTTTCGCCAACCGCCGAACCTACGTGGTGATCCGGAAAACGTGTTTGTTTGTTAACTTTTTAGCAATTTCTCCGCCGTCGAAATTGGTCGCGATTTTCGATTCGCGAAGGCAAAACAAAAACGTCTGTTCAGCGCGGTGTTGAAAAGCACATTGAAATTCACCGCAAGCCCGCGAAGTCACCGCATTTCAAAAGCTCTGCGCTGGCAACAACAATGTGCAGGCAGTGTGACCGCACGCTGCTATTGTAAATCCGTGGATGTTTTTTTCCAACCACCCGAGGGGGGTGTCCTAGGTCATGATGTTTTTCCACCACGGTTCAGTGCATGGCTTTTTAACAGAGAAGTTACAGAGGTAAGGCCAGTGTGGTGAGTATCGTTCGGTGAGTGAGCTTTTGTTTTGTTAAATCCTAAATGTTATTTTTAAATATTTACCAATGATTTTTGGTTGTCTTACCTGTTTTAGCGTTAGCTTGTTAAATATTGATAAATATTAAAAGCAAAAGTAACTTATATGAAGAGTAAAGGAATGGTGAAATTACTACATATGTAATCATACATTTGTAGATATTGTGTCATTTTACGAGCTTTGGACACGTGGACATTTGAAATTGTAATTTGCATACGAAATACTTTGAATTTATTAACACCAAAGGTTGATCTTGATTTAAAATAATTCTAACATTTTCATACCCTTAATTTCCTTATCTTTTATAAGTTAAATTCAATATCCATAATAATCAATAACGAATGTGCTCAATAAAATTAATGTTTACCTTTTAGAATGGGTGATTCAGAGTATAGCAAGTTCAATTTATCAAAGAGACTTGCACATAAAAATTAATTTAGATTGATGGGGGTAATTTTGAGATATACTCGTAATACGTCCTGAAATGCTGGCAATTGAATATATGTACTACTCACACGCATTTACTTACCAAAGTGGTAAAATGGAAGCCACCTCGCCAAATGTTTTTGGCGTTACCTGAGCTCGTCACTTGCGGAGTGGGCGGGGTGTCCAGAGAGGTGGAAGTGGGTGTGCTCAGCACAGGGGTTGTGGGCGGGGCCAAAACCGCGGGCGTGGAAGCCACCGTGGGCTTAATCAACTTGGTTAACTTCGAGGGCGGTCCGATCGGAACTCGCACCGTTACCTTCTTCTTGGGATTCGGTTGCAATTGGGTTTGCTGGTAGGTATCCTCAATGTCCTTCGCCGGGGACAGGGATTGCAGCCGGGGCAGGTCCTCCAGGTCGATCATGATTGCTTATCAGCCGGCACAAATGGTGATTAGTCGGTATTTCAGCTGAAACGAAAGCAAAAGTCGAAGGTATAGATAAAGATGGTTGATTTAACATAGAAGCAGCTTGTTAGATACTTTAATAACAAATTCGTAGAGGTATGTAACTTATAAATCGCATAAAAATTGGAAAAGTTATGGGATTAGAAGTGTTAGAAGTTCCAACGCATCAACCTATTATTATTTTCTTTTTTTTGAAAGCCATTTATAATTGTTTATGAATTTTTTCCCATTCTTAATAAAAATAATTATACAACCTTGTACATATATAAATCTTTTCTTAAATGAAATTTAAAATTCCAACTTATTTCGATCTATCAGGTTTTCACTGTATCTAAGTTATAAATACTTGATAAGAGTGCTTCGATTGGCGGACTTCTATGAGGAGATATAGCGCAGCTAAATGGTTTGTTTATTCATTGATTGTGGTTGCCATTTATGGGAGAGATTACACACATTCACATGGAATCAGATGTAGATAAGTACAGTGGATGCCCAACAACAGCAACTATAAAACCAGTCGCAAATATCGAAAGATAACCATGTGAACTCGACATTCATTATCTATTAATTGATATGGAAACTTAGCATTTGATATCAGTAACCATAAATGGATTCTCTCCAGGTGAATTATCACTGTACAGTGGGACCTGCCTTGAAAGCATGCAAATTGCATCAGCCAATGTTTGAGCACAGGATTTTCCGATTAGATTGTGACCATAAATGAATCATAAAACAGAACCAATTGGTTTCTCTTCTAAATTGTGGGAACCTGCCATGAGTCGGTTTTCAAGAATCGATCGATAAGACTGTGGGTCTATAAAAAAATATAAAAATACGATTTACTTTCCTTCAAATCTTTAATCTTATGATCTAAGATATAATGATAATAAGATACAATGATCTAAAATAACTATTTGATTAGGAAACAGATGTTGCAACTTGCAAGGAATGCCTAATACGAGAAAATTTTTTTTTAATCAAAACGCTTATCATAAAACAAAGTTATTTGGTTTCTGCAAAATCTAAAGAATTATCTCTATATTAGTGACTTATTAAATTGTCCATAATATATGCTCACACGTGTGCCTCACCTGATTACTATTAAAGTAACTATGAGTTCAATTAAGACCCCCCCGAAGTCGAGAAACCCATCAAACAGCTATAACTAATCAACATTCGGACCAAATCTAATAAAAACTAGTTATAGACTATACGTGGTTCAAGGGAATTATGGCCAAATTTAGATTTTCTGGGAATTCTTCAACGTTGCTTTAAATAATGGTCAAAGTTAACAGTTCGGAAACGAGATTTCTGTTTTTTTTTTTACCATGACTCAAGCAAATGTGTGAAAAAGTAAAACAATTACAACGGCAAACAAAGTCAATGAAAAACGTTCGACGGCCAAAAGCGATTCTGTTTTTAAAGATGAAACACTTGACAAGAAGCGAGCGAGAAAGAGAGAGAGAGAGAATGATCAAAAGCGGGGAAATACGGTTGCTGGGCTGCTAAACAAAAGTCTGGCTAAAATAAAACTGGAAATGAAAGTTGTAAGATACAAAGTGCGTTTTAGAACTGCTGGTTTTTCGGTATTGAGATGCTTAAGGCTTAAATTAAGTGTTTTGGGAAGAGTTTAACCTGTTTTTGTTATTATTACACTCGATCCCAATAAACTAACTCATTGGTTGAGCATTTAAAGGATTTGCAAAACTCTAATTAAGTTAGGAATTAATTGCAACTCAATTATTCAACAATTCAGTTGTCAAGTGACGATAAATTCTGGTTGAGCCACTTGTTGTAGACATCATTCGGACTTTGTACTTCACGCAAGTCTCTTTAGCAGCTTCCATTTATTTGCAAATCATCCCAGTCTAGGTATTCATATTCAAACAATGAAATCACAATGCAAACATGGTTAATATCGAACGGTGTTTTTCCCCGAATCCAAGTCAACATTGCAAATCTGTTCGACTCGAGAAAATAAAAACAAAACCAGTTTCTCAAAGTTTTTATATGAATATACTCTGGCAAAGGGGAAGATGATCTTACTGGCTTACTTTGTCGCAGATGAAAGTAAAAAAGTTAAGTTTACATGTTTGCAATAGTAAAAGTAACTTTTAAACCAGATTTTAATCAAATGAATTAAAAATGTAATAATAATTTCTAAGAACATTCTAGGTATAAAAGATAAAACCATTTCATATAACCGATATTTTTGTTTTTAAACATTACAATGAAAGTATTGTAAACAAAGTAAGAGTATTGTCAACTCGGTACGTAACCCATAAGCCAATTTAGACGGCAGGCTTTTAATAAATAGCCTCTGGTTGTTGTTTTCGCCGACTGAGACAGTCGTTTGATGCCTTGACGCAGTTTATAATTTGAATCAACGCTGGGCATAATTAAAACTCGGAAAAAATGCGAAAAAATGTGAGAAATAAGCTAAAACCAAATAAGCAAAGTCCAAAACAAGCCTCGTTTGGTCGATGTCGAGTATTATTCTTCCGAACACCCAGTACATATTGATTTTAGCAATTACCTGACAATGTCGCGTCAACAGGTGAGTGAAAGAAAAAGAAGGAGGGAGGGGCGGGGAAAGAGACGGGGAGAAACAAAACAGCAAGTCCGTGTTTAGGGATCGTCATGCAGTTTGACTTTTTCATTCACGTGGGGGGATATAATAATAAACTAACGAAAATGTCGTGACAAAGTCTTTAGAAGCTACCGCACATAATAATAGATTGGGCGTCTCAATTGGGGAGATCGTTAGCCAGGTATATGTTTTTCGTAAACACTTGTATATTTAGCTGCCAAACTCTCTGAAGCGTAACACAGTTATTCGAGTGTTTCCAATATTATTTTTTTTGCTGCTGAACTTTTGGAACTTTCATTCATTATCATTAGCCAAAACACACAACACAAAACCACTAATGTAAATATTTATATGTAACACTCAGTCCATTTATTTTGTTGAAGAGCACAGCAAAGAGAACTAAAGAGAACGAAAAGTGATGACCACATGCCGGTAATTTTATGCGAAATATATTGTTTGTGCGCAAAATTTCCGCAGAAATATAGGTATACATAAACTATTATTTTCAATGTGGGAGAACGATACAGAAGGCGTCCGTTCTATCCAAAAGTTTACTATTAAATTGAACTTGTTGATTAGGGCAAATGTCTAGAATGCCAAAAACACAGATACACACGCACACTCTGCCAAACACGCGCACTCACACTCGCACACTAGGAAGTAATTTTCATTGGGGGGTGTGGGGGTAAATTAACTTGGCGGGCTTAACGACGCAATTGTTGTGCCCCTTCAACTGTCCGACATTAAATGTAATTATTTCGCACCCGTAATTGCCTTTTATTTAACTATTTTCTCTTTACCTAGGCTTTAAACCTTTTGTTTTGTTTATGTTGTTGTTTTTGAAACACGGAATTTGTTTTCAAATGGCGCGCCACGCTCAAAACACTTGTTATTATCGCTGCTGAAGAGCGAGCTTCAAATATTACGTATACGACGGGTAGTCCACTTAAGAGCATCCACAAGCAAATCAGCTGGTTGGCCAGTGAGAGAGGGTCGAGGCGGGGGAGTTGCGATAAGTGAGCGAGCGAGCGGCTGGGCGATTGTAATTGACTGAACGGCTGTTCAAAAAACACTGACAAAAACTCTGAAAAGTCAATGGTATTCGCTCGGCGCTTCAGCTGTTTGCGTCGGCAGTGAAACAGAGAAAGAGAGCGGGAGCGCAAAAGAGAGGGTCGGCGAGCGGGAGGCGGGGAGAAAGAGATATCGGGAGGCCCCAATCGCCAGGCGAAACTGGCAAGCTGGCTGATAAAAGCGAGCAGATAGCGCAGGGCAAGTGCTCACTTGCTGTCGGCGCCTCAGTCTGATTTGTGTTTTGTTGTCTTTGTTGTTATCGTTGTTTTCGGGCAGTGTGCGCGGCTGCTTCTTAATTGATCCGCTAACACACCTGTGCTATTCGTTTGACATCTTCCGCTTGAAGGCGCCCGGAATCATTGGTTTTTTTCGCTACTTTTCTATTTAAAGATTTTTATTGAACTCTGCTTATCAGTGTGATTGGTGTGACCAAATGCGTGTGGGAGTAGTGCAATGTAACCAGCGTTTATTCGCGAATACTGGATGGATAAAGTACTAAATCAAATGAATATTATTAATCATACCAAAGTAAATGGTAGCACAACTTAAAATAAATATGTTATTCGTTATTGATTAAAGTATAAAAACTCACCCAGCAGATTAGGTTCTTTCGTATGTTTTACGAGTACATGACAGTTTTTAGGGAAGACTGGCGCTTAGTCACAAATCAATATCCAGTGACTACCATACTTCCTGGCATTTCCGTAGATAACTTACCTCTTAAAATGCCAGCTAACAATTCTTGTTAAAACAATAGCACTGCGGGTACAAAGCAATTCGATCCATAAAGTGTATTACACTGAATTAATGGCGATAGTATCAGTCCCATAAATCAAATTATTATCGCTGATATGTATATTTTATGCTTATAGAATGCGTTGAATTTAAATGTTAACGGTCACTGAATAGATACGTAGATAAATCAAATAACCTTTTTATATACAGATTAGTTATCGTTTTTATTAATATTCCCATTTGACTTAAATTAAATTATGTAAATATATATTTATATATAGATGTGTATATATCATTAGCATACAATTAAATTTACGTCTTTAGAGTTGCTCTGCCTGCTTTCCATTGCATTCTAGATACACTTGTATTTTCCCTACGCGAATTTCTATATAAAACCTGATAGCCAATGCATAATCAATAATTTCTTATAAATTGATGCCAATTGCAAAAAAATTTCGTCTAATAAAATTAACTAGAATTCGTTTTCAAACCTTGAATAAAGAAAAGGCCATTCTTCAACTCCAGGATAAAGCGCGGGTGTGGAAAAGGATTAAGGAAGGTTCAGGAAGGGTCACGTGTTTGTTTTCGATGAACTAAATGGAACCCAAATGTGACATGTCAATCAAAGCTGTGGACGGATATGCATTGTACAATACAATTAGACGGTAAATGGGTTTACGATTAAATCAAAAGCAGTCGGAACCAAGGCGAAATACGAAATACTTCATCGTCAGTTGATCTGTAAAACTTTCTAAATCTTCCCCAAGTTTTTGTTTTTCTTGTTAGCTTGAGTATCTCTCGTATTCTGTGTTCTTTCTGTATTATCTCTATTTGGGTTTATTTTCATTTATCATTTTTAGCTGCTTGTTTGGCTTATACATTTGTCGAAAATCCGTAAAATCGCTCCAAAACTTGTTTTTGTGTTTTCTCTGTGATCTAACTCTGTCGCTAATAAAGTTGTATTTTTGTATTTCTTTCTCTATCTGTCTCTCTCGGTATTTCTATTTATTTTTTTGAATATATTTCGGGGTATCTGAGCGATTGACTTCGAGTATCTTTGAGTTAGTCTTAGTGTGTCTTAGCCAAGCAAATTGTTTCCATCTATACAACATCCGCTAAAACCAACCTATTCTTCCCAAAACGAAATCGAAGATATTAAATGGTTCGCTTGAAATACACATCCATAAATTAGCATAGACAAATTTAGCTGAAGGTTCAACTCTGGGTCTGTTCAACCTTTTGTCAGAGAGAGATATCGCAGGCGTGGCTTAAAGGGAATTGTTAACTTTTTGGATTAAAAAACTATGTGTTTTTATTTTTTTGAATAGCTTGTGACGTTTCTTTTGTTGTTAATGATAATGATAGGTGAGTTACCCCCATGAAAACTGATCGAACTACGCACCTGACCAACCCCAAGCTAATCTCACCGCATGGCACTCTCTTATCGCCAATGGCACAACTTATACACGTTTATATGGTTTATAATGACAAAACCGGCGTGCCATCGGACCCAGTTTCAAGTGGCAGAAGTCGACGGATTCCCTCAGTTTGCACAAACACCTCGGGCCTTAAAACCAGGCTATCTTTAGGGCAGACGTTCCAACACTAATCAAATGATAAGCAGCGATATGGTAAACTGGTAAAACATATAGTAAAATGTCTTTAATTTGAGTCGTAGTCGTAGTAATCGGAACGTTGTAAACTGATAATCAGTTTCTGTGTCTTATGCGAGTGCGGAAATAAAAAGTGTTGAATATGTTTGGGTTCTAGCAAACTACAGCCTGTATGCCATGTATGTACATATGGGTATGTCTATATGTAGTTTCGTATCTCGATTCCTTAAGTAATCTTTCTGCCTGGCCTCAGACCCAATTAGAGCTCGAAGGAAAGTAATTCTGCGCTATTTGACAATTTTTAATAAGAACCTATGCTTTCTTTTGAATGTTCAATGGCTTAAGATAGTTAATTGCTATGGCAGCCATTTTATATTATTAACAGATGTTAAGCTAACTGGATAAATTTTACTGCATTTTTGAATACAATTTTTAATAACTTGATCGTTTCGTTTTAATTAAAACTTGTTTTAAGCTGATTTAAGTTTGATATTTACGACCCATTATTTTTACAGCATTTAAAATGTAAAATAACCCGCTAGTAATTTAAAAACAATACATGGAAGCTAATACTGATTCTAAAATACACAAATCATGGGGTTCGTTTACCTTAAAATATAATTTTAAGCCTTGTTTGGTTTTGGTCAGGCAGCCTACGGTATACGTGGGTATTTATAATAGATAAGTAAATTATCTTTGGACAAAAGGAAGATTTCTGTGATATTTCGATGCGCACATACACGGACACACACACGAGCACACACCGCTCACTAATACTAATATACATATGCTATACAATTACTAGAATGCATTCATTAGCGATTTAGTTTATCGATTTTGGGGCTTCTTTTGTTTCCTTTTGTTTTAGTTTTTATGAAAAAATATGTTGTTCTTCGCTTACAATCTACAATTATCCATTGCTCTAAATATGTTTGGTTTTTGTTTGGTTTGTAAAATATACATACATATACAATATACATATATAGATAGATCCTTATGTTCAGTTGTAGATATACACATTCGCATGTGCTAGAAAAGGTTTTCTCCACTGGGATAGATATACACATATATAAGAGCTGCTTGATCGTAGCAATCGTAATTTACACTTGAGTGGCTTGACTTTAAGTACTAAAATTATAGGACAGCTACAGAGAAAACCAAGGAGATCGATCGAACTGGCAATGATATGGTAAAGAGTATAGATCCATAGTGTTAGTTAACTCGGCGAAATCAAAGCTCACTTAAGATTCGTGATTCTGAGAGAGGAACATAATTACAAATGAGTTTGAAGAGAGCGAGAGAGAGAGACAGAACTGTGTGAGGACCTCCGTATTCCGTTCTATCTCCTCTATCGGTGTGAGTGCAGATTGCCCTCCACCCACTTGTAGAGCGAGGTCTGCGACCTGGCCACCCACTCCACGTTGGAGGCCACGCTGCTCAAGGTCATGTTCAGCACCGACATCCCGTGACCTCGTCCAAAGCGATGCACCAGCGATTTGAGCTGCAAAAAGGAAAAAACACTTGTAAATTTACTTTGAACTTGTGTATGATTAAATAATTTAAAAAGAAAAATCAGATACTTAAAATTAGATAGATACATTTTTAGATACATTTATCTCATACAAGAAAATTCCTTTTGAAGAAAACCAAAAATAGATTTAAATTCGAAGTCAAAGGTTTGTTTTTGTAAACAACACACCAATAACAACTTTGCATATTAACTGGTTCTAACTCACCTCATCGTAGTCGAACTTGGTAGCACCGTATTGGGTGATGGCCGAAATGACCTTGGCGAAGCTTATGGTGCCCGGGCCAAGCCGCTTCTCCAGCTCGAACCACTTGGCCTGCAGGAAGCGACATGCCATCGCTCCACCCGTTGGCGTTCCTGCGATGGCGTTGAGCACCTGCACCACCTCCTCGGAGGGCAGCATTGTAACATGCGAGAGCAGCCGATTCTGCAGCCAGGCATCCTTGGTCCTTCCTAAGGCGCGGAGCAACTGCATCCGCTCCACAAAGGTCTCCGAGGTGCGTGGCAGATTGACGAAACGCTCCCAGCAGTGCTGCCAGTATATGTACTCCCCAGACAAGATGGAACCGGTATAAACCACCTAGAAATTCAGAAAAATCGGAAGTTAATAAAAAACATATTTGGTTAATAATATTAAGCATTACTTACCTCTCTAAGATTTGGTGGAATAGCTGAACCATTGTAGTAAAGATATTGGTTTAGCATATTTTTCGCCTTGGTGATGCTATCGATGTCCTCCCAAAGAACTGAAGCCAACAACACTTCGGGTCGCATTAATCTAAACAATAAATATTTATTTAATTTAAAGCCTTAAAGGTTTTCAAGATGACACCTTACCTCGTAGCCACTTCACCATCATCCGACCAGTCCATCTTCTCCATAACCGTAGAGATCTTCATCTTGATGAACTCACTGAGCATGAGGAAGCACTCGGAATACTTAAGAATCCGTCGCCATTTCTCCAAATGCCTCAAGGCCAAAGCCATGGGTCCATAGTGCGTTTCGCTGGGCAGATACTGGATTATATTCATGGTGATCTCGCAGGGCAGTAGATTTGCATGGCAGAGGGTAAAGGCATCCGATAGCAGACCCAGACGATCCTCGCTGGTAAAACGCTGCGGATTCGTGGACAACTCCTCGATGATGCTCGCCCAATTGTCATCGTTGTAAACCACTCGATAATATCCATTCTGTATGGCATTTACCTTGATCCATTTAACATTCTCCGGAACGTTGAAGGTTACTAAAAAATTGATAAAGGATTTAATAGAAATTTTATGCTACTAAACCAATACTCACCATCTATGTTCTGCATCCAGAGCGTTTCACTGACATTGTTGATGTCGGTCACATAGGTGACTGGAAAAATCCACTTAATATGTGGCACGGCCTTGTGTTTGCTACTCTGTGTAGTTGGCGGCACTGTACTCGGCATATCCGTGGCATTTAACCCGCTCTTATTGTAGTTGTTTCCATCGTAGAAATCATCATGAATGGCGAGGAAGTCAGCTGGTCGGAAGGGTCTCTGCGAAATGGAGATACTATTGCCCATTTTGGTGACCGTGAGGAGAGGAAAACCAGGCTGATGTGTCCACAGAGTCATCATATCCTTGATGTTCTTCGAACCATTGGCCTTCTTGGTGCAAATGGTCCACAAATCAGTGGGTTCGGCTGTCCTAAATCGATTCATCTTAAGGAATGAACCCAAACAGCCCCTAAATCGATCTTCGCCAATGGCCGTGTGCAACATGGAAAATATGGCCGCCGTTTTCTGGACAAAGAACTCCTCATTGTTGCCATCGTGACTCGTGCCGTTCATGATGCTATCCCATCCTTGAATGGCATCGATATCCAATGCTGCCGTGGCCATTTTCAAGAGGTACACTTCTCTCAAGGGCCAAATATCGAGTAGAGGAGCCATGGCATGGATGCCCAAGTACTGGATCAATCCCTCCCACAGCCAAACATCCTTGAGCACCTTCCGAGAAGTGATTCCTCCAAAGAACTGTCTCACCATGGCCTCGGCAATTCGCAGAGCACTAAACTGATACTGCTCCAAGGTGATCGAAGCTGGATCCGTCAGATAAGAGGTTTTCAAGGTGACCAATCCCAGCGAGGAGATCATATTCCGATCCAGCGAGGGCAACGCCACAAAGTCCACCTTCGTGAGGGGATAACTGATGTCCAGCCAGGTCTGCAGGTATTCCAGGACATCCCGGGATGTGTGCAGAATGAAGTTGGAGCGACTCAGCACATCCCTGGGTGCGTAGAAGGTGTACGAGGGAGCTCTCTTGATCGACGAACCCGTCGACTGGGAAAGCGATGTGAGATTCGTTGGCTTCCCGTTCCCATTCAGATGCACTGGCCAAGCTGTCGTCGTGGTGGGCGGTGCAATTGTCAGATTCTGTCGCGGCGTCAGGTTCACATTCAGGGAGTGTGTAAGGGCAGTGATGTTTCGTACCGGCGGGTTTTTGCCTTTCAGCTGGGTGTAATTGTTCAGCTGGGCGGACTTTTTGCCACCCAATCCGGATCCCGGTGGCGCTGGTGTCGTGGGAATATAAGCCGCCGAGGGCTGAAGGGATTGTCGCTGGAAATCGCTCACCACCCAAGCCACAGCATCTGCGGGCAATGGTGGCGTCTCAATAAAATCATCACGGAGCTGCAGGGGAAATATCATTATGTAGGATTCCTTTACTTATTTGTTTGGTTCGTACTCACCAGTCCTGTGCCCATGTAGAAGCCCACGTCCTCTGTTGTGTGCACTATGGAGTTGGACAAGGCGATGTGGAAGCGATCCCGGAAAACAGAAATGCGGAATGGCGCCCGAACGTGCGGCTCATCGAAGCAGGGAAATGCTCGCCTTGCGCCATTCGGTCGGAAAACTGTGGCAGCCAATAATCTGCAAGAAAAATAAATAAATAAATAAATAAAAAAATATAGAAAATATAAAAATAGGATTAAAATATGTACCTCTAAATGTATATATAAATTATATAGATACCTTTGTAGAAGATATTGTATCATGTTAACTATTATATATCATTTTTGCAAACCATGTTCATTATTTTCTAATGAAAAAAATACTACTTAACTACTTAATTTTTGACTTTTCATTTACAAAAATAAAAAGCAGCATTGGAAGGACCTTCCTACCTCTCAACGCCGTTCTCGCTTTCGTATTGGTCCACATAAAAGCCCTCTGGCTCCGGATTGAGTTTGGAGTACCAGCGCAGGTTGAGGGTGTAATTGGACTTCTTCTTGAGCTTCTCCTTTACCTCGATGTAAAGTTGCTGCCTCGGCGGAAACTCCAGCACCTTGACAATCTTGAGGGCGTAGCCCTTGGGCCCCGGGGTCACTATGGCCTGCAATCCAGAAAAAAAAAAATAATAAAAATGCAATCAATAGACGCTCTCGAGCCAGACGCTAATTGGCTTAATTTGAATGCAGAGCTGGGATTTGCTTACCTTCTCAGTGACATTGAGGTCCTGGATGTGCAGCACAATGAAGTTGGTCTCCTTCTCCACGTGCAAATCGATGGTGACTTGACCTGGCCAAGCGGAAGTATAAAAGAGGAAAACGGTTTAATTGCAAGTCAGACACAATCGGATTATATTTCCATCGTTAAATGAACTTGGGGCAGAGAACCAAGGTGAAAAAGAGTAATTTAAGTTGTTAGAATGGGTAAATAAGGTTTACTTCATAGGTATATGGAATATTAGAAATATTTTTGCTGGACTAAAACCTCACCTTTGACATCCAGTGTCGTCAGATTGGGATGAATAGTGACCATGTAGCGAAGGGGTCGCACACTGGTGGGCAGCATTTTCTCCAGCCAGGGAAACGGTTCCCCGTTGGTGGCAATCGGATTGAAGGGCTGCGTGTTGTTCTCTTCATCCGTTTCGTAACCGGAAACCGTTTTCGATCCACAGGAGCAGCCTGCAAGGACAGTCAATGTGCGTAATCAGTATCGTTTGAAATTTAGGACTGGTAAATCTTCTTTTTCGCGAACGACTCTTTCAGGGATTCGTAGCTAAGTTCGTTAAAGCAAAATTGCATTATACACAATCAACAGAGAGAGTTAAGGGGATATTCATCTAAGTCGGGGTAGGGGTTTAGAATAAAGAAAAGCTAGCAGTAAATCGGTTTATTAATTGGATTCAGTTCAAGTCATTAGCACATCTAGTGGGGATGAACGGAACTCAAAGGGGGAATTCACAAATGAGGTTTCTTTCTAGCTGAATGTCGCGATTATTCAAATGCACTCGAATTAGTAAATGGAATTCATGGAAGATCTAACGATTACAATCCTTAATTTATCATTTATTTAACCAAAATCATAAAAAAAAGATAAACCGTAAAACATTTCAGAATAAAGAAGAGATTAGAAAGTTGACCTTAAAGATTGAACTTTAATGTTATCGAGATTTTTTTAATGATTATCGATCATAAGTAGTTAAACTTTATAAAGATCAGTGCAATTGCCTTTTTGCAATTTCTAATAATAATTGTGTATTTCAACCATCTATTAAATGATTAACTTGGCTATCAATGACTCTTCCTATGATCAGTGGTATTTAATATTTACAATGAACATTCAAATTAAAAAACCGGACCCTTCTTCCACTATCAAAATAAATCAAATAAAAGATCTAACATCTAGAGAAAGAAGGTAGAGAAATAATAAAAGAGAAAGGGATAAATTAGAAACAACAGATGATCAATGACATCAACATGCCGAAGGATTATATAGATTTTCATGGCTATTTACCAGTTCAGAAGTATTCGGGTTTGGCATAATTGTTACTCACATTTCAACCAATCAATCAAACAAGCATTTAAGAGAAATATTTCATATTTTTCAAAGATTCATATATATAATAAACATTTTGGTATACAAAGTCGAAGGCAAAGGGAAACAAAAGTGGGAAACAAACAAACGATGGTCAGGAAATCAAATAGATATTATTATGGTTATATATACTGTATATAGGAAAGGTTGTGGAAATCGTGTAAGGCTGGTCGCACTCTCTAACTGGATTGGCGGAAGCAAAAGTTAAAGCTACACGGAGACAAGCGCTGATTAATAATCGAGCTCTCAACAGGGAAAATTAACTTTCTGCCAGACATGTGTCTGTGTACTTTTCCCTCTCCACTCCATAAGCACACACTCGCACACACACACACTCCTGTGGCTTGTTTTCCCTTTCCCTTGGGCCGAATGCAATTATCCCCCAATGCATTTAGCCCCATTAGGTATGCAACGGAAACTTCGAGCGAGTATGTGAGTGTTTGCACTTTGCATAATTCTACAATTGAATATGGCCAGGGACACAGAGTATCGGGTCGAGGCCTATAGATCCATTGGGGACATTGGGGACGTTTGGGGCGGAACAGGTGGGTTCAGGTGATGCAATTGCATCTATTTATACGCGAAGTGAAATTGATGCCTTCACGGCCCCACTTAATATGGTTAAAAGCATATTGCCCGTGGCTAAATGGATTGCTTGGCCACGTGGTTTATGACCTGCTGCGAACGCCGCCGGTCAAGGAATTCAATTACCATTTATACGGATTTATTGAGCCTCAACTTTGAACCTTCATGCGGCCTTATTTATAGATACTAAGGCAGAAAATGGGCTACATTATTCATGTTTCCCTTACACATGTTGATTTATGATTCCTTAGCATGTGCAATATTATACTAATGTATTTCTGGCTGTTCTGGGTAGAGCTTATAACTTTAGTTTATTGATTTCCCCTAAAGCTCTTATTAAATACAAGGTTTTGTATTTAAAGTTTATTATTGCTGGAATTTGAATATACTAATTACAGTTTACATCAATGTATTAGTGTTATTTTACCCCCAACAATTTATTTTGTTATTTAAAACCAATTTATTACATTTTTTGTTGACGCGAAGCTTAACATTTTCGCCAATCCTAAAAACCCTTTCGGAAAACCAAATTATATTACTCTATTGTTCTATTTACGTCAAGCTGAAACCCTCTTTAACAATTTCCCATTTTTAAAGCTGTCAAATTTGGGAGACCCTTCCGATGCCACAAAGCGGACTTCTTTGCCCCGTCACAATTGACTACATATCCTGTCGCCCTCAATAAAAGCGTAATCAAGTAACAACAACAAAGGGTGACCCCAAACCGCTCCGTGTTCTGTTTGTTGGTGGAAATGAAAAGAGGCACGAGGTGAATATGCTCGAAAAAAAGAAACGTCTGGTAAAAAGAAAGGAAAAGAAATGAGGACGGAGTGTGGGTGGTGGGTGGTGCTTTGCAGCACGGGTTCGTGTGGCATGGGGCATGGGGCACGGGGCAAACCTACCATTTTGCGGTCCGGCGTAGGCGATGATGATGGCCGTCAGCAGCAGCGAGCCGAGCACGATTCCGGCCACAAGAAGAGCCCGGCGTTGTGAGCAGACGGCCACTCCGGTGCGCGTCTGTCGGCCGCCGCTCGATTCGCCACCTGTCCAAAAGAAAAGAAAGGAAAAGAAAAGAGGGGCGAAATGTAATTAAACTCCGCATAAAAGTCATAGAGGGGCTGTGCAAATATTTCATCTGGTTGGGCTGCATTGCAATTGCCTTTGGAGTCGAGTGCACGCGGCAGTAAAAATAACACAAAATTGGGGGTCAGCTTACTGGGAAAATACCGATGGTAGATAGAGAGGTTTACTGCCTTTGGGATTTAAGCTTTAACGACCTTAAACTTATGTTTATCTAGCCACCATAAATCAAAGGCTTAACCCGTTTTTTATTGCAACTCCAACTTACCGGATAGAAAGGCACAGTCATCGAGGTCCGGATCATTTGTCATCTCGATGCGCTCGCGACGCCAAATCTTCGAGCCTCTCTGACCACCGCCGACGACCGAAATCTTAACGGGGCCGGTGTCCCTGTGTCTTCCGGCCAATACGTACGCTTTCTAACCGTGGCCGTAAACGAAATGGGGCTCGAAATCGGAACCGAAGTGAACCGCAGCGAACCCGTTAATACACACACTTGGTAATCTGACACACCGCAAATAATTGCCGGCTTATTTGCTCTAGAAGGGAAATCACAATCGTTTTATGGCCAATTCAGGTCGAACCCTTTTGCCAGTACCCCCCGTTTTTTTCCAGTCACGTGCTCTTCATAGTTTATTCACAGGCAATGACCAGAATGGGTATCTTCGTTTACAAGCTTATGGATTTCACCGCTTATGCCCCTGAACCAATAAATTTCCTGCCAAAAAACTCTTTTAACGACTCGATAATCGGGTGGCCGAAAAGAACATTTATAATTTATGCAGATATCACTGTGTTACAAATTTCAATGTAATATACCTTTAAGCGTATATAATAAAATTCACAAATTCACTCCACTCTAATTTTTTATATCTGAAACTTTTTTTTCTTTCGTTGGTCGTGAGATTTTCCGTCTGCACCTTTTAACCACAAAATCGACTGCCAAAAAATAAGGCGCCTTTGACGAGTTGATAATCGGGGACCAGAAATATACATACATAATTTATGCAGATAGCACTTTCCCGGAACGCTTTCGTTTCGAATTTCCTTAGCCGGCTCCATGGCCACCCCCACCCCTTCCAGTTGGCCAAAAGCCAGACGCTGACGCCCTTCCGGTTTCGTCTAGTCAGACTACGGCTGTCCTTCCCTGTCCGTAATTCCGTCCATGGCTTCCTTCTGAGAGTCTGCACTTTTCGCATTCAAGCTCACTGTTTTCAATGTCGCATTGAATTAGTGAAAAGCGCTTTCAACGCCCAAAAATCAACCCCCCAAAAAATATACCCTCATCTCTCTCTGTTTATCCCTATCTCTCTCTCTTTCTGTGTAGCCGGCTTTTGTACGGAATATGTATGTAATGTTTAATGTCCGCAGTTGTGTCTGCCTTTGAGGAGCTCTTGAATTTGAAGTTGGCCGCCTGTAGCATCATCCAGGCATAATTTGTGGCTAAGGTTTGTTGGGCGTAGCAATTTTAGTTTTGGAATGAACCGAGCCGGATTTGAGGGCCTAGCCAATTGGTAAATTGCAGATAAAGCACACACCTTAAAGGTGGCCATGATTCAGGGTTGTTATCTTATTGGTGCATTTGATTTCGGCAGCAATATCAGCTGGTTTCGATAAGAATTCTGCTTTAAAGGCGAGTCAGAAAAAAAAGCTGCCAGTTGCTATATTGGGAATTTCAAAGAACTCAAGTTTATATCAGATAAAAGAAAACAGTATTTAATTGATAAGTCTTTTTATAATCAAACTATTGTTTTCAATTTTTATAAATTTGATAACTTTGCAGCCTTGAAGCAGACTATAGATTTCATGTGAGCCATTGACAAATCACGCATACGTAGATACGTAAAAAGCAATTTAACACAAAACATGGGCATTTTAATATTTTATATCCCCTCTGTGGATTTGGAGTCATAAAATCTGCCATAAAAAGTGATGTATACGAGCGGAAGCTATTTGAACACGTTTTTCGCATGCCAAAATCCTCAATTGCGGCAGGGAAAACTATGCCCATAAAAAGTGGTATTTACGGGTGTCAACAACATTCACTAACTATTCAATTCTCGTTTGCCAGTTTTTGTTGGGCGAATTAGTCTTTAATGAGGTTTCGCATTCTGTTTGTTTTTGGCTTTTCTCTTTGTTTAATGTCAATGTCAGCGAACGAGGCCTAATCCTAATTTCCAAGTGGAACGAACACGATTGTTGTGGCTTTCCTTTGTTTGTCTTCGTGACTGCACCCCCGCACTCTTGCTTTCACTCCCACCACTTATCCATTCACATGCCACGCAAGAAACGTGTTAGTGCATATATCACAATCCCATTTCATTTTTATTTAACGCGGCCGTCATTTGGCATTTGTTTACATTCTCATTTGCTCAGCGAAAATAATGGAAAAATAAAAAACAAAAAAAAACCCAAAGGAGTCGGCAGGAGAGTGGGAGAGCGAAGTAGAAGTGAGAGAGCTTGGAAGTGAGAGTGGGAGAGCGAGTGGCGGCGCACTCTCACTGGAATCTGTGTTTTGAAATGAAATGTCAAAATGCAAAGCTCAACAGCGCGAATTTCCTTTCCCTGTGCGCGTGTATAAGTGAATTTCCTGTTTTGTCTTATGCGGCGTTTTCTTCTTCTCTTTCGCTCCAATCTGCGCGTATATATGTCAATAGTGCGCTTTCCAGTTGCCCCCTGTCTCCTTTTGCTTTTCCTTCCCCCTTGCTTCTTCCTCCTATTTTCGCACTTTTTTGCCTTCAGCTGCTCCCTTTTTCCCTTTTTTTCGCCTTTGTTGCCACTTGACTGAATTGCGGTTCTCAGCTGCAGTTGCATTTTACTTGGCGACAGAGCATAACGGTTGATTATTCCATTTCAGTTTGCTAATTCTCAAAAAAAGAGTACAAAAGCTTGTTGCTGTTTTTTTTTTTAAGGGGGTTCTGGTCAAAAAGGTCAATTTTAACAGATCAATAATAAGAAATTCACACACTAATTACTTTTGCTTTAGCTTGAACTGTTGAACTCTTTAATCAGCTTATTTTCTATTTTTTTAACCGCTAATAGATTTGCTTCACTACACTTTTTCTTTTTCTTTTTTTTTTTGCTGATTTTTTTTTGGTTTCTTTATAGACACGCACAGCAGGAGGGAAAGGTGGGGGGTTGTGGGGACGGCACGCGACGCATTCGCCTCTTTTATACGTGTATATGTGTGTGTGTATGTCTTTTTTGTCAACACCGAATTGTTAGTATCCTTTCTTTCTCAAAACGCCGTATTGTAACACGCGCTTTTTGTTGCGTTTAAGTGCGCGTACGTTTTCCAACTGGATGCTGTCGCAGCGAAACGGCGTGCAGCAACCCTGCGAGATGAGAGGTGGCAACCCAAAGTGTGTCTGGCGCATGTCCACCCTCTCTTTGGCTGTAAGTTCCACTCTCTCAGCGAGTGAGCTTCGCTCACCTGCAAAAGTGAAAATGAAATTTCTTTGGAGAGCCCTTGTGTTTGGTGTCTCCCCCATTCCTCTCTGTGTCCTTCTTTACCCGCACCCGCTGATTGGATTTTTGTTTTGATACAACCAAAAACAAATATAAGCTGAAAAGCTATAGTCACGTCGTATACCCGTTTGAATCACTGTTTACTTGGGAAAAACAGTTTCAATATAACTAAATTATATTAAAACAGATTCAAGGACAATTAAATGAATTTTTTTTAAGTTTTTTGGAATAAACAATCAATCAATAACAAAAGTTGCACTTATTTTTGTTTTCTGAGAGTTATCTGAATAATTGTTATTATAATCCTTTTTTTGAGTAGACCTGTTCAACATATTTCCTATTCTTGAACTCCTCGAGTGTCGCGTATTAAAAGAAAAGCGTATAGTGAAGTGTTGCCAGGCGAACGAATAGCAACCCCTAAAATTCCCCCCAATACACCCCCTCAGCCTCCTCTATTTCCACCCACATGCAATCATTTGTTGTTGTTGTTCTCCATGTTGTGTTGTTTATCATGTGTTGGCCAAATAGTTCAATCTGGCAGGGGCTCATCATTAGAAGTTTCCCTTTAAGGGATGAGTTCCCAGTGCTTTAACATTGGATTTAGTCTGGTTCTCGTGCCGAACAAATTCGTGAAATACGGCATTATAATTATATCGTTGACATGCGAGAGAAGTCGTGATAAAAATGCTGCAATATCATTAGAGTTTGCCGTTAAGGGATGAGATATTTATGATTAAAATTTCATTATTTTTTGCTGCCTTCTCCATTTGGGTTTTACGATGGCCTGATGCTGCGTTTTGTTGCCTACTTTTAGGTCGACTTGGCAACTGGGCGAAACAATCAACAAATGGAGCACAAAGCTCAAACGTAAATGGTAATTCGCTTTAGGAAGTTTGCCGGCAAATGAAATCTCGTTTTTTTCAGCCCTTTATGCCTCTTTGTTTCGGCAATGCGACGAAAGTTTTTTGGGGATACATATAGATGAAGAAACACACCACCGGTTGTTCGCGGTGACTTGCCGGAAAAATTGGGGATGCTCCTCTGGCCCTCAACCTCCCTTTTCTTTAGCATTTTCCCAATTTCCCAAACCACTGGCTTCGGCAACCGGCTCAACTCAATAAATTCGCCGTCACGTTAGTGTAAAGTTTTCCCTTTGGCGGGCTCGTTGGCGGAACCGGGCTGAATCGTGTTCATTAGGCGGTGCCACGCCTCGCCAGACGCCCCCTTTTCGGTTGTCGCTTAGCTGGCTTAAGGGGTTATATACCTTTTTCAAGTTCAAAAAATCGAAAATTTTTTTATTATTTTTTTTTGATGTACATACTTTCAACAATTTTTCTGCAAAATTTTGTAGAGATCGGGGCACTAGAACCTAAGATACAGCCGTTCATAGCGCACGGTGAACATGACTACCTAATGTCCACCTAAAACTTTAAACGCGATTATCTCGCAGTCGCATTTTTGAGAAAAGGTCATTGCGGTGAGCACGATATCTCGGTAACCACTACATCGATCGATTTGAAATTTTGGGGGATTGTTTGTAGATACAATAGCTAGTTCGTGAACGAAGGATTTTTTTTTCGAATTTTTTTCTATTTTTTTGGGGCGAAAAACTAAATTATTAGACCTCGAAAAATCGATTTTTTTGAAAAAACAATCGCTGTAACTGTAAAAAATTTTTTTCGTAAAATCCTTCGTTCACGAACTAGGTAACACTATATACTAACGTAGTTTTTTTTCATTTTTTTTTAAGTTGAGCCGTTTTCTTGTTTTCATGCTCACCGCAAGCCTCTAATGAAAAAAGGACTTCTGCGGGAAGGACTATAACTTCCACAATACTCAAAATTTTCACTCGAAATTTTATACAAATTAAGTTAAGGACACGTACTTTGATAAAATTTTTATTGAATTTAAATAAAACAATGGTAACATGCTAAAAAAAAATAAATAAAAACCATGTATTTCTCTGGTGAAAAAGGTATATAACCCCTTAAAGCGTTGAAAATGCAGCAAAAAACTTTAAGAAATCGTACTCCCATAATATAAATTTTTTAATATTAATAAAAATAATAAAAAAAGTACAAATACTCAGGAACTCCAATAATATTTTATTTATTATATACATAAATCTTGGGAATTTACTCTTCTTTTCAACAATGTACCCTTTAAACCAGTACTGTAAATTGTTGTTTTATTGTTATCAACAAATAGCTCTTTAAAACAATCTTAGGATATTTCCACAAAAGCACTACTATACCTTCAAAGTGTATGTTGCAAAAATGCAAACGATGCAGAAATGCGAGCGGTGAGCCAAAAGTCGCTGCACACGTCGCCCGAATGTTCGGCTCAGTTCTCCGGTTTTCCCTTTTCAACTCTGACCCTCAGACACAACCCCCACACAGGCCGATGCTAACTGAGTTACTCAACACCATTTCCCTTTACTTATCCCCTAACACCTCCTCCTCTTTTTTGTGTCCGACCATTGAGTATTTGCTGTCGCATGCAAATTTACTGGCCGCACTTGTGACTTGTCATGTGCCATACAATCACCACCCACCACCCACAGCCCATCCACTGGCACATATTGATCCCATTGAGCATCTAGTGGAAATCCCCCCATCGTTCACCGCGCATCACTTAGGGTCCCAACTGGTTGAACATTGTGAAGATGGCCACAAGTGTTCGCCAGACTCTCGGATGGGAAAATTGGGAAATGGGGAGAAGCGTGGGGTTGCTGGGTCATCGCTGCAATGCCGATCGAAATGCGGTGGTTAAATAATCGCTGTTTATGAAACAATCAATAAATTTAAGCTGTTACTGCCACTGCTGCAGCGCAAACACTTGGCCAAGAGTCAGCGGAGGGTGGCTCTTGTAATCGAAGCTTGTAATTGTGCTATTAAGGGCTTCTCGGCTGCGCCAATTCGTAATCACGAGGGGAAACATGAAATATAAATCATCGAACTAATGGTAGCAAAAAGAGAAGAAGATCCCGAGTCATCTTCATAATAATGATTCATCTTATGTTTCGAAATTCAACCGAATCACTTTCACGAATAGTTGTTTGTTTTATACACTAGTATTCCTCTTTCCAAAATATATTGCATAAAAAGTAAACTTAAACTTAAAATGTCAATAAACTGATAATAAAAGCCTTGGCCTTGACTTAAATTTATTAAGAACGATGACGTAACATAATTTGCAAATTGAAATATATATTTTGTCAGCACGTGAAATGTCCCGTAAATCAATTAAATGACTCAAATTGAAGTAAAACACAAACAAACATAAACTTATCAGGGAAACCTTGAAGCCGACTTTAGAGGCTACTAATCTGCAGGGAGATAAAGCTGGAATGGGGTCTCCACCTGCTGGTGACCTAGACTATCAGTGACCAGAGATGCCTTTAAAAGGAGCTGCCTTGGCAGGCGGATCCATTAGTTAGCCGCTGAAAATGCCGCGAACGAAAACCGTAGAATGGATCACCTTTAGCCTGGTGCTCCTCAGTTGGGCCAAAGTGGAGGCAGGATGGGTGGCTCCTCCAACCACTCCCCATCCCAACGAAATGATCCTGAACCGCCTGCTGGGCTACATGGACACCAAGGCGAATCCCTGCCAGGACTTCCAGAAGTACGCCGGTGGCAAGTACGAGGATCAGCACGAGGACGACAGCTACAGCGAGTTGCTGGGCGAGATGCAGTCGGCGGTGAACGATCGCTTCCTCGCCATCTTCGAGACACTCAGCGCTCAGGTTCTCATTGACCAGGAGAGTGTGGAGGCCAAGGTGCTGCGGTTCTACCAGACGTGTCGCACGGCCACCAACGAATCGCGATCGGAGAAGCACTACCTGCAGCTGGTGGAGCCGGATGTGGCCTTCACCTGGCCGCAGTTCGCCCGGAGTCGCAGTGCCTGGCCCAAGTCGCAGTTCCAATGGATGCACACCCTGGCGCGATTGCGTCGCTTCGGCTTCGATAACCTGCTGGTCAAGGTCAACGTGAAGCTGGACTTTGTGGACAGCAGCAAATATATGGTGACCATCGATCGTCCAACCTTCGACGATGCTACCGAGCGACTGAAGAACTTTGCCAGCACCAAGAAGCTGCTCATCCGACTGGGCGTGGCCAGGGGTAGGGCCTTGGCTATGGCCAAGAACATCAAGCGTCTGGAGTCGGCCGTTAGGCAGCTGGCCGATGTGGAGGACGAGCCCAACGATGACTTGACCCTGCGGGAGCTGGAGTCCCAGAACGGATTACCTTGGCGGCAGTATCTGCGCATCCTCTTCGGTCGCAGTTTCCCCGAAAACTTCGAGGTGCAGATCCAGAACGTGGACTACTTCGTGGAGCTGAAGAAGCTGATGGACACCTACGACGCCGAGGTGATTGCCATCTACATGATGGCCCGCTTCGCGCGCTTCATGAAGGAGACCAGCCAGAGTGATGCCGAGAACGAGGCGTACGAGTGCATCAAGGATACGAGAATTCATATGGATTTCGGCAGTAACTTCCTGTACGAGAGCAAGCACTTCAGCGACTACAACACCGAAGTCCAGGAGATTTTCAACGCAGTGAGAGCACCACTTCTGGCCAGGATCGAGGCCAATCGACTGAAGTTGAGTCCACGGCAGAAGAACGAGCTGAAGCAGAAGATCCAGTCGATCAACCTCAACGTGGGCAACAAACCGAGGAACCAGAATCACCGCACCTTCGTCACCAACTTCTACAGGGATCTGCAACTGCCCAAGGATCAGGATTACGCAGCTGCTCAGCTAAAGGCACTGGAGATCCGATCCCTGCGTGTTTTGGAGCTGTTGGACCAGCCGGCGCCCAAGGGAGATTCTATGTATTCCCTGTCGGACACCCTGGGCACCACCACACCGGAGCCGACCTACCAAATCAGGGAGAACACCATTTTCCTGCCCACCGATGTCCTGCAGAGTCCGTTCTTCGTTCCCCAGAGCCACGATGTCTTCAAGGTGAGCTTCCTTGGCTTCATGATCGCCCAGAAACTTGTGGAGGCCCTGCTGCCCCAATCACTATTGTACACCGCCATCGGAAATCCCACGATTAAGTTCGCTGAGATTGAAACCAATGAGAATTATGCCCAGGGCCTAAATTGCCTGAAGAGCAATGCCACTGAGTATTTGGACCAGCGAGTGGTGGATGTGACGGCTTTGAAGATGGTCTATGAGGCCTACTTTGGAGCGGGTTCAAAGTTCAGTCAGTTGCAACCCAGCTTCACCACGATGACCCTGCCACAACTGTTCTTCCTGAACTACGCCCAGAATCTGATTGGAGACGAGGAGCATGTGGAGTTCGTTGGCGAGGATCCGGACAAGGTGCGTCTCCATCAAACGCTGGCCAACCTGGCTGGTTTTGGCCAGGCCTTCAACTGTCCCTATTCGAGCCCCTTAAACCCGGTGGTTAAGTGCGATGTCTGGTAAACTTGATCTTGCAATTGCTTCGAACAAAAATGATTCAAATAAAAGAACATTTTTATAATACATAAATATGTTTTGTTTATTTTGTTTTGCTAAGCTGATAAGCAAAGCTTAATCTCTATAATATTTTTTAGAGACTCTTCTTTGAAAGTTCTCTCTGGCATACTTATCAGTTTTCTATTTGCAATGACGAGCAACAGACCTATATTTTGGATTAGCTGCCTGCTGATATTTTGCGTATTCGCAAATGCTGAAGTTTATAAGGATCCAAATGTTGTGGCTCTCAGCCGAATGCTGAGTTCCATGGATGAAAGTATTAAGCCTTGCCAGGATTTCCAAAACTATTCAGCTAAGTTCCTTAAAAGAGGTAAAAGCGTCAGCTTGATTGGCGAGTTCCAAAACATACTTGAAGATGTGAAGCATCAGGATTTTGTTAAAGGTAGCTTGGAGGAGAAGATACAGCAATTCTACAATATTTGTCTGGCAAGAGAGCGCCCTGAACACAGATATCCTGTTGAAAAAATGACTCTCCAGGAATTGGAAAACCAGTTTGGAATGAATATGAGTATATATCTCACGATCCATTACGATATCAGTGTTCCTCCTAATACTTTGGTGGAAATTCGGGACCGAAACGATCTGATGCGGTTCAAAGAGTTGTTAAGAACCTTTGATCCGGATGTAGAACCCCATCGGGAGATTGACAAAATGTTTTGTTTCTCTCTTGAACTTCCCCTCATCGAAAGGGTCAACCAATGTGTAAAGTCAGTGTGTCTTTATCTGAATTTGGCCACCAATTTGCTCTACGAGGAGCGTGTTTTGGGAACCGAGAAACTAACCCAGTACTATACTCAAATCAAACCAATTTTCGAAGCGATTCGCCAGCAGATTAACATCAGACTTGAAAGAAATTCAATGAACTACACCACCAACGAGATAAGGAATCTTCAGGACAAACTAAGTAACCTAACCTTGAGTATTGGAAACATACCAGAGAAGGTAAATCATCGTGAGTTCGTAACCGACTTCTATAAGGATCTGGACTTTTCCGAGGATAACTATGAATCTGCCCTCTTTAAGGCTTCGGAGTTTAGGCGCCAAAAAGGAGTGAGTCAGTTGCAACAGAGTTGGAATACAGTTTACAAGCGTGGCAACATTATTGTGGTGCCCTACAATCTTATGGTCCATCCCTCCTTTGAGCTCGAAAGCCATGACATTTTTAGGGTGATCCCGCTGGGATTTCAAATGGCCTTTACTATGTTGGATATTTACAGACCAAACATTTGCAGCCGATATAACTGCAGTCTTATGAATATGTTCGACGATTACCAGAAAAATACTGTAAATTTGTACAGCTCAAATCTGTCTGAAAGTGAAAAATCCTTGGCTAGACAACAAATAATACTGATGGTCTTTAATTTAGTTCATGAAGCTTACTTTGCACCTGGTTCAAAATTTAGCCAGATTCAACCTAGCTTCACTACAAAAACTTTAAGTCAGCTTTCCTTCTTGATTTTGTCCCAAATCAGTACCAATTTTGAGTTGACTACCAATCTGTTGCCGAAGTTACCCTCATTCCCCAAGGCTTTCAATTGCACCGATTTCAAACAGGATTAATATAATATTTATATTACTTTGTAATAATCTGGATGCACAGAAATAAACAAACTAAACACAATCAAGCATTTTGTTTACTTATTCTTTAATTTTTATATTTTTGTTTATTTATTCTCTTTATCTTTCTATTAATTCTATTATATGTTAATGACTAGTAGCAGATTGCAGTAATCTAAACAAACATTCAATAAATTGGCATAGGTCATTGACGCCGGCATTATCAGCCTGTCTCAGCATTTTGATTGTGCTTAATGCCAATTTAAAGTTCCTTGGTCAGCGATGTGAAGTCCAGACGTCCGTCTCCTTATTTGCACACTCAATTTGAGGCATTTGCCATGATTTAATTAATTGGCAGACCGTGTTCGAGGACCACTTGCAGACTCATTGCTGGCGCAAATAATGCAAAGCGGAAGAGTTGAGCTCGAGTGCCAGATGAGAGGGTCCTGGGAAAGGGATGTATGGATGCCTACGGAATCGATTTCAATGGCATTGGGATCAACTCAAGTGGATCAAACACGGTGGCGAACTAATTGCGCAGAAACCAAGTTATGTTCAGCTCAGCTCTCTTGGGGGAAAAAAAAGTTGAAGGAGCCACTTAACGAACCGAAAATGCCCTTTGGCTGGCTTAAATATTTTTGAACTAACAGAAAATTTTGAATTTTATTAAAGCGTTTTATGATCCTTAATGAAATCTACATAAAGCATAATTACTCCTTAAGCTTACAAAAATAATATATTCTTGTTCCCCAAATGTGTTTGTGTTTTTGTAAGCAGATATTGCAACATTACGCAAAATTGGACATTATGTCGGCCCAGTCTGCCTGCTTTCCTCGTGCAACGAGACTATATATAGAGAAGCCCTTCTGGGCAAGGGTATGCTATATAGCACAAATGAAACCAAATGCACGCGGCTTGGCAAGGCTTCAAGTGCCTCAACAAGTACGAGTGTTGTGTTCCAAGGAGCCCGCGGGCAATATTTTCCATTTCCATTTAATTACGCGCCCAGTGGGAGGTGGGAAAAGTGGGTGGTTGGCTAGCTGGCTGGCTGGCTGGCGAAATGCTGCAGGGGAGGGAATGTGGGGAAGACGACGATCCTTGTGTCCTTTGTAGTTGCATTTAATTGTGTTTCGCCTGCGCCATTTCGCTACAATAAATTGTTGCTCGGCCTGACGTTTTGACGGGTTGACTTGGCTCGCTCGCCCGCTTGTCAGTTTCTCATTTTCCATTTTCACATTTTCCATTTGCCAGTCGCACTCCTCATCCGCTCCGTCTTCCTGTGGAACCCTCTTCCCTCTTCCTGCTCGCCGGCTTCCACTTTTCTGGTTGAGTTTGAAGTTGCCTGACCCAAAAACACATTTCATTTCTATGTATCCTTTACTTTCACTCATCCATCCATACACACACACACACATATACTCGTTTATGGGAAGGGGAACGCCAGGATGCAGCGGAGAAGGCGGTGGAGGAAGCTCGGTGCCACACTTTGGCATGCAGCGCCGGCTGGCAAGGCTCTTGCCGCTTCAATTGTTTCTTGTGGACCCATTTTTATCTCGCTGATGCAGTCCAGGATAGGCGGATTTCTTTATTTGAGTCAAGCCCCTGGCAGAAGTACTCGTGCGCCTCGGTGTATGCGAGCCCATTCAGCCTGCAATCAACACAACGCATCCTGCAATTATCAACATCAGTCGCCTCCGTCGCAGGCTCCTACATTAACCCTTTGACGGGTGTCGGCCTCGAAAGACACCCCTAAGCAAAATCCTTTTACATCGCTTGGGGTTAAAGGTTCTTCAAGCTGTGTATTTATTACATTAAAGCTGGTAACATGCAATTGTAGCCGGCTTTATTAAACTATAGTGGTTTCAAGAGGTTCATCTTTAAGAATAATTAATCGATTTTATCAGAATCGCACCTTTAACCGGTTGAGAATTATAGACACCAGTAAGAAGTTTCCCACAATCACCTTAATTTTTACAAGATGTTTTGAACACCGAGCAAAGGTATTTGAAAAATTCCTTTTTATGGAAACCAAATAAAGGTTAAGCTAGATTCCCTTAAAGTAAACACCGTTGAGCCTGCCTTGAGTCAAGTGGTTACTCCACTTTATGCATCCTTAATTGCTCCACTGGCAGCTGGGACACGAGCACACGTCCACGTCCTGTTCCCGTGACACTGATTTGCTTATCCCAGGGAGAGGGTTGCTGGGGAGTCTGCGGCATGGGTGCGAATCCATTCGAAGGCGAAGGCAACTGGCCCACTTTGGCCCACCGCATCATGCCCAAGTGGGACGATTCAACGCCTTGATAAAGTCAACACGATTTACATATGTTTGTGTTTAACTCTTCTCACGATATTGATGACAGCCTCAAATATGCACAGGCTTATGGTTGGGGTAAATATCGGATGATTAAAGGCAATGCGTAAATATTTATGGGCACAAAAAAAATTCAGAAAAAAATACATATGTATAATTTCGTAACAAGAAAGTAAATATGATAAGTATGCATTTTCTGTATCGAAACATTTGCATAAGATATATAGCAAACTATATTCTTATAGCTTTAATATAACATATATATTTATGCTTTAAAGCCTTTACTGACTAACAGATGATGTAACTTTAAGATTTCCGGATGTAGAATGTTCTCTTACTTCCCCCAATTCTTAATCCCTTCAAAATCACAATTGATATGCCAGACAGACCCTTCATTGAAGTCCCATTACCGCAATTGATGGCCCCAGGGGATCTGTGCTCCGCCATCGCCAAACTCCGGGCGAGCGTAAAATTTTCGCAAAATCGGCGACAGCTTAAAGAGCATTTCGGGAGCACCAACCGAGGACCAACCCCCACCCGGCGCATCCTGTCTATCCTTCGGTGGCCTCCTCGCCAGTTGGAGCAGCCCGCCGGTTCCGGTGGACATCTGTCAAGGCGGAAAATTCCCGACAACGTGGCTGCCGGCTGCAGGCGAGAAAGGAAATGCAAAAATATATCTCGAAAATGGCAAACGGGGCGCTGGGCGAGAAATGAGGGTTGGATGCTGCTGACATTCATTTACTTTGCCGCTGGCCAACGAGGCGTATGAGTAACGGCTGCAAGACGTGGCATTTTTAATGCTTTTGTTTTGCATTCGCCGTAATTAAGAAAACAACTTGATGCAGAATTCCCAGAGGGGTGACCCCAAATTGGCAGCCAAGAGGAGTTTAAATTGCGTGAAGCGTCGGATTATGCACAAGTGCAATTATGCACTCGTTTTTTTTTTTTTTTTTTTTTTTTTTTTGGTTTTGTTTTAGCTCACCCCTTTGATCATTTATGGTGCCCCAGGCAATTGCAATTGCAGAGATTCTCGGAGGTGAACAATTCAAAAATGAGACTCACCGAAGGTGACGCCATTCGTCTGCTTCTCCTTGTCCTTTTCCTTATCCTTGTCGCACTTTTCGCCGCCCAACGGCTCCAGCTCGATGCCATCGGTGGTGGCCACTTTGTAATCGCGCTTCGACATGTTGCCACAGCAGAAGCCACAACATAACATTCGGCCAATTTTGTAGGCTTGTGGTTTAAGTGGCGCCGTCTTGGATTCTTTGCCACGGGGCACGGTCCTCTTTTTGGGGTATTAAATGGGGGGTTTCTCGGTAAATCCTGGCTTCCCGGGGGGCAGGATTTGGAGGATGGGTTTCCGGGGTTAAGCCACTTCTCCTTCGGGTGCTGCGCTAGCGATATGTTTGTCCAAAAAGTGGTCCGTACAAAAGGTCCTTTGAGTGTAAACGGGTATGTAGAAAACTAGAAAGGTCGGTGAGTAGAGTTGATTGTTGTGTTCGATTTCGTTTTTCGGTCAAAAATTGGTCCAGTTCCGGGTGTTAATGTCCTTCTGCAAGTAAAAGAAAACGTTTTTATAATTTATACAAGTTGCTTATCTGTTTAAACAAGTAAGTTAAATTTAACACAAAGTATCCCCAAGCACTTTAATAAAAAGCTATCTAGAAATGTATGTCAAGCTAGCAAACAATGAGTATTTGTGAACACTTTTGAAAGTCTGTCAGGCAAAAGAGACCATCTGGGCCACAGGATCTTCTTCCACACTCCACTTGGCTGCACACAAATTAATAAGAAATAGCTGCAAATATATATATTTGAAATGTTGCCAGAACTCAGCATTCTTCGACTTATTGTTAGACTGCAACTTCCGGTGGAGGCTAGGAAAACCCATAAAGTGGAGCAGGTGGAGGAGAAGGTGGAGCCTGCAACTGATGTCGCCACTTGTGGGCGAATGTCGCTGCCAGGACATTGTGTTGTTCGAGGCAAACAAAACGAAACTTTAATAAAAGCCCTTGCACTCCACCAATCCCCTCCGTTTCTCCCCAATCCCCCACTGCACTTCAGTGTCCTTTGTGGCTCGGCATAAAAAAAAAGGAGTAATAGAAGAAAAAGGCGAGCTGCAACAATGACAATGTCGTGGGCTAAAAAGCATTCGATAGCCTTAGGGCCACGAATGCAAATGCACATCAAATGTGAGCTGTCCCCGAGGAGGAGGGTGGGTGCTTAGTGTGACTGGTTGGTTGCCTAGTCGACAGTAATTGCAGGAGGCTTCCACCCGGCACAAAGGAACCGAACGAGTCGAAGGAATCGAAGGAGCCGCCTGGTCAGGGACTTCCCATCGGTATCGAAGAGGTGCGCCACCGCAGTTCAATGCACGAGCACACTCCAAAAAAGGGGATAATATTTATCTAAAAATACAAAAAGTTTTCAAACCATAGAAATTAAATTAAATAGATTCTTAAGAGGATTAAAAACTGCCATTCTCTTTTTTTTTTTAATTTAAATTGCCGAATTTAATCCCCTTTAAGTAACACTCTTTATCAAAAAAAAGGTAACCACAATTAAAAACCATAAGCCTGCGGTAATAAATGTTTTTGCAGTAATAACAAACAAAAAATTACACTCCAAAAAATGATATAATAAAGGCCTTTTAGGCAACAAGACAAACTTTACAAGCTTTTTTACTTAAGCAGCTGAAAATAAAACAAATTTGTATGGGAAAGAAATTTTAGATAATTCAACTGATGTAACTCATACAAAACATAGTCGAAATGCAACTGCGAACCGAAATTGCTTTTCAAATCACACCCCTTTTCTTGTAGTGTAGCTCCCGTATAAAAAGTCTGAGGATTAGTACCCAGCACTAGACCCAGTTAAATCGAGCAGGGAAAACGCGGATGCGAATGCGAATGCGAATGCGGATCCGTAGACGAGTGATGGCCACTCCATTTGATGGGGCGGCACTTGAAACAAAAGTCGAGGCGGGGCAGGGCAATTGTGTTTGCTGTTGGTAAAACACACAACGTAATAAAGAACTATATAGTGGGAAGGGCGAACTGTGAACTGCGAACTGTGAACTGCGACCTGGCGAACGGGAAGAACTGGACGGGCCATAAACCTTTCAGCCATTTGAAGCACTTGCAACCATCGCTGCCCACAAAACGCTTCTGCCATTAGCAAATTCTCCGTTCCGAGGGCTGGGCCAACTCAAAAATAAACATGGCGCAACAAAGTAAAGCACAAAGGACGAAAAACAAAAGGCAAAAAAGCCAAAATGAATAGAGCAAACAAAGGAATACATATGTAAGCCGATGGAAAATAAAGAAGCGAATGTGCTATACCCTAGAACTATGGAAAGTTAAATCTTTTAGTGAAAAGATCATCCAAATTTAAACTAATCCTTATGTCTTTTCGTATTTTAAGGTCAAAGCCTTTATTAGTGTACTAATGATTTCCCTCTTATTGAGTCATTAAAGCGATGTTATCATTGTGTATTTATAAGAGCTTTCCTAAGGTTACCTATTAATATGATAAGCTCATAAAGGGTAATGTGTTCAAAAAGGATACCTCATTAATTAATGCCTTAATTACGAACCAACAGGATAATCCCGTTTAATGTTAAGGAATGTTTCATATATAAAATTTTAATCAATTTCCAATATACATAGTAAAATTCTGCTGTTATTAAAGGGTATCCTTTGAAGGAGCAAGTTTGCTTGTTGGTTTTGACCATAAAGTGGTCGGGATTAATGGCAAAATGGCGTCAGTTTGTTTGGTGATTTCTTTTTTTGCTTGTTGCGCCCGCTGCATACAAAGCAGTCGAAAAGGAGCGGCCAGGGAAGAACTCTCGGACATACTGGCCATGTACATACATATCCTGGCCAAAAGGACACTGCGGCCAAAAATAGCCAACGGTGTGTTCGGTGTGTATATGTGTGTGTGTGTGTGTTGCGTATGCGGCACGTGTGCAAATTGTGCCCCAATGTGTCGTTTGTTACGTTTTACGTTACTTCCGGTCTGTCGCACGGCGCTAAATATAAATAAAAATGGCCAAGCGGATTTTTTATGACATCCCCTCCAATGCTCTTCCACAGAACCTTTCACGCAGCTGCATTTGTGTGCAGCTTTTTGTGGAAAGCTTTTAGGTGAATCTGGCATTATTAATTTCGACCATATGCAAGGCAAATTGAAGGTCATTTTGGATGGGTGGACGCTGTGAGTGAGGTGCACACACAAACACACACACAAACGCACACCAACACCAGCAAACACAGATTCGATTGCTGACTGAAGCAATCAGTGCTGAATTCGAGAGTCCTTAGAGTCCCATTCGAGGCAAGTACTGGCCCAAGGCCATTAGGCTGGGTGGCCGTTTGCGGGGTGGCAGCTATACGCACTGGACATTGCCTTTGCAGGTGTCACGTTTTATTTTTAGCACCAGTCTGTGGTTAAACTGGCACTGGCACTGGCAGCAGCAGCAAATACGTCTGTGCGATCTTCCAGCTCATAAGCAGGAAATAGCTTCAATATTTAATGCCCACAATCAGGCTGAATAATTGATGGACTCATGTTCAGCCGGATGGAGTAGGCTGCCCCATTGCCATGTTGCACTGCACTGTGGGGCTCTGTTGGTTTTTGTGTCTGGCGCACGGCAATTAACTTGTTTAAGCCACAAGGTAAACATGACAAACACATTTGTCAGAGTCAGTCGTCACTGGCAATGTCAGCGGATGGATGGATATGGATGGGATGGTTGGGCGGTTGGATGGGAATGGAGCGAACAAATGCCTCCGAGGACTCCGAGGATGTCGATACAAAGCGGCTAGACAAACAACACAAGTCGCAGCATGTTTTACCCAAAGCTGATGATTGAAGCCACCACGAGTATCCTTCCGTTTTTAGGCGCCAAATAGAGAAGCACTTTCATATACTATATAGTATAGTATGAGCTGTTTTGTTGTTTCACTTGATTATTTCTCTTGTCACAAACACACAACGAGCAGCGGAATCGGGGTTAAACAAATTGGAAAACAAACGGAGTTCAATAACAATGAGTTTCATGCGATTGAAAATGACTTTTTGGTTTTTCTTTGTTATACAGAAGAAGCGCGAACAAAATGCGTCCATCAAGCACGAAGGATAAACTCTTTCTGATTGAAAAGCGAGTGAACGGAGGAAATTCCCATTTAGATGGCGAGAGCTTTTCCCAACAGAGCTTTTCACTTTTTCTCTCTCCAGAGAGAGATTATTATCCTGCTGTGTAAGAATTTTTGCAGTGAAATTCCAAGGAAAACTGCACAAGAAGTGAAAAGGGAGACAGAGAAAGAGAGCGCAGCGAGAGAGCAGAGAAAAGCCGGTGGGAGGAGGCAACTATTTGCCACCCACCCCCCACTCGTTCGCCACCCAAAAACCACCCCCCGCAAATGGGAAAACTCCACAGCAGCATCCGCTCTCATCCTGTCAATATAAACAACCATTTGGGATCTGTTTCTAGCTCTGTGTGAGTGCGCTATATGCTAGATAAACAAAATATTAGGGGTGTATAATGAATGCTTGAGGGTTTTTTGGAAGTTGCACGCTGTTCTACTTGGTGACACTTCACTGCAGTCTAACCGAATTACAAACTCCCTATTTTGAACTCTAAGTGAAGACAATGATTAACACATGAAATATCAGTGAGTTTGGGCAATTATTGGAATAAATTTTATCGCAAAATCATTTAAAATCAAATAATTTTTAGAAACATTATTAACACGCAGAAGATTTTTCTTAGACTACGCTTACGCATTTATACAAAGCACATCTTATGTTATAACGTCTAAAATATAATATTTTTAACAGCAATTAGCAAATACATATCAAAGAAACTAAACATAATTTTTTAACTCTTTTTTGAATAACTTGTAAAATTTTTCTTAAAACTTAAGACTTGATTTGCAAATCTATCAGTTCGTTGCCCTCCATATCCTGGTTTTCGGGCGTATCCTCCGGGTCCAACAATTCGCCATCAAAACTGTAAAGGAACCTTATTAATTTTATTTTCTTTCGTCGGCAATTATTACTTACAATAATTTAATATGGCGAGCATCAGAGTTCAGCTCCTCAGCACACTTTATGTATAACATTTTAAAGTTATCATCTTTTTTCATAGGCATCACCATTGGATGCTTCCATTTAACGGCTTGAACTTTGACTTGAAACTTTTTGGGCTTCCTGAAGAGGGCTAGTGGATCGTCTTTGGCAGTTACCTTTTTATCGTTATTATTGTTGGACTTTGTTGCACGGCCGCCTAAAAAGTCGGTTGTATACAAACAAAAGAACTATTTAAAAAAAAAAAAAACACTTACTAAGTGTATGAAAGGATTTAAGATCAATATTGTGTGGCGTATCTTCTGGTCCTATAAAATTGTGATACATATCCACGGAAACTTCACTTTCATCCACTCCATTGCGTTCTGCCACTTCCTTAAACATGTGCTTAAACTTTTGGTGTTGCCGCATTTTATAAATCTGAATTTCGCCAAGCCTTAAAAGATTATTGGGATTACTTTCAAGAGTTAAACATTTTTGAATTAATCTTACCAAGATAAAGCAACCTCTATGGTGGGATTAATATCAGTAAAAACGTTTTCTTCCTCTTTTGGCGCAGGATCGTCCTCTTCCTCATCTGAGTTTAGATTAACCTACGAGAAACGTTTACTTTTAACTTTCTTGAGAAAGTTTTCATTCGTAGACTTACAAAACCCTCCACTCGAGGAGCAACTGCTGATACGAGATCAATACTATCCACCACCTTGGAGCGGGCTGCCATTTCGGCCACCGTTTGACGCCTGCTGTTGTTTTTGCTGAATCTCTGTAAAAAATGTATTAAAAGTATTTCAATAAAATACTATACCTGGCTATTAAAAGCACAAACTTACGGCCACAATGCTTTCCAACGAGGACACAACGGATGCTGAAAGATTTTCCACTGCAACCATCTCTGTGGAAGCCTTCTTTTTCTCCCACGGGTTTTGGGCTTAGCCTTTGTGGTCTCCTGCACGACGGGCTCTACAGGTGGTGGCTCTTTCTGTACCTTAGATAGCGAGGAACGAGTGCGTCTGGCCACAGGACCTACAGGATCTTCCTTAGGTTCAACCTTCTTTTTGTCTACCTTGGCGGCTGTTTGTTTAGCATTATTTTGCTCCATCTCCAAGATCAACTTGGAGACTGGAGAAAGGGCGCGCTCCGTGACATCCTTTTCATCAATTTCCGTCTCTGCAAGATTTTGTTTGTTTTGCTTTGGAGGCGAAGGACCTTCCTCATTTTTCTGGGCCTTTTCACGCGCTTTTCGCTTTTTGTTTTTAATCGACTTCTTGGGGCTGTCTTCAATGAAATCGTATTCCGCCTCTTTGGAAAAGGAATCGTTGCTTGGATTGTAAGAATCCTGTGGCAAGGCTGAAAGAAAAATCCAAAATCAAGAAGAAAATATGGTTTAAAATCTACAGCCTTACCTATGACTGGGGCCCGTTTGCGGGCAGCGCTGAATATATCAAATTCGTCGTCGGACATCTCCGGATCTTCAAAGTTTTTAGACTTAGTGCTTATAAATATACGCGCCAAATGCAGACTAAACAAAATAGACGCCAGTTAAAATCATCTGGTGCTGCACTAGTGCAGCCGTTCTAGCTCTAAATCTAGCTACTTCTTGTGGATAATACAGTGTTGAGGATCGACTAGTTTGCATCTAGGGGCAGCATTTATTGGTTGAAGCGGTGTTGATGTTGCTTAAAAATGAGGAAATTGATATTGAATGTTATAGGTAATTTTTTTAAATACTGTTTTAGAAAAAACTCGGAGCCCACTGAACTGGCACGTTGTGCAACTCTGGCTGTCAGCTGTTTGGCCAGTGTTGACAAGCGCCACGCCGACAAAAAGCAAATCTCATTTAGTTTCCAGCGCTGCTGGCAAAAGAAAAAGAAATTAAATTGTTACAAAAGGCCGTAATGCTAGTGAAAAGAAGCTAAACAATCTAGCCACGCGACAGAAGGCTTTTCCGCGTGTGTGTGTGCGTGTGTGTCTGTTGCGCCTGTGTGCTTGTATGTGCGTGTGTTTACCTGGCTTATCCCGAAAGAAAAAACCCAAACGTAAAAAGTGAACTGGAAAAGTCGACAAAGTCTGCCTGCGTGCCATTTTTCAACTCTACTTTCGTGTGGAATAACTTAAGACGACGCTATGGCGTCTACTAGCAATCTGGTGGATGTGGTGCGCCACTACCAGCGAAGCATAGAGAAGCATGGCGAAGACGAAAATCGGGTGAGCAGCTCATCCTCATCCTACTTCACTTTTGCTCCCCTGCTAATTCCCTCTCCTTTGACATAAGCCTCCTTTTCTAACAACTCCTTTATTACTTGTCTCGTATTTGTCTCAACCTATCCTCACATACCTTACCCCAGACTTTCCCTTACTCAACCTTGTGAAATTTTCACACAGACATTTAACACCAAGGTCACTTTTCTCGACTTTAACTTGCTCTTCTTTTCGCTGACCTTTCACCCTCACGTTCTGTTGCTTGCACCTGCCCAAGCTGGCTTAATCACCCCTTTTTCTACCTGCTCTCCCACCAAACAGCTGCTGCACTGCATCACCAAGCTGTTTAATCTGCCAATCAAATTCGAGCACCTGCAGGAGACCGGAATTGGCAAGACTGTGAATGCACTGCGAAAGATAAATGGCGAAGTTGGTGTGGCGGCCAAGACTCTGGTATCCAAGTGGAAGGCCATGGTGGCCGCGGAGGAGGAGCCCTCGGTCGCCACGCCGACAACCAGCCACAACGAAGAGGATTCGGGCAAGTCCAAGTCCAGCGACGAGGAGAACAAGGGCAGCAACTCATCCAGCGGTGAGGATCATCACAACAGCAGGCACAAGTCAAAGCACGCCAAGAGCTCAAAGCATGAGCGAAGCAGCAGCAGCAAAAGTCACTCCAAAAGCAAGTCCGATTCGGATAAGAAGCACAAGAGCAGTCACCACGACAAGTCCAAGGAAAAGGACAAAGACAAGGAGAAGGAGAAGGAGAGCCACAAGGTGACCAAGGAGCATAGAGAGAAAAAGACCAATGGAGAGCACAAGTCAAAGGATTCCAGCAAATCAAGCAGTAGTCACAAAAGCAGCAAGTCCGAGGGTTCCAAAAGCGAGCACAGCAAAAGCAAACAAGAAAAGGTATGTTTTTGAAGATCAATGCAAATGGAAATCTTGATACAATCTGTTATACCTTTAGGAGAAGTCTTCGCAAAGCGAACAAAAGCCAGCCAAAGACAAGTCGAGCAAACACAAGTCGTCGTCCTCCAAGTCATCCAAGCGCTCTCACAGTCCATCACACCCCGAAGAGGAGGCGCAAAAGGCCAAGCTACCAAAAACTAAACCGAAATCCGAGGAAGACTCCGCCGATGGCTTCGACTCCAGCATGGGTGCCAACTTTGATGACGTTCTCGGTCTGCTTAACATGCCCATGAGCAACAAAAAAGGAAGTGGCAGCAAGAGCAAGTTCCCCTCAAAACCAGTCACAGCCGCTACCTCGTCCTTTGCGACACCTACTGCATCTGTATCATCCAGGGAAACTTTCACCTCCAGCAATCGACCAACCTCCACGAGGGTAATTTGTACAAACATTCTTCAAAAGATAGAGTACTCAATCAAATCCATTTAGAAACCCGAGCTACTGGCACCCACAGCCAAACTGGAGCCATTGGATCCAAACATTGCGCTGGAACTACCCACCATTTCCAACAACTACAAGCCTTTGCCGTTAAATCAGACAGTGATGGACGTGGTCTTTAATCAGGGAGGTTCGCAGAAAAGCCAAGCTTCACGTTACTTTAATGAGTCGGAAGCTCTGGCTCAGGGTATCTCCTCCAAAACCATGCGGTGGGTTAAAACATTATTTTAATTTATTTGACGTGAACTGAAACATGAAACTATTTGTTTAGCACCAAGATCTATTCTGGCGTGAGAACTGGACAAATTCTGCAGGTTCCATCGCTCTTTGATTTGTGCACGCGCGTGCTTCAAAAGAATATTGATGGTAAAAGATCACTTACAGCCTTCCGCTGCATTTTTCGAGAGCTTAACAAATATTTTTCCATGTATCTCAGCTTTGGAGTACACGGGTGGCGTTCCCTTTGAAGTCCTTCGACCTGTCTTGGAACGCGCCACGCCCCAGCAGCTGTTGAACTTCGAGGAATACAATCCCTACTTGATGGACGACAGCGATGTCCTATGGCAGCAGCATGTCCAGCGTCACTGTCGCAGTCAGCGGCGCGAGGAAATGGAAACGTGGCGCGAGATGTTCCTGGTAGGGATCGCAGTATCCCTCAGATAATACCCCATCTAAGCCCACACATCGTTTCCCTTTTAGCGCTGCCAAGAGGAGAAGGATCGCAAGCTCAGCATCCTGGCCGAGAGCATAAAGGCGTCGCAGAAGATCAGCGAGGCACCCGTGCGCAAGACTCAGCTGGCCTTCGTGGACTCGATGGTAAAGCCGCCGCGCAGTGTGCAGCGCAAGCAGGAGCAATACGGCACCAATCGCAAGCTCATTGCCACTCCAGCTGCCAGAGTGGCCTCCCTGTCCAGCGTGACACCGAACGCCGCCAAGGTGGGCGATGCCCGGCTGCGCGTGCTGGCCGCCACCAGAGACACAGCTCAAGTCGGTGAGTTTAGGGGTTGGAAATGGGCTATAAAATCACAATCCAGTAATAAGAAGCACTAACAATCTCCAAAACATTTTAATGTCACCTAAACCATTGATTTTTATTCACTAATATAATAAATAAACCTAAATGATGCAAGCAGAGGCTTAAAGTTCTTGCTTCAGTCACTCATTTTAGTTCTTTATCTTAAGTTTGAATTTCAACAATTTATTCCTTTTTATATTCAACAGGCGCCGGTCCAGCGCGGTCCAAAAAAGCACCACTCATGGCCAAAACCCTGCAATTCATGCGCGGTCGTCACAAAAGATAGATGCGTTAACTCGTTGTAGCTACAATCTTATACTCAATTTGTTTAGCGTCAACTTAAGCAGCAGCAGCAGATGCAGCAACCCAGATCTATAAGGCGTTCACAGTGGGATTAACTCCCAACTGATTTGGCAGAGACTTTCGGTTCTGTAAAACAAGACACTGTGATACTAGACCTTTTGTTACCCAGTGCGCCACGGAAACCGACTGCTGCTGTCTGCATGCGTACCACATGCATGCTATTTATTATTTATTCATGTTCTGCCCCCCATTTCATTATACTGTAATAGTTAGTAAGAGTAAGTCAACCGAATAACGATTGTTAGTCGAATAAGATTACGTTCTTGTTTCACCCTGCCGGATCGTCAACGCGCTCAGAAAAATGAGTTGCGGAATTGGGTTATTTTTTGGTTGACAGTTGTTCGAATGATCGATTGCAAGTAACTTAAGATCAGATGGTTGCTGATCACTCCAACCTTAATTTTAAGCTAATTTCAATGTTCTTTGTCCCAGAGGGCTGTGCGACTGTCCAAAATCATAGAGGTTCCAAGCAAATAAATTGTATATAAGTATATGTTACATAAAATCCTAAACCCAATCCTATTTCGAACTACCTTAATTATTGAACAGTTATGTCTTTAAATGCATCGCTCACTAAATCCAATAAAAAGATTTCATTTTTATTCTTTTATGTTTAGTTGTATTTAGTTATTAAAATGTTTGAGTTTTGGTGAAATATCTTATTGTTTAATGAAAAAAAATTTACATCAACTGCACCGTCTTGTTTGTTATCATCCTAGTTTGTTAAGTGAAAAAAATTGTGGAAATGCGATTAATCTGAACTCCAATACTCGTCTTACTTTAAATATTTACAATCTTTGTAGACCTTTAGTAAAAATAAGTCATTAAACGTCAAATTCGCATTTTCGAAGGCTTGTTTAGCTGTGACCGATAAGCGATGCAGGTGAAGGCATTACACTGTAATCAAAATCGTTTTATTCCAGCTTACGGAAGCAAAGCCAGGAAGCTATCAAAGAGCAGACTCTTGTTTGAAGACATCACCGATTGTTAGAGATTGAGGCAATTAATATAGATGTAGAGAAAGGTACAGACAAGCAAAGGAGTTGTTTCACACGATAGTAACAGTAATATTATACAGACTTATTACAAATAAATTATTTTCAAACATAAACCATCAGAGAGTAAATTAATTTGGTCGTCAATTTTGTCCGTTTAATTCAGGTGCCAATGCAGTAAAGCGTCTTGCTGCTCCCGTAAAAAACATCGACCAAACGCTGGCAGGAACTATTGAGAGTTAGCACACGATTCGTTGTAGTTGACGAGGAGCTTCCTCCTGCACTACTATTGTCGCTGAGGGTAAACAATAAACGTTGATTTTTTTATAACAATTGCTGTATTTATCAGCTTACCCCATGGGCGATAGTTTCTTGATGTCCCACAATCGCAACGTGCCGTCAGTGCAGGCTGTGGCCAAATGCTGATTGTGCGTACTCCAGGAGAGAGAACTAATACTCGCTGAGTGATCCTTGAGCTCAGCCAGCTGCGCTCCGGCAGCCAAGTCGAAGATGCGTACCTTGGTTTCCTCTCCGGCGGCGGCCAGCATTTTTCCGTCCGGACTGAAGGCCAGCTGGGTCACTGCCTGTCGGCAGTCCGCGAAGACGCGCATCAGTTTTCCACTTGTCGCACACCACAGGCGCACAGAGTGATCCGCCGAGCCGGTGGCTATGTAGTTGCCATTCGGATGGAAGGAAACGCACTGGGGATTAAATAATTATTATGACAGGTTAATTTTTTTTAATTAGACATTTTGACACCAACCTCAACGTCCTGTGTATGTCCAGCATAAATGATAAGCGCATGTTCCTTCTCCAGAGACCAAAGACGTGCACTCAGATCCTTGGAGCCCGTAACCACATACTGGCCAACTGGGCTCTCGTCGAGGCACCAGATTGGGTAGTTGTGGCTTCTGTATATGGCGGCGCAATGCAGGTTGTGTGCCCGCCAACACCGCATGGTGGCGTCCTTGGACACACTGTACATGAGCGGGTAGTGGGCGGAGAAGCGCACATCGGTGACACCTCTCGTGTGACCTCGCAGCTGCAGGCCACCAAATTCGTTGCTACGAAAAAGAGAAAAGTTATCGTAAGAATTCAAGAATTAATCTGGGAGCCTACGATAAACTTACTATGAGTTTTCGGCATATTTGCAATGCCGCGCTCTGCTGCGTTCCCTGCGCTCCTCCTCGGAGCATTTGACATCCTCCTCGCTGCTGTCCTCCTCATCGTGCTCTGATTCCTCCTCCTGATCCACGCAATTGTTCAGCTCCCAAGGGCACCGCGATTGCGGATAGCGTCTGTAGAAGCTCTTACCCCGGCAGCTGTTTTGGTTGAGCTGCCACAGCTGCACGGCAGAGTTGTCGAATCCCGCTAGCAGGTGGCACTCACTGGGATCTAGGTGGGCGGAGTTGAGCCCACGAGAGCGCTCGCTGATTCTGAGAAATCGCGGTAGCTCAACTTGGGCCTTGAGTATCTGTTCGGTGGCTGACTTGAGTGTGTCCAAGCAGCCGTCTATATTTAGCTGGGATTTGCTCGGCGCCGCAGTTTGCTCCGCATCAATCTCTTGCTTTACATCTACTTCCATCTTGATGTTTGGTTCCTCCGCGGGTCTTTTTCTATTTGATTTATCGGTTAAAGACTTGCCTGGCTTGATGTCTCCGCGGGATACTGTTGGTTTAGGGACCTCCTCTTCTGGTTCCTCGCCTTCGAGGTCATCCGACAGGCCAAGCAGGTGATCCTCACTGAAGGCGCGCTGCTCATTCTCCACGATGTGAACATGCAGCCATGTGTAGAGCAGGTTCATGATCAAAACATGACCCCGCCGCTGGAGATAGGAGCATATCCTCTCCACAACTTGGGCCGTGGTGTGCAGTTCGTACTTTGACGATCGGAAATGAGCTACTGTGTCGTCCGACTCGGCTGCCTCCAATCGCGTGAATCCACTTAGAATCTGCACCAGCCGCATAAAGTAGTCCAGCTCCGTGTCGCCAGTATCCTGGGCTTCCCTGGCAAAGCGTATGTGAAAGGTGTTGTCGGTGGCTGAGGTGGAGCAGCCATTGATCTTGGTGGGCGGTGGTGCATCGTATAGATCCACTGGGGCAATCAAGTGGGCATATTTACGAAGCAGTTCCACAGCGCCCCTCGGCTCGCGAGCCTTGAGCAGATCCAGATAAAAGTGGCACAACATGGGTCCATAGAAGCGCTTCATCTCTAGACGGAGCGGTTCCGCCTGGCTCTCCACGAATTGTGAAAAGCGTCCGAACTGCTGGTCCACAGTGTGCTGATTGTTAGTAATCACCTGGACATTCGAGTAGGTAAAGCTGTTCCCGCCATGTAAATCCGTGTCTAGCATTTTGTTTACCGCGAACTGCTGTTTATTTTGCAGCAGCAAGAAATCTGAGCGGCGAAATCTTTCGTTGCTCTAAAAGATTAAGTACAAAGATTATAGAGCATAAAAGAAATGGACACTCAGAGATCCTTCACTTACCACGTAGTTTTTTTGTTTCAGCAAAAGACCGACGGCGCAGCGTAACAAATCGTTTTTCGAGGAGGTCTTTTTGTTGCCCGCACTCGACTTGTTGTTATTGGTGCTGTTGCTGTAGACAGGCGACGCTGCATGGACGTGAGCGTGGCTGCTGCTACTGGCGCTGGGCAAGCTCATGGTTGCGTGTTGTCCTCGCCAAATCGTCTCCGTATCCTGATCCCGTCCTGCAGTGCGTCCGATTTCTCTAGTGTGACCAAATTATTGGGTGTTTAGCCAAAATGCATTTGCCACGGTCCTACTACCAATCAGCTGTGTTTGTTGACAATTAAAAGCTAGAATGTAAAGGAGATGCATATTTTTCTGAGTTTTATTTTGCACGAGGTGGCAACGCTATGTAAATTTAAAAAATGTGGATCTGATTGCTATAAAGTTATTATGAAAATTTATCTTGGCGATATCAGTTAAAAATAAAAACAGATTTCTTTGAGTTTAGCTTAAGTTTAACCACTGAAGTGCTCTAAAAAATATATAGAGACAAAAATTAACTTGACCTAGCTAGGCTTCAAGCTTTTTTCAATGTGAAAGGGCTAGCTATTTAAATCGGCAGTTGGCATCACTAATGGACTTCAGCTGTTGTTGTTGTTTCCGCGCCCGCTATTGATAATTTATTCTGTTTTCGCTGCTGTGTTTCAGTTCGAGTTTTTACCTTAAATAAAACGGTACCTGGATTTTAAAGCGAGTCATTATGGGCAGTACGACAAAGTTGGTGAACGAATTCTGTGATATTATCGATTCCTATGGCGGGCGAGATAAGGTAAAATAAACACTCCCTCACACGGCCAAGTAAATTTCCAATTATTTTGCCGCACACCTGTTTGTTTACATTTTTACCGAGTGTTTTTCCAAATCCGTTTAAACTTAAAAAAGAGCATCGTGGCATTTTGCGGTTTTGTTTGGGACTGGTCCATCGAGGGGCTCGTTTGAAATCGAAAGCCAACCAACAGGTTTGCGCAGTGCTGTTGCATATTGGAGTTGGCATTGGTTGCTGGGGTCTTGGACAAGGAAGTCTCGTCAACTTGGACCTTGCCTTACTTCTTTCGTATTCGCAATGTATTATTTTGCTCTACGCTTATCAGTCGCAGTTTTGCGACCATCGAGTCAAGATTATGCTGAATATTATAGCCGGCAAACCCTTAACCCGCTGCCAGATAAAGCGGATAATACGTTATGAACGAAAGGTTTGTTTGGTTATCCATCGAAAAACACCAACCTCTAATTAACACCCACCTTTAAATCGGCCCACCAAGAATACCCTTAAAGTGGGTATTATGTACCTAGGTACTTATATTAAAGATATAATCGGAAACCTAGTGTTATTACCATATAACAAAACAAACGGACGAATTCCGAAGATAATTAACAATCAATAATCTTTTTGTGGAACCTATAAAATATATCAGTTTTTTATTCATATCAAATAAAAGAATTTACCCATTTTTAAACGGTATATAACTTCCCGTTATTTGAAAATAGTATGCCTACCCATTGAATAAATAATTCATTGATGGCAACGCAAACAATTTTAACTATTAATGGGTAAACAACGAAACTACCCATTCCCTTTCAGGCAGCAGGACCATCAGGACTATTCCCCTGTCAGCCGTTAAACGAGATGATTGTGGCATTCGTTGTGTTCTTTTTATCGCTGATAGTATTTTATCTGTTTGTGACAACCAAGCAATTCCACAAATTGCAGGGCTGAGTGGCGATTGGGGTCAGGTGAATGTAAAGGTAAACAGAGATGCAAACTCTCGTGATAAAATAAACACTCGGCTCAACAAAATGCGCAGAAAATATTGCTAAGTAAATATGAAGCTTAATACCCGATTTTTTTCTCTTTCAGGTGATGAAGGCTCTGTGCTACAGCGCCAAATTGGTGGCTGGATACCATGCCAAGCGGAATCCGGATTTGGCCAAGCGATATGCCACCGCCAGCTCAAAGATTTCGGGTGCGAGAGCCACTTTGCGTCTCATCGATGACATTCCTATGATCCAGTACGCTTTGGAATATGGCTTGGGCGAGAATGAACCCGATCGTATTATGGCTGTTTTGGGAGTGACGGCCAACATTGTGGACCTGCTGTATTATCCCATCGAGAAGGTTTGCTGGCTGGCCGAGCACAAGATTGTGGACGTTAAGAATGCAGATAGCTGGGACAATGTGAACTCGATATTCTGGGTTCTCTCGGTGTACCTGAACCTTATGAGGTAAATAATTCACAGAAGTATATAAATTTTTAATTTATTTAATTTTTTATTTTAGGACAATGAGGAATTTTTCACTAAATCAGGACAAATTAAATAGAACCACCAATATAAACGAGTAAGTATCAACCCGTGAATTATTTCCTTGAAAGACCTTAATCGCAAGCTCTCTTAACTCTCAGATTGGATGTGAAAGCAATGACGAAGCACCGTCTGGAGATGGTGTCCATAGTTCGCATCTCCCTCGATTTTGTGCACGCCGTCAGCACGCTGCCCAAGGGATATTTGTGGGGCGGCAAGCTGTCCACCTTCCAGGTGGGAGCTATTGGCACCTTGTCCGCTGGCCTCGGCATTTATCAAATCTTCGCCAAGAGAAGACTGAATAAGTAGTTGCGCCGTCGTCGCCATGTTTGCAACCTGTTTACACGTATTTGTTGATCAGAATTTTAAGCTAGTCGGTAACAGTTTTTGTACGTTGAGTTTTTTGTACGGCACTCGCATGTGTTTAGCCAGTAAGTCCTTTTAAAAAAGCACTAAAATACACGCTGAAAAATGGAAAAAACAAGGATAAGTGTTTGGTCTGTGTGTCCTTTATTATCTGTTACTTCTTCTGTTAGATTCCGATACATGTAGGTCAGTATATGCTTTGCCCCTCGTAGCCAGCAGAATGTTTAACTTAATGTACAGGCTCCCGCTTCTATATATTGTCAGCCCTCTGGCGAGGGTTTATTACCAGAGTTATTCATATTATTTGTTGTTCTCGCGAACGATTTGTCGGTTTAGCAGTCATTGTATACAATGTTTCTTAGGCATATTTAAAATACTCATATGTCTGATATTATACTTGTTATGCATGGTTGTTTCAGTTTAAATAGTTTGATTTATAGATTACATGAGGGACCTGATCATTTGCTTGGGCTTACTTCCAAGATCAGACCATTGGTTTTGGTTAAAAATAACATTCGTTAGTAAATATATTTCCATAGTACATAATTTATTTATTTGCTTGTTTATGCCGCAAGCGCGTAAATATTAACAGTTACTAGTTATTATCTTTTTTTTTAGTTTGCTCTGCTCGACAGCTTCCATCGGTAAGCTCTTTAGATGTACGAAGTATGAATGAAGTTTCTCTTTTTATTATAACCGTTATGTTTCCTGTTTATGTAACGGTTTTCATTAAAATTCTCATTATTTTGATATAGATATTTTTTGGGATTTGTTAATTTTCGATAATATACCTAGCTACAGGAGTTATATGCTATTATTATTGTTAATGTTATTATTTTAAATATCTTTTCCAATTTCATTGCGTATTCGATTGAAGTTTCTCCTCCATTTACAAAAAAAGCCTCAAAAAGTTCCCAAAAAATTTTCATGCACTCAAAATATGTTCAACTTTGTTCCATTTGCTTTTGTAGTTGTGTGAGTGTGTATCTGTGTGTTTCTATAACCATAATGCAATTTGAACTCTTGCTCATAACAATATATTATAATAATAAGTACATAAATAGGTATATATCTATATTTGTATGTATTAATATTGCATGAACAGTGCCCAAAGTTTATAGATGGCCTTGCCTTTCTGGTCTTTTTTTCTGAAGGAAAACTGTAAGTCTGGATACAATCCGTCTTAATAGGCTTCGGTTTTCGATTTTAATAGGCACCTCTAAAAACAACGGGCCAACTGTACTTGGTAATTATGTACCAATTTATGTCTTGCAGTATGTATATATATATTTATGTGTATATATTTATTCTTATCGGAAGCTATTTAAAATGGCACTGCAGTAATTTTTGTTTATATTCCTATATAAGGTGGGAAAATCAATTAGTTGGGCCGCCATCTACCCCCTCCTGTTGGAGGAAGAGCGGCGCCCGCTACTAAATATTCTTCTAAATATCCTTTTACTCCTCCTCTGCTATAACAGTATACGAATTCGGGGCTCCTAACTCGATTCGCGATTCAGAAGAACCGCCCTTGGTTGCCCCGCAAGTAATTATTAAAATATATGTATATGTACGTGTATGTATATAGTATATGTATTATTTGATTATTGCATTAAAAGCTTAGTATTCCGTTCTGAATTATTATTATATATTCATTGGTGTATATATATAGGTTGTATAATAGTCTTTTTAAAAACCGTTCTTATTGCATTTTCATCCTTAATCGCTACGCTTACGCTTAACTTGTAACACATTTGCCGAGCAAATATTGTTGGTTTAAAATTCAATTTGCAAAGTTCTTGCTAATGTTCCCCCAAAATGTGTCTCACATGTTCGCTTGTGTCTTTGAATACGAGTAGTAATGGAGTTAGTTTAGAGTCCAGTATAGTTTAGTTAATGCGTGGTAGAGATGTCGGCATAAGTAAAGATATTTCTTCGATAGAACTTCCTTATTGATTTGCTCCTTAGCTGAGTTTAAAAATAATTACTCTGTATAGTGTAGAAGGGCTTAAAAGTAGACGTATAGATAATCAGATGACTTGCGTCAGTAAAATATGTTTATTTTTTTTTTTAAATATATGTATTTTGGATTGTTAATTATGTTGTATTGTTGCCTAATTACGCTTTGCATATCTTCTTAATTTTTCATTTTCGGTTTTTACTTTGCTAAAATTTAATATTATCGGTTTTGCGTGGGAAGCGTTCGATTTTGGTTCCTTTATATTTCGTTTAATCTTTATTTTGTGAATTTCTCCACAAATTGGATTTTATCTTTGATACATTTGTTTATTCCTCTTAACTTGCTTTTTGGTTTTGGTAATTTTGATAGGAAATAAAAATGTCATTTTAAATTAATTGAAAAGCCAGTGTGGAAAAGTTTAAAACTGTTTGCTTCACATATATCGTGTTAATTTAAAATTCACGTTCTGTTTGGTTCTTAAGCTTGTAAAAGCGTTAAAAACGTTAAAGTAAAACTGTGTAAGATACGATCGAGATTGAGTCGCCAATTGATTTTTGCCGAAAAAGCCCTAAAAAGTTCCATTTAAAAGTCGCCCAGAGTGGGCATTTCTTCATTTGTTCGTTTAGTTAATAAAAAATATGGTAAATTTTATAGTTATTTAAAATTGTTTACGAATATGTATGCATGTGTATATTTGAGTGCTAGTGTGAGTATTTCATTGTGTGTGTATGTGAAATGTGAGCTTGATTTTTGAGAGCTAAAAACACTTTTAGTTTCCAATAGATTTTAAACGTTTGCTGGTTTCGTATCAATAAAATAATGTTACTGCATCTCCAACCACCCAATTATTAAGGCTAAAAAAATTAATTTAAAAAAGATACGTCTCTTAACATTCCTCGCGTAAATCCGTCCAATGAGTAAAGTGAAATAAGGTCCTTTCTTGCTTTTGTAGTTGCAGCATTTCTGTCCTCCTATTTAAGGTAAGTCTTACGATTACTAATAATTCAGCTAAAGCACCATTTTATCTGTATTCTGTACAGTTTGTCTAGCTTAGGTCATCCATAACTCTGTCTTTAAAATATATTTGTTTACATAATCCCCCACTCGTATTCCGTATGCATTGAGCCAAATGAGGGTGTCTACAGGTTAATTACTTCGGCGAAATGTTCGTTTCTTATGCTCCGCGACCCCTGATATACTTTACAATCTATATTCTATACCTAATTCCAGGCTGATTTCGCTTCGTAGGCAAAGGATGTGGAATATACAATACTTTAATTGCGTTAAAAGTAGTCAATAAGCTTTTTGATTTGTGGTTGGCATTAAAGCGATTTAAGTGGGTGATTTGCTTGGGTTCTCCTCTCTCCTAATCGAAGGCATTATGTATGTGAGTATAGCTAGGTAGTCGTAAATGGTAACTGGTAAATGGTAAATGTTAAGTAACAATGCACTTGTCCAGCGATTTGGGCCCGGGTTTATTGCTACTTATACACGGGCCAGCTTCTGGTCAGAGTTCCCCGAGGATTACCTGGCCCTGGCCAAAGAAAACTAAGCTAGGTAGGCGCTACAACAGAAACCGTTACACTAAGAGGCATCCATGTTTACCCTAGACCCGCAATCCCTCCACAGTTCTCGTCCTGGTTAATTAAAAATTGCTTATCCTCGCAAATCTATATTAAAAACTAAACAAATTCAACTAGTCTGCAGCTTTCTAGCTTCCTTCCTCCTAACATTTGTCCCTCAATTATTGTTATAATTACTCGGTTTCGTATTTGTTTCTTTCGAAGTCTACCATAAAATCCCTGTAGGTTCATCGTAATGCGTGTGAGAGTGTGTGATGTCCGAGATAATGCTAAAAACAATTAATGCCTAAAGAGAAAGGCGTTAAAATGACACATAACACCCGCAGCGTTAGTTTCGTAAAGTCCGAACTACTCGATTACATTGGTTGCTTTTTGGTTTTTGGAGTATTTCAGTTGCTTGGTAAAGTAATTTGATTGTTTTAATGCTTAAATTCGTTTGAATTTAAATTTGATATTAGACTAAGTTTCTTAACTTCGTTCGCTTCTTAAGAGTAACAATCAGCATGGGAAGCGCAGGTTAGTATTAAGTTGGGTTAAGCTTGGATTAATAGTTGCCAAATGAAACCAAGGCGAATTCAAAAGCGATTTGGTGTATATTTGTTTGGTTGGTGAATACGTGTAAGTGGTGTTATGATTTTTCTTTACGCAATCAATTTGATTTTTAGGTATACTTTTAGCTTTCGTAGTTTTACCCTATTCTTGGTAGGTGTACAAAATTAATAAGTTTTAAATTAAATAAAGCCTTGCAATGTACAATATGTAATATTTTGTTGATACATACGTTTGTGTATTCTAGAATGATAAGCGCTGGAGAGATCCATTCTCAAAATACATGAAAAGTAATGTAGACATAAATTATAAGCTTACTGCCGATGAGCTCTAAAACTGGTACAGCCAAAAAAGCCAAAGAATGATAGGTTCTTAAAACAAAGTTTAACAATCAATCGGGCATCGTGTTAATCTTCAACAAGGATAATGCTTAAAGCTAATCCAAAACAATAAACTAAACAATATATATAATAACTCAAGTATGTAACAATTCATTGAGTAACAAAAATGTGGGACTGATGAGTTAAACGAATTTACAATTTTTAAAATGCTTCTTTAAAAATTGAAATTCTTTGATAAACGCTTAACGGACAATCCAGATCATGTGATCATAATAACTCGGTTCTGTGGACTTGGCTATGTAAAAAGAAACTACATAAAATTCCTCAGTAATAGCGCAAAACATAACAAAAATGGTAATCCTAACCTCTCTGCGCGGAAAATTCGTCGAGACTTCCAGTTCTTCGTCATTTACCGCGCAGTTTCGTTTGCTTAAAATTAAACATGTACAAATTAGAAATGATTCAACAGCTTTCCTAGCCAAAAAGTAACTTGAGTATTATGTTGATGAGGGGTATGGATAAATGAAATCGCTCATTTCACGTATCATTCGGTTAGCCTTCGAATGCCAGCTTCAAATGCTGATATGTAAGCTTGATTATCAAAAAATATTAGAAATGGGAGGGGGTCGTTTGTTTCGATTTGAGGGTGTTCGGTGTGGGAGAGTCGACTAACACTAATTACCTTAAAGGAAATTCATCGTGTAAGCTTCATATCGTACCGATCTAATATACACACATTAATAAAACTGTGTTCACAATGATAATGACGATGATCAGCCCGGGTCTTCATTGGTGCCCAGAAAACCGTCTGCAAAACGTATGCGCCATTTTCTCTACGTTGCCTAAAAGACCAAAGTATCCGTTAAAACGTTGCGGATAAAAGCTGTAGCAGTCTAGATCGCCTGATGCTGCAATTGCTGCTTCTGATGTTGTCGCTGCTGCTGCCGGAAGTTGTAGATTGATCTTGCGGCCACACTCGGTGCGCTCGAGTTTCCCATTGTGTTGAGATTGTGAGGCTGCGAATGCTGCTGAAGCTGATGGTGTTCCTGCTGCTGCTGGTGGTGGTGATGAGAATGCATGTTGTGACCCATCTTGTTGTCGCCATTAATACTGTGGCTAGAAGAGGCCATCGAAACAGTCGACGACGCCGGGCCGATGCCAACCAGGCTCTGCGACTTGGAGTTGCGAGTCAAGGGTTTGTGATTCTTGACGATGTCACAGCTGTGCTGCCACTGCCAGCAGCTCCGGCAAAAGTATCTGTAAGGATTCGTTTTTTAGTTATAACTGTATACTTCATTTATGGGTATGGGTACTTACCGGAAGCACGACAATTCCCGACAATAGTAAGGGCCGTGCTGCACTCCACATATCGAGCACAAAGCGTCCTCCAGGTAAGGATCCACTTGAACCTTCTTGGTAAACTTCGTGGTACGAATCTCAATGAAGGCGGCCGAAACTGCCTTCATGTAGGAGCGAAAGTTGCTAAATGTAACACGACCCGATCCGATCGGGTACTTGTACTTGTCCGTATCGATACCTGCATACAGAACTCCGTCGAAAAGATCGTCCATGATCTTTCCCAAGCCCTCAGCAGTCAGTTTTCCATGCAGGGCCCCCACAAATACGGTTTTCGTTGGGTCTAATTTCTGGGAGCTCGAACGCACAAAGTTCGAGTCGGCGATTATCCACGGAATAACCTCAACCTGGTAAATAAAAGGAAAGTTTAATAACAATTTAATCAAAGTTTATATGAAACTTACATCCTTGGACTTGATGCGACGCGAAGATATTTTAAAGAAAAAGTTGCTTCCGCTATGCGAATCATCTACCTGGACCACGCAGGCCGACAGCAAAGCTTTAACCTGTTTATCAGACTCGAAGATTATGTAGACATAGCCCTTGGGCTGCGCAGCCTGCTGCTCCTTGCCGGGCCACTCAACTCTACCGAAGTCGGGAATAAAAATTAGTCAGGAATATGTTTATCGCACTTTTATACTCTCTCACTTGATGGAACCGAATGGCTTAAAGATCTGGATGAGCGACTGCTCACTAATGTCCCAGGGAATGCCGCCGAGGAAAACCTTGGGAGAATAGTTGAGCATGCGGTGCGAGCGCGGCGGTAGTTGTCCGCTCCAGGTGCAGGTGGCGTCGCACAGGGCGGCCGAACTCCTATGGAACTTGGCCACGCGATCGAGATGGCCATCGTTTGTTGGCCCGCTGCCGCCACTGACTCCCGTCATTTCCGACATGCCGCTGGTCGATCCCATGCTCATCAGGCTGCTGAGATTGCTCCCCGTCACGCTGCCCATTGTGGTGCCGGCGTAGCTCTGCAAAAGCTGGTTGATCAGCGGCATCTGCTGGGTTTGGGCCTGCAGCAGCTTCAGCGTGTTGATGCGCTGTAGATTCTGCAACTTGGCCAGTTCCATATCCACGCTTGCTAGGTTCTCTAGGGTATAGTGGCTCATCCCATTGTCGCTGCTTCCGCTGGCAGTTCCCACGCCGTTGTGCTCGAAACCATGCTGCTGTCCACCTCCATTGGCGGCCATCTGCTGCTCGTAGTTTCTGTTCAGGTTGACATACTGTTGCTGCAGCTGTTGTTGCTGCTGTTGCTGGAGTTGTTGCTGCTGTTGGTGGTGGTGATGCTGTTGCTGCTGCTGCATGGAGGCCAGCTTGTTGCTATTCACAGATAACAAATTCTGAAAGACAGTAAAGATAAAATGGTTATTGGTTTGAAATTCAATCATTAAAGTATTATAGTTTGAATAAAATGAATCCTACCGTGCGCAATACTTTAGCCATAGTGCTTATTAAATATAACTTAAATTTTGATTAAAGTCAGTTTATTAGTGAAATTTCCTAACGTTCACCTATTTATTTGTAAATGATAGAAAAATGCCAAGTTACTTTAATTTATATTTAGGTTGCTAACATTAAATGCTCTTTATATGCATTGAAAAAATCCGTAGATTCAATAAACGTTTTTAAATTAATAGAACCGAGAAAGTAGCTCTCCCCCTTATATAACATTTTTTTGATTTCTTCGAATAACTTACAATCATGTCCAGTAGATTGGGCTCGCTTATGGACTGTCCGCTGTTCTGGCTCTCTGGCGAGTTGGAGCGCGTGGAGGCGTTCGCCAGGCTGAGTCCCAATCCGCTGCCAGTGCAGTTTCCCAGGCTGGTGTAATTCTGCTGATTCTGTGGATGCTGTTGTTGTTGCTGCTGCTGCTGGTACAGCATGTTGATGGAGTCCATGGAAAGGCCATTGCCACTCGAGGAGTTGCTGCTATCGCTGCAAGGGTCAAGTTTTGATCGATTAATCACAGTGGCCAAACTGAACGCAGAGCAAGTGCCACATTATCATATTTCGGTTATTACCTGACTAAAGGTGAACTGTGAAAGGAGCGATTGTAAATAGATGTAGGCGTACTTGGCGATAAGGGTGCAGAGCAATCGAAGCTGATGTTTGTTCTTTGGAAAGCCTTAAGTGGGTTACTTTGTGCAACATTTTCAAACTAAGTTCGCCAATTCACCCAAAAAAGAAAGAAAGAATGGAAACGAACAAATAAATTAAAATGAGGAAAGGAAACGGTAACGACAACATTTAACTTCGCAGCAACGAAGTTTAAATACCTTGCAGGTCACTTTTGAAAAGAGAATACACACATGCTTCAATCGGAATAAAAATATTTTGAATCAGTTGGAGTGTATCTGCAAGGTTTTTTTCAATATGACAAAATACGGAGTGGGTCGATTAATTGTCTTAAATCTACTATTATTTTTGTATTTTTTTAATGATGTTACTAATGCTAGTATAAAATCTATTAAAACGTAAAGAATATTATAAGTTTTTATGTTTTAATTTATTTTAAATCAGTTTTTATCTTTTTGAAAATTTGCAAAACAGTTCTTTGTACTTATAACTTTAAGCTTAAATTAATTACACACTTTTCGACCCACCCGTTAACATAGAGAGACAGAGACAGAGGGAAATAGTTAGAAAATCATAAGACGGTTACGGTCCACGTGCGAGACACACGGATTGCATTTTGGGGATAGATTACGAGTACAAGCAAAAAGTTACGAGAATTCGGTGCAAATTGAGTGCAGTAAAGAGAGAATTAGAGGGTCGCAGCCCAAGGGGCAGGCGTCAAACGGGCGGTAGTAGGGGTTGCTGTCCCAAATTGGACTCATGGTCTTACCTGGAAGTAGTCAAAGCTGGACTTGGTGCCCGGCGAGGCCGAGGACTGTGTGGAGCTCGGAGTCAGCGGAGCGTAGACCGCCGCATTGGCGGACAGTTGAACGCCATCGCCGGCAGCCGCGGCGGCAGCGGCAGCAGCAGCGGCTGCCGCACTGGCGAGCAGCAGATTGTTCACTTCGCTGCTGCTGCCGTTGCCACCGAAGCTGGCGGATGGGTTGCCCGTGGTGGCGGTGGTTTGTCCTCCGACTCCTCCTGGTCCTTGCCCCATTCCTCCTGCTCCTCCTCCTCCTCCCACTCCAGTTGTTGTTCCACCGGTTGTAGCTACTCCTGCTCCTCCGTTTGCCGCTCCACTTCCTCCAAGTGACGTGGCCGATGTCGAGGGGTTTTGGCCAATACCGACGACTCCATTGCCACCACTGCCGCACAGGCCGAGTAGATCGTTCAGTGTGATTGGATCTGCAGACAGGCGGGAAGAAGGAAATAGAAAGAGAGAGAAGTGCGGGGGGTAAGTACAATGTCAACAATTATCGTAAAGTTTGCCCAGCCCTCGATAAATCAAAACTATTGCCCCTCAAGCACTTTGCAAATATTCGACAAAACTGCTAATAAATTAAGCGTACTGCAGTTGCTGTTTGTGTTGTCCATGTCGCTGCTGCTCTGGCCATTGCTGTTGGCATTGCCGTCTTGGGCCAAGTTCTGGCTCCCAAGGTCCTTGCTACTGCTGCTACTGCTGTTGCTGCTGCTGTGGCTGCTTGTGCTGCTACTGCTACTGCTGGAAGGACCCACCACATCGCCGCTGCTGCCAAATTCAAACGAGTCCTGCGATGGGGCCATCGCCGACTTTCGTATGTATGGCTTCTCGATGTCTAACATGGGGAGCGCTAATACCGATCGAATCCTGACCTTTGACCGCAACGCAATGGCTCTGTGTCAGCGGTGTCTTACAAATATTGGACCGGAAACAAATTTGGAGCTTGTTTTATATATAAAATTTCGAGTGCTACTGTAAAATTTAATATCCGCTTCTTGCTTGCAGTAGTGACAATTTGAAACCGAAATGCAAATGAAAATTTTTTGTACCGCGGACCACGCAAATGTGCAGTCCAACTTGTAACGTGTCTGATTAAATAAACTTAATAACAATTATGATAGTGTCTACGAATTATGTGTGCCGACTTCTAAAAGTAAAAAACTATTGAAATGGTTTCTGTGTGGTTCTGACATTCCTGCGTCCTATGACTTTGACAACAAAGTAAAAGAAGCAACACTTAAATGTAAATTTTATGGTAATTTAAATATCTAAAAACACGACCTTTCAATATGGTTATGTAGCAGTGCACCATTTGAAATTCTATTTGCTTACCATTAATGAAGGATATCAATCCATCGTCGTTGGATCTGTCGAGGAGTTGATGTTGGTGGTGCTGCAGTTGCAACTGATGTTGCTGCTGCTGCTGCTGGTGCTCCAAGTAGGAGCTGATCGAGCCACCGCTCAAAGCTCGCATGTTGCCACCAGATCCAGAGCAATCAGGCGTGTCGTACTGCAAATAAAGGGAAAGAAAGTTCGTTTAGCAGAAAGATGACGTCAAGTGGTAGAGATTTGAACTGGAATCGTAATAAAAACAGGCGACAGTTGGCGAAACTTTTATTGTCCCAGTGTCTCCTTCGCAGGAGGAGTTTGCATCGCCACCCAACGGCAGCAACTAATGAATCGTTTATCTTTCACATTTCTTGCCACATGCCAGGCTGTGTCGAGAGATGGCAACAACGTGGCAACCGCACCAGGACAGCCACAAGGAGACAAAGCCACCTCACCTCACCTCATCGCATCGCATCGCATCGTTCTCAGAGTTTTCCCCACCCAATTGTTACCCATTTGGCAGCACCCACAGCAGCAGCAGGCGACCCTTGTCGCACTTTCCACCGCTTCGCCCTCGCACTCTCGAGCGCCTGGGCGCAATTAAAAGCGCATCAAGTGTCAGTGGAGCACACTTAAAAATGCCAAATTAGTGCAAATATTGTTATCAGGCACTCACCAAACAATTTAGCGCAAAATGGCGTACAACTCATTACGCCGGATTAATGCAGCCCACGAAACGGAACGAAAGCAAACGAATCGAGACGAGTGACAGCCAACGGGAAAAGGGAAGTGGGAGTGTGTCTATCTGGGTTGGATGGGGATAAGGATGGAGCGAAATGTGCCAAAGCCAAGGCAACAAGTCGATGCGATTGTCGACGGTCAGTGGTCAGCTGATGAGTGGGTGCCAAAGAGTTGCTCCAGTTACCCAAAAAGGATTCGCTGGAGTCCTTGTTTGTCAATGGAAGTTATTGGGTTAACGAAACAGTTGTAAAATTTAAAGGGAAATATTTATAATATTTTGCAAATAAATAAAATAACTTTCCACGATTTATTTAAACCTTTTTGCAGTCAGATAATCAGAATGGAAAAAGGGAACTGAACAATGGTTTTACCGATCATTCAAGACAATAGTTAATCAATCTGAGTTACACAGTAAATTCCATAACAACTTTAATTAACTTGCAAAAACTCATTTGCTCAGTTGTTTAGCAAGTGGAAATGATGCGATTTTCCGGGCCCGAATGGATCCAGTAAACGATGTGAGAGCAGAAGTTAAAGATCTACGGCCGCACAAAGAACTGACAAGGGGAACGACGGCGAAAAGAACTTCCATCCGCCGGCAAGTTTTGAATGCCAGGAACGGAGCGACAGTAGACGGCTTCCTTAGTCTTTGTCAAGTTGTCACAACTATGTTAAGTACAAAACTTGCTATGGATTTAAAAATTGAATGACAACTTGATGAAGGTACGTGCAAAGTCGGAAATGGCACGAACATCCGTGCACACGCACGGCAATCACACATGTTCCCTCCTGTTCCAAGGATACGGGGAGGATGCGAGGATGTGCCGGACAACTCGGCTCCGTTGAGAGGCGGCATTGTGGCCTATATGTATGTCGGTGTGGGTGTGTGTTCGTGTGCGTATGTGTGTGTGTGTTTTTGCGGGGGATTTCAGACTTTGTTTTTAGCCTGCATACGTCACTACGCCCACACATAGTTACAACTTGTGGCGGGCGATAAAAAAGCGGCGTCAATGAATGCAAATTACAAATAGTCTTCAAGCTATTTTGTAATGCTGAGGCCGCGTCCGCATCCGCATCCGCATTCTCATCCGCAGCCGCATCCTCCCCCGGATCCGTCGTCAAAAACATCAGTAAGACGCTAAAAGCTTTCGCTGGCGGAAATAGAAAAGGCGTCAAAGAGACTAACGAGGATAAAAAGGGAATGGATTTGAATAGAGCATTGAATGCTCTTTTTTTTAGGATTGCTCATAAAATTATAAAAACTTATTTAGATAAAAATAGATAAATATAAATAACGTAACAAAATTCGCATTAAATCAAACAATCCTCAAAGTTTTCTTTGCATTTAAACATAGAAGTCAAGTGAGTCGAAAAATCGAATGCGGAAAAACTGTGTAAAAGTGAAATCAACAGCCAACACGTAAATGCCGAATTCTCGCTTTACAATGAAAGCATCTCAATCAAGTAGCGGCCAACAACTACATTTTCGTGACGGAAAAAGGGCCATAAACAACGAAATTGAATACGACAAAAAATCTTAACCACCCGTTGACGCATAGATAGCACCCTGGCCTATTGACTACTCTATTCCTAATGCCCTCCACCTCCTGTGGCAGGACCTCCCCAATATCGATGCTCCTGTTTCAGTTTCAGCTCCTTCTCTCCCGCCGCCTTGTCTTTTGTCGTCGAGGATTTGCAAAATTTGATTCAATGGCGTTGCTCTGCGTTTGCCCTCCACCACGACCACATCCACATCCATTCTCTGCCAGCTGATGGCTACATGGAAATATTCGGGCAGCTCTATGCGTCCGATCCGAAGATGTCAGCCAAGGGGCCAAGGAGCCGTTCCACCCATAACTCAGTAGTTATTTATCCTATGTCCATTCGACTTGGCTTTTGTGCTCACAGCTCCCCTCATCCTTCATTTACCCTGCTGCTCGTTGGCCATTTTCCTTCTTGGGCTTTTCTTGCATTTTTTTTTTTTTTTTTTTTTTTTTTTTGGCAAGCGATTTGCCTGGTCGGCTTTTGGGTCTGGGATTTCGTCCTGGGCCTGGCCTGCATTTTAGCGAGTGTGGCATGCTGGAGGAGGGGGGAGAAAAGCATTTCCGGGGCCAGGGCCTCTGTAAAATTACAAGTTTCTGCTTTCAGAAGTCATACAAATTATTATGTTTGCATCGCTTACAACACTTATTAGATGTCCTCCTCCTGTTTTTTCATCGTTGCTTCTGGTGCTCTGGCCCAAAGGGTTTTCGGCATTAAAATTTGATGGCATGTAGTGATAAGCGTTCAATAACGATGTTGTCCTTGTCGTCGCCATTCCACATCCTGCCCTCCGTTCTTTCGCTCCGAGAGGGCCACTTCATTCGATTCGTTTCGTTTCGATTTCCCTCTGCCCTCCGACCCCCCATTTCCTGCTCCAAGTGACCGCAGCCAGAGGTTAATGCACAGTTGTAATTTTTTATGGCCGATTACATGTTGCCAACTTGTGGGCGAAAACGGAATCGCAAAGGGGTCGGCGGCGACGGCGACGGCCAAGAGCGGAGGTTGGCAAGTCCATAAAGGATAAGAGTTATGGCCGAATGCATTTGAATTTGCCAGCGGTAATAGAGTGTTTGCATATTACGTGGCGAGAGTGTTTAAATCCCCCTGAAAGACATCCCCAACTTTTCAACGGATTCGGGATGCACAATTTATGGAGCTCTGATGCATAAATTGGGGGATGGCTGCCATTCGATTGGTGTCTGCCAAAGGGGAAATCAAGTAGATGCAACTCAATTTACGACTGGTTTTATTTGCCAACAAACTATTGGCAAATTACGAGGTTTAAACCACGAATTTATGTAACGCGTTGCTAGGTTTCGTTATGAAATTCAAATTATTGCCAAATTATATTCCTTGTCTAAGGTTTCAAGTTTCAAAGTTCAAGAGCAAATCAATTCTAAATAAACCAATATAAAACCAATTTACTGTGATTTCCATATTTTTACAATATTAGGACAGTCTATTCTCAGCAATCGATTACCATTTAACGGGTTTTATATTTATAAACGACATCCGATACCTGTAATAAAAGTTCGACAAAGTGAATTTCCCTAGAATGCACTGATGGCGACGAAGTAAAGCGTTTAACGTTTGTAAATTAAAAGGCATTCACCAAAGGCGAAACCCCCTCGACTGAGAACTTTGTCCACAGGACGTAGGAGTTGTTGGTGGCACAGGGATTCGATAAGATGCAAATGCCTGCAGGACAGCAAGCAGTGCTCGGGTTGGGTCTCCGATGCAGTGGCACGTAATTGCTGCGCCTACGTATCCTGCATCCAATCCATCCTGCATCCCGATACCCATCCTTGTTCATCTCCTCCGTTCGACAGCTGCTGCCTTGTTTGTGTTTTGTTGTGTTGTGCTGTGCAGTTCTGAGCTGAGCTGTGCTGTGCATTTCATTAAATGCCAATGGCTGGGCAAATTAAATTGAGTTTGGAGCATGTCGACGAGTGCCATTTCATCAGCTTTGACGATGCGATGTGTCGCCTTCATATTTACATAACTGCATGCCCTGCGAGTGTACAGGGCTTGTTTTTGTGTCCTCTGTTTTGTGCAATATGAAAACAAGACATTAAATGCCTTTCTGGATCAAAACTCAACTATCAAAGCGCATGCAGACGTCTTCCCGGTCGGCAGGTCCTCCGCAACCATCGCCTCATCCTCGTCCTTTCAGCGGAGTCAGTCGCAGTTGCAGCTTCCTTTCGCATGCAGCCCATCCATTTAATAATAACAATATCGTAATTCAGGCAAGTCACTGACAGCAGCAGCAGCAGTAGCAGCCTTTACATGGGCGTAGCCAGCCCCTCCTCCGACGACTCCCCATCCTCCTCCTTTTGGGGGAACAAACGAGAGAAGCGTAGCGACATTTCAGTTTCAACGGCAACATTTCCGATGCTTGGCGCTTTGTTGCCGTTGTTATTGTTTCTCTCGGGCGCCAGTGGGTGGTGGTGGGTGGGTGGTCGGTAATGCTGGGCGACTGGTGGCGGCTCCTCCACAAGCGGGCGGAGAGGGGCCAAGCAGCCGTCAACAGGCATTCAATACATGCACACGTTTGTATGAGTGCTAAGTGGAAATAAAACACGCGCTTTTTCCGCACTGTATTATCTGCCGCTGGATCTGCGGATCTGTTCCTGGTGGTGATGATGGTGATGGTGGTGGTGGTGCTGCTGCTGCTGCAGCTGCTCATTCTGCTCCTGCTCCTGAAAAATGATGGATCCCCTTTCGGTGGTGCGAACAGCAACCACCGGGGTGTTGCATGCTGCACATTTTTTAGGCAGCCCACGAGGCGCAAAAAGCACAACTTTTCCGGGCCTATTTATAAAACAGAAACAAAACAATGTTGCCCAAATGCACAGAAAAATATTCGAATGGGAATTACTTCGTTAAAAAATTTTAAATAAATGTTATGTAATTAAAAAAAAAACCCTTATAAGTATGCTACATTATTGTAGTGAGTTTCTTAAATCATTAATTATATCATTATATATTCTATAATTGTATAAAGTGATGCTACCCGAAATTAAGTGAAAAAAGCCTTGTCTGCATTTTATACAATGTATTATGTAGGTACTTTGTGTGTAATCTTCATCAAGTCGAATGAAAATTACTCTAAAATAAAACTTCTGCAGTTTCAGTGTTCAACCTTCAACACTTTTATAACAAGTTGATTTCCCCGACAACTTTTGATGACAGAGGTTGCAACCTGCATTTTCATGGGCGTTTCAAAACCTTTTTGTAGAGTTTCAGCGAACCTTTGCAAGGATATAGAAAACAAGGGGCGACTCCAACTGGGTGCTGGCCTTTTGTGGTTTGCCTTTTATTGTTGTTTATGTTGTTGGTGCTCTGGCTGATGTTGCTGTTGCTCATTGCTGTTTGCTTCTATTTTCTTTTGCCGCATTTTTGTTCGCTTTTAATGATAACGCAACAGCATTGTGTATATGCCACCGCACGGCCCGTCATCCCTCGTGCCCCCCAATCCTCCTCTCATCCCTTGGCCAAAAGGCCTGATACCCTCTCGGCCACCTTTCGTCATCCGCTCAACCACAATAATGGTGGGCATCGGGCGGAGTTCAGGGGGTCACGAGAAGAGGAGTAGGCGGGAGTAGGAAGGTTGTTGGTGGGTATGTAGCACCACAACCACGCATGCCGCACTGCCAATGCATTAAATGCTAGTTGAGCCCAGTAGTGTGTGCAACGTCTGGCGAAGTAAATTCAATTGAATTTTGCACTCGTTTTCTGTTTTTCAGTTTTCCATTTTATTTGTAATTTTTCTTTTTTTTTTTTTTTTTGTTCATTTTTTTATTTTCATTTTTCTGCCATTTTCCGCACTTTTTTCTTCTCATTTTTGTTAAATGCCAGAGGCTCATATTGCACTGGGCTACGCCCTAATACCAACCACTACTGGGTGCCCATTCCATTCCACAAACAGGGCAGTGCAACAAACGCACCCCGGTTGATATTTTCTTGGTTGTTATCCTTCTCGCTGGCGGCGGGCGTGTGATTTGCTTGGTATCGACATTTTAATGATGTGCCCTGGGGCTGCTGCCACCGCATTGTTGGAGGACGCCTCGGCCGCCTTGTACTTTTGGCATTTGCGCGAAATGTCGAGACATTCCAATAGTCTGCCAAGAAGGAGAAGGAGCGGGATCGGCAGCGGGAGCAGGAGCGAAATCCGAAGCAGGAGCATAAGTGGGAGTGGCAATGGCAATGGCAGACTCTGGCAGCCTGGACATCACAAGCTTGCCCGAGGCTTGTACTTAAGTATACATAACCAACTGTTAATGCCGCCCAGCACAATGATTTGCTCAAAATGATTCCCGCCCCCTCCATTCAACTCGAGTTCGGGTTTGAATAATGCCAATGATTTGCCCACTGGAAATCAAATTTGAGCCGGCTAATAACTGGCATTTGCAGGCGGTCGTTTAGGGAAAGTGGCAAAGTATTTGCTTAATTACACAAATAAGTGTTGTTTATGGGCCTTTGGTTTGTGCAACAGGTAGCTAAGAGTTTACTTCTGTTTGGATACTAATATTATTGAAAACATTTAGAATTTGTTATAACATAAAATACTGTTTTAATAAAATTTAGTTATCACTTTATTCGTCCTTTGTTGCACATATTTAGACGCTTTGAAAAACCGGAAGACAAGCCAAAACATCCTATAAGCAACTCCCCGGAGCTATTGATGGACTGACCTGCACTGAACTCCACTTGGAACTTGAACACTAGGCGAAGGACAATAAAAGAAAATGCTGTACGAAACGATGTCACAGCAGGATATGGAAATGGATACGCTCGTATGCAGAAAAGGACATCGTACATCGCACATCCCACAGCTTAAAATGACAAATAAAATGTACTGCATTTCTTATGACCGACAAATTTTACGCTGTTGGCCCCCACATTATTTATAGGCATTTTAAACAGCGGGCAATGGCGCAATGGAAATGAATGCAAAAATATAAATAATACGAATCTACATCTGAGGGAGGGGAAGGACATTAAGTACACGCCACGTTGGCATGAAGTAGACGCATTTTAGACATTACCAGCAAATAAATATGAATGTACAGCAATAAGGCAGGCAAGGGGAATATAGACTCTGCTTACACGACGAAATTGACATTTTGCATTTAGTTATTCAGCTGGGTCTATTTTGATCTTTTTTTTTTTTTTTGTACCATTTTGCTGCCGCTGCTGGCAGCCACAATAAAATGAGAAGAAAAATTGCATAATAACCCCTTTGAAATCGTCGGATTATCCTTAAATATTTGTGTAAACATTGTAACAAATGCGCAGCTCCATTGTCAGCCGACTCGGGCCATGGATGCAGCCCAGGACCCTTCTCTGCCGCCATCTTCGCCTTCTTGAAAGCCATCCCCAATCCATTGACGTAGTCAAGGCAGTTTTTCCTCAACCCCTGTGCGTCGTCTGTCGTCAAATGCCTGAATGATGAGCAATAGACGGGTCCGGGTCTCCTGTCACAGTCGACAATGAGCAACTTTTTCCCGAAGGCGGAAGACGTGGCAAGGATACAAACGGTCGGCGAAGGCGTAGTAACCAACAATGGGACCAAGTGCTCCGCCGCTCCGAGGGGAAGCGTCTTGAAAAACCTGTCACACATATTGACAGTCGCTTTAGGATCGCTTAAATCAAGTCTGGGGTCGTGGGCATGGGTTGAGTTGTCGGGTTCTTGGTTAGCATATGCGTATCAGCATAAAGGATATTGTAATGATTATAATTCGCTTGTGCGGGTGAAGGGCAACTGCCACATCTGAAATAATTTTTATGTGTACTGATATGAAGTGGCTTGTCAGGCAGAATAATTAATTTTCCAGAGGATAAGGGAAACTTCAAAATAACACAACTAATCGTTTGATAAATGGAAAGAGATTAAAATATGTAAATACTTACATATATAAAATTGACATTCAAATATCATTAACTTTTATAAGAAGAAAATTGGTTTTCCGGCGTAAATCGGATAAAGAAATTTTTCTTTTGAGGGTATGACAGTGTAAAGTAAAAAGTGCAACCACTTTAGCGCTGTTCTTTCCGTTACACCAGAGTTTCTCTGTTTTTCTCGTCACTCCTCGTCCTTTTCCTTTTTTGTGCCGCCGAGTGTCCTAATCGAATCATCTCATTTAAGTGAATTAAAAAACATATAAAGGCGAGCGAAATTAAATCACGCAACTATTTTGCGCAACAAAGAGTACAATTAAACGCCCATCCAGCAGCAGCAAGGACAAAAAGGAGGCGCAGCGGTGTCTGGGCGCACAAAACGCCGCAAGTTTAATCGAATTTAACTACTCATAATGTGCAACAGACGTGGGCGAAAAAGGGTGGCTGTTTGAGGTGGAAAACTCCCAGAAGTGAGGCGTAAAGTTGGGCACTAATCTTATTAGGATCATCCCAGCCAGGCCACTCACGAATCCCAATTGGGTAGGTGAGCTGAAAAGCCAGCTGATGCCCCTCTCTCTTTCGCTTTACCGCTCTCTTTCTCTCTCTTTTGAACTCCAACTCGTACGTGAGCGTTTCAATTACCGCTCTGGAGTGCGAATGGGTTTTATTATTATTTACATACCTGTTGCAGCAGGGGCATTGTTTTGAATAAAAATTCCAATTTCCACACTTGTTCACGTTGTGCTCCTTGTTCGTTCGTGCTCGTTCGTGTTCGTTCGTGTTCGGCAGCAGCAGCATCCGCAATCTGACAAAGCGGCAAAACAGATGTCACCACTTCCGTCTCCCGCCTCGTCCTTTTCCTCTACCACTCCCACAGCCGGCGGAGAGTCCTTTGGCGCACTCCCTCTCTCTCGCTCTTTCCTGCGCAGACTTTTTGGTATGAGGTTCGCTGCGGTTTGAGTTCGAATGGTCTCTCGGTTGGAGTTCGAGTTGCAAGCTGGGCCTCGGGCAAGGAGTCTGATTTTTGTTGTTGTTGTTCTTTGGGGCTCCCAGGATAACGCTAGTAAGTGAGAGTGAGAGGGGCGACCCAAGACAGCTGGCAGATGTGGCCGTATCAGCAGCAAATAGTCATCGATTCATTATTCCGCCTCGTCAACGATGCAAATTTCCAAAGGCCTGAAAATATCATATGCTTGAATTAATAATATTCATAGAAGTACCAGCTCTTTGTAGTTTCCGAATCACTGGAGTTTAATGAAAACACACGCGTGTACGCACTTGAGCGTTAAATGCCGTAAATCGATCAAGGCGTATCCCTCTCTTTCTGTCGCTCGCTCGCTCAGGCTAACTGTAATTAACTGTAATCCTGGGTCGTTTACTTTAAAAGTCCCCCTTTTGTGGTCGCCAATAACACAAACTATGCATTATCCTTTTGGGTGGTAATCCTTTCGGAAGCTGTGTGTTGAGCGAACCTATTATTAGAGCCATAAATCAGCATGAAATGAGCAGCGGCAGCGGAGTTGGAGTTGTAAAATGGAGCCAAGCCCTGTCTCGCTCTCTCTTCCTCTCTCTCTCTCTCTCTGTGCGTAGAATAATGGGTAGTAAGAATAAGTTTGTACACGGAAAGAAAAGCAGCGACGATACGGTGATCAATTATATCACAGTTACAAGCACTTTGGCTAGAATAATTGTTTTACAAACGGAATAACATAAATCAACCAATTGTCGTTTTGCCAGCGTGTTTTAACAAAGAACATTTACATTAACATTTTTCACATTATAACATAACATGACCTGCGCATTTCATGATTCTGTTTTTTTCCGTGTAGCTAAGGCGGTGATTGCTTTTTGTTGTTCTTGGATAGATGACGTGAGCCAAAGGAAAAACGAAAAAAGCCAACGGGACGTACTAATAGTGTATAGTTGTAAAATTGTAGAGTACGCACGGGGAGAACGAGAAAATGCGAAGGGAGCCGCTGCCCCTTTTTTCTATGAACTGTTTAACACTTTCACGGTTTTCAGTCAACAATTTGTTGTGCCGGCAAATACCAATACATACCCAGGATTCGCTATAACACGCGCCTCGCGCATAAATTTGTGTGAATTTAATTTTAATTTCGCACTCGCATCCCGTTTCTTTTGTCGTACGCCACCAAGCACATTTTTACACACACTCCGCCAGGAACCGTTATTCTGCCTTGCACGCCCTTTGCCGTTTTCCGTCCCTCCTTCCGCTGCTGTTTCGCCGAAAGTCCCCACTCACAGATGCATGTTATTTACTTTTTAAATATTTTGAATGTTGAATCTTTTGATTTCTGAATGGCGGCGCTTAATTCGATTTAAAGTTTAGCTTAAACTTTCCACAAACGTTGCCGGGGCAATACAAATTAAGAGAAGAAACTAAATATCATCCCGAGATATTTTACTTTCGGATTTTTGTCGGGATTTTTTGATATTATGGGAAAATTTGTCTCGGCGCGCGCTACCGTCCCAGTGACTGTTAAACCCCAAATGAAAGCCCAAACGAATCCTGCGATGCTGCCATGGTATATTTTTAAACTGTTTTTCTTTATTAGTTTCCCCAATTGTATGAACTATTTTTGTATGCTGGCGATGGAGCGCTCTCGAACAAATGAGAGAGTACTGGTTTGAGAGAGCAGTTCTAAAGTAGTCATGTCGAACTCGTCACTCCCAACAGCGCCCCGTGAACGTCAACGGACTGAACCTGAACCAACGACTCGGACGGAAGTAATTTTCGTCCGCTAGGGGCGCTTTTGCTGTGGCTAACATAAATTAGCAGAATTTTAATTTTACGTATCCTTTTAATTTAGCGAACGCGAGAAAGCCACAAGAACGTTCACCCGAATTTTGCCTTCGCCAAAATCAGTTCATAACCCTGGGAAACTGGAAATTGTTTAGTTTAATATTTGTTATTAATAATTATTAGTTAGAGTTATAATAGATTTTACATGTTCTTAACCAGATTTTTTTCAGTGATATAAACAACATTGCTAAATGGCAACGACAGCTGTTTTCGCGGCGTTGCCAGACTAGTTCAGTTAATTCCCAGCGGCAGAAAACTTTTAGCATTTTCCTATTTAAAAACTTATTTTAGGTTGAATTAAAATGCCAGGCGACACGGATAACACCAGTGCGGACACCACCAATGACCACATCGACTTGTCGTTGTACCGGCAGTTGGTGAAACAGTTCATAGACATGGTAAGTATGGAAACAAATAAGCCGGCACTCGAGTTCGACTATAAGTCTATACAAATTTTAGCGTCGTTACTCCACGGCACTTTTTTGGGCGGAGAAGGTAGCCGTGTTGAGTGGGCAGGAACCCAGGGATGTATATTACCAGGCCCAGTGCATGTTTCTTCTTGGAGAGTACCACCGGGCTGCCCACACAATACAGCACCACAAGCTTGAGAAGAACTCACTGCCATGTTTTAATCTGCTCCTGGAAAGCCTCTATGCCGCCAAGGAGTTTACGGATGCGGCCAATGCCATCCAAAATGTGGAAGTGGAGGTGATGACTACGTCATTAATCAATCAACCCGTCGATGCGGGTAGTGGCTGCTACCTGGAAAGCAACAGCGTCTTTGGAGGAGAGGAGAACCATCGAAATGAGTTGCTTTCATCCATTTACCTTATGAAGGGCAAAGTCTACGAGGCCCTGGACAATCGTGGCATGGCCATGGACTTCTATGTGCAAGCCCTTCACAAATCCATCTACTGTTTTGAAGCTTTGGAAGCTCTGGTTCAGCACGAAATGCTGATGGCCTGGGAGGGTGAGTTTGGTGGTCTGTTTCTAAAACCTTATAATCAATATTATTCTTGCAGAGTACGAGTTGATGCACCACTTACCCTTAGCACAACAATCCACCGATACGGATGCCAAATTTATCCTAAAACTCTACGAATCTCGGTTAAAGAAGTACTACGAGCTGATATCGGCCCGCAATGCTGAGGAGATGTCGCCCATAGTAAATCCTGATATTCTTAAGTTTATCAAAGAATTCACGGCCCGAGTGCAGCAGACCGGCACCTCGGATGCCCAGATGCCCAAAGTCAGCGCCCTAAAGGTGCCACTTACACCCAGTCAGTTCATGTCGCCCGCCCAGAAGTAAGTCCTATCGATTTTTCCAATATTCTTTGCGCAGCTCATATATTTTTTTATTGTACAGAGTCCTGGAAGATCTCAAGGCGCCCACTTTTTCCCTGCAAACGAGTCTTTCCAAGGCATCGTCTCTTATTGATGCCTCTCATAGGTCCATGTTTGATTCCTTCAGCAGAAGGCGTTCAAGAGATCATGATACAGACACTTTGATTCCTTTAGGAGATTGCCTCAACCGAGTGCAACGTAGCACAGATCTTATGGCTTCAGAGGCAGAGAAGTGTTTCTACGATTGCGACTACAAACAGTGCCTGAAAATTCTAAATGAGTAAGAGCCAAAAATTTAACATGGATTTTAAGGAATCGAAATGATTATTTTACCTTACAGACTTCTAAAGGTTGATCCGTTCCACAACAACGCTTTGACCATTCAGATTGCCTGCTTGGTGGAGAACGGCGACTTCAACCGCCTGTTTTACGTAGCCCATAAGCTGGTGGATCGCTATCCGGATAAGGCGATCTCCTGGTACGCAGTGGGCTGTTACTATGACATGATTGGCAAGAGCGATCCCGCCCGGCGTTACCTTTCCAAGGCCACTGCTCTGGACCGACTTTACGGCCCCGCTTGGCTGGCTTATGGACATAGCTTCGCCAATGAAAACGAGCACGAGCAGGCGATGGCCGCTTACTTTAAGGCCACACAACTGATGCGCGGCTGTCATCTGCCATTGCTCTACATTGGAGTGGAATGTGGGCTGACCAAAAACCTTGAGCTGGCAGAGAAGTTTTTCCTACAGGCCATGAATATAGCTCCGCTTGATGTATATGTGCTCCATGAGCTGGGCGTTATTAAGTACGAATACGAGTTCTTCGACGGTGCAGCTACTATTTTCCAGTGTACAGTGGATATTGTAAAACAGCGCGCAAAAACAAACAACGAGGAGATCTCGGCTCGTTGGGAACCGCTCTTCATCAACTTGGGTCACTCGTTGCGCAAGGTTCACAAGTACGAGGAAGCACTGTACAACTTTCAATATGTAAGCTTTTGCTTTGAACCTTTTGCAATTTGGTTTTTCATTATTTGATATTATTAGGCGCTGCTTCTGAAGCCGCAGAATCCCACAACCTACACCTCCATTGGATTTATTCACGCCCTGCTGGGCAATCTAGACCCCGCCATCGAAGCCTTCCACAAGAGTTTGGCGCTCAACAGAGACTGCATAGTAACCTCAACCATTCTGAAGAGCTGCATCGAGGATCTCATGGATGACCCGACTACGATTGATGAGATCTGTAGCGCCGCCTTACGGGATGTGGCCAAAAACATCACGGCCAACAGTCGCCGGGTGATTAACTCGGACAAGTTCAATGGGATGAAGCTCAAGTTCGACGAGGAGGAGGAGTTCGCCAACTCCGATTCCAACATGGTGGTGGAAATGAGTTTTGATACCTAGAAGAAATTTATATTGACCTATATTAATCGGTAATAGTAACTCCGATCATTAGCCAGCCAAACATCTTCCGTGCACTTGAACTTAATTCGAAGATGGAGCAAACACAGATGTTTATGCTTGGATCTTTACTTTTCTGTTTTCTTGTCTGGCTAATGAGCGGGGTCTTGGGATTTTCAGCTCTGTTTTTCCCACCATCCATTGAAGTCGCCGCCATGTGAATCACATTTAGTATTTAAGAATGCGCAAAAGTATCATTTGAATCATAATTGTGCGGGCCAGCCAAGAGTCCTCAATCATTCTGTAACGTGTAAACCATAGTCGTAATTAAAGCTAGCTAAGTCTGTGCAAGGAACTAAAGTTGTAACCAAAAAGTAACCAAAAGAACTTGCTTCCCTAAACAGGCACGTAATCCACACAAAATCCCCAAAATCTGAACTTTTCAATGTCACTTGGGCTGATTTGTTTCGCGAGTCTTAGAGTTCCGTAGACATGAATTATTTAATTGTACCGCGTGTCTTTCCACTCCAAATAGCCGGCAAATTATTCCGGAATAACTTCACCCAGCAGGCGGTATAAATCCATAAAGCGAAGAGGTCGCCGCGATAGTGCTTATCGGTTATCGCTTTGGGGGCGAAAAATTACGTATAAGTGTCGTTAAACTTTGGATATGCAAACAAACTACTGATACACTTTATGGCAATAGCCAAGTAGACACACTGCCATGAATAACCGCTTAACGAGAGCGCTGGCCAAATATTTACCCCGGCCATAAAGCGTGTGACAATCCAAGAAGCCAACCAGCGATGACGATTGCAGCTCCGTCGAAGGTTTCCGCGTGGAAAACATGTTTATGCATATGAAAGCCACCGACACCGGCAAACTTTGATAAAGCCTCGGCGCCGAGATTATGCTGGAGAATATATAAATCCCGACCAGACCAGAACACGGCACAGTTCGAATCCAGCCATTCAGCCAACAGGCAATCCAAACCAAACCAAAGCGTTTCAAAGTCTAACAATGAATCAAAAAGTATTTCTAGTCCTAGCTTTGGCTTTAACCATCTGCCAGGCACTTCCTTTTGTATCCTACGATGACGTTGACGACACGGAGGTCATCGAGCTGCCTGGCAATTTAATCGATGAGATGCCACCCGTTCTTGGCAAGGACATCATTGATCTCACACCCCTCGGAACGGCGCTCTTTGGCAGACCCGATGAGGAGCAAACGGCCGCTCGGGTGGGCAACTTCAGTGCCGATGGGGATGAGATGAATCCTGAGGAACTGGGCAGCTACCTGGAGGGCGACATGCTGGTGCCCCAAACGGATCTGATCATGAAGAACGGCCTGCCCACCCAATCCTCCCGTTGGCCCAATGGCGTGGTGCCCTACGAGATTCGTGGCAACTTCAATGCCCAGGATATGGCCACCATCGAGAATGCCATTGCCGAGTACCATCGCAAGACCTGCATTCGATTTGTGAGGCGCAGCTCGGAGAGGGACTACATCTCCATTCGCAGCGATAACTCCGGCTGCTGGTCGTCCGTTGGACGAGTGGGTGGCAAGCAGGAGGTGAACCTGCAATCTCCCGGCTGCCTAAGTCGTCCTGGAACCGCCATGCACGAACTGATGCACGCTTTGGGCTTCCTGCACGAACAGAACCGCATGGAGCGCGATGGCTATGTGGCCATCCAGTACAACAACGTTCAGTCCTCGGCGAGGAACAACTTCGAGAAGGCCACTCGAACGGAGGCCTTTGGAGTGCCCTATGACTACGGCAGCGTGATGCACTACTCCAAGAATGCCTTCTCCATCAACGGACAGCCCACTATTTTGGCCATGGTAAGTAAAGTGGATTTATAGAGTTTCTAGATTCCCTTTTACTCGAATCCCTAACCAACAGCAAGCCAGTGGAGCCGAGAAAATGGGCCAGAGGGCTGGATTCTCTGACTTCGATATCCAGAAGCTGAACCGGATGTACGACTGTGGAACGGTCAATACTGCTCCGTTTTCTCCGGCTGCTCCTGCTCCAGGAGTTGCAGGAGGTGCCGCTGCTGGCAGCGGAAATCCCATTGTGGACAGCTTCATCGGCGGTCTGATCAGCGGATTGGGCTTGGGCGATGACAAGAAGGAGACTAGCTCTTAAAAAAAAGCAACTTGGCCGCAGAATCTACTAGCTCGTATGGATCACCCACGCTCGAAAATATTTAATGCATCCCATACACCAAACATCTAGCATTAATACTTGAATCTTTAGATATTACGATTAACTAATAAAATTTAGCATGAATTGAATACAGTTGTGGTACCAGTACTTGGCTATGAGGATGGGATATTGTGGACATCGGAAACATTGTCCCTAAATTTATAACTTAAATTTAAATTCATTTTCTTAGAGTATCGAACCACAAGTATTTTAAGGTATATAATTTTAAAATCGGTCGCCTTCCTGGATATACTCTATTTCCACTTTTGACAAAGCGGAATTTCGATATTTTATTATGGGTTGTATCATAAAAATGTCGAATGTAAAGGGCTTGGTAATTTGTATGCAATGACATTAAGACGCTTTATCAGCTTTTCAATATTTATTTAATTCAGAATGAGCTGAAAATTTATTTGAATGGTAACCAAAAGGGTGAAGCAGATGATTCTTAACGTGCAGGAAAATTCCAAACCAGGAAATCATGCATAGTCATTGAACTAGAAACCGAAAGAGGATAAAAGGCGATCCTGGTTGCTGATCCTTCGGAAGGTGTTCTACATATTTCGCTTGGCGGCCAGGAGACGGGACCTGGGAAGGCGACATTGGCTGATGCTGTGGAGGCGGTACTGCATCTCCGGCTGAGTGACCTTCTCGTAGAGCTTCTTCTTGGCCTCCTGGACGGTGTGGACGAGCACCCCGTCGCCGCCCTCGTCCATGTTGAAGGCCTCGCCCTCGGCGCACTCGGGACACTGCTGGGTGAGCACGATGTCGTTGAGATCGGTGGGCAGCTCGCAGATCTTCTCGATCTGCTTAACCACATAGTCGAAGCGTCCCTCCTCCTGGCGTTCCATCACATAAACGCTGGCCGTCAGCTCCTGAACCCGCACCTCGAGCAGCTTCAGGAACCGATTGACATTGACCAGGTTGACATGGGTGTGATCGCCCAGCAGCTTGGTCAACGGACTGGCATCAATGGAGCACATCTCGCAGACAGTTTCCACGCCCTGCAGCAGGTTTTCCAAGCGGGCATCATTACTCTCCCTCGCCTTGTGCAGCTCCATGTTGGATTCCTGCTTGTTGCGCACCTTGCCCTCCAAACTGGCGATCTGATCCAGTTGCTCCTGCAACGTATTCGAATTCTCCTTCTTCAAGGCCACTATATCTTCGAATAGGCGGTTCACGGAATTATTCAGTAAAGTGATGTGGTAGCTCATTTCGTTGGCATAATTGAAGAAGGAGTAGTAGAGGCTCTCCTGCTGCTGGAACTTTTCGATCACCTCGTCCACATTGTTGGAATCGGTGTACTGGAGTATCTTCTGCAGCACCGAGTTGTACAGATTGATCTTCTTGTTGTGCACCCTGCGGAATTCATCCCGTCGCTTGTACTCCTTGGGTTGCAAATCAGCTAGCACACGAGCCTTCGATTTGCAATTCAGGAAAGCGGTATTGTCTCCATCGGCAGCCACTTTCCTCATAATGCCCTGCATCTCCACACGCCGCAGTTCCCGCTCCTTGGCTTCTCTTTTGGCCAACATGTCGATCTTCTCGTACACATCAATGCAACCATCAAAGGTATTCAAGGCGTACTCAATCAAGTCTATGAGATACTTCTTATCGCTATTCAGCTTTTGCACCATCTTGGTGTACGAATCGTTGAAGAAAGTGCGGTGGTTCAGGATGCGAATGAGCTGTTCTCTCAGATCCGCGTTGTCTGCAGTGAAGCCACACTCCTGACGCACTCCCACCTCCAAGGAGTTCTCCAGAATGGTCATCCTCTTGCGTGCCCTCATAACATAAGCCTGATGCTGCTGATCCGGAATGGTTAGACGATTCAGGTTGTATATCTGCTTGTCCATGCGACTGGTCTCCTTTTCCATATTGGAAATGGATGTTTTCAGCGCGTTGATGTCCTGCGAGAGGTTCTCCTGGCACTCGACATGACAACGGATCAGTTCGAGCCACTTGTTGTTCTCCTTTTTGTGTGTAGTTCCACTTGCCACCCAGATTTGGGCCCTCAAATCGTTCTTCTCCTCCTCCAACTGGTCAATGGCCGTCTCATAACTGGCCTCGATGATCGTCTCCTTTCTGGTTTTGAGTTTGCTGGACAGGATCTTCTTGTATTCGCGCTGCCGCTTGCCCAGCTCCTTGTGCTTTAGCAGATATCCTTCCAGGAAGGCCACCTTGTCAAACTTCTTAATATCATCCATGGTAAGTGTCTAAAATAACTTAATGTGGATGGGTTTTATAGTAACGCCAAACAAGCAAGATATCCGTATTTAGGTTTTGGGTCCGCAAAGTATTAAATAAATTTTTGGTTCGCTCGATCAAAACGTTAACTAAGATGTGAGTTTTAATTCAAGGCATATATATTATATGTTCCAGAATTTAAAAGTGTGATTTCTGCTTCTCATGATAGGGTATTCCTCTACCTTTTGTCTACAAAGAGCTCTATGAATTATTAAAATGTTATCTTTCTGAACCAAAGAATAAAGCGCCCCTTCTCTTAATCTTCACAGATTTTTTATTTTTTATTTTTTTTTTTTTATTTTATAAATAAATGAATCTGCACTATTCGACAAAAAGAAAAGGAAATTATAATTGATTAATCACTGCTGAGAAATGCCGGAGCTTTCTAGGGCCTGGAAGATTTTAAAAGCGGACCAAACGTATGCGGCCCGTCTCAGATCGTTGCAAAGTTCAAACTTATGGGCCATATGCTTGATGCCAGCGGCCGCGGATTCCATGACGGTTTGCAGAGCTGAATCCACGATGTCCGCCTCCCTGGTGCACTCCCGTATCTTCGTAAGCTTCTTATTGGCCTTGATCTCGGGCTAAGGGATCACAAAGAAAGAGAAAAGATATGCATCCCATTAACTGTTTGGTAAAGTAAACCTACGTAATCATCGGAACATTGTTGCATTGACTCGTTGATCGAGTTGAGCAGCTCGGTAATTATTTGCGAGGTGGATTTCGAGTTCATTTTGCCGTAGGACACGTGGTTTATGTTCTTTAGGTACTCGAAGTAGGACACTGTTACACCACCCGCATTGCAATAGAGATCGGGCACCAGGAGCACACCCTTTTCCAAAAGTATCTTCTCGCCAGCAGGAGTTGTGGGTCCATTGGCGCCCTCCAGAATCAGTTTGGCCTTGATGTCATTGGCGTTCTCGCTGGTAATCACCTTTTGGGTGGCGCAGGGCATTAGGATATCGGTATCAGCCGTCAGCAGCTCCTCCTTCGACTCCTCAGCCTTGGAATATCCTTTGATGGTCTTCTTTTCTTCCACATACTCAAAGAGATCCTTTAAAACAGTTTGGCTTTTATAACTCATCAATGAGATGTAGATTTAAAGTATTACGTTAATATCAATACCATCCTTATTGTACAGCGAGACATCGAACTCCTTGATGCCGATGACCTTGGCACCCGCCTCGTGCACAAACTTGGAGGCAAAGGAGCCCACATTGCCGAAGCCCTGCACTATGACCCGCTTGTCCTCCCAGCCCGTCTTCCACTTAAGCAGCTCCATCCACTCCTTGTCCTGCAGGAAGAGATCCCCCCGCCTTCCAAACGCCTCTTCCCGTTGCCGAATGCCGGCCATTAATGCCGCCGATGTGAACCGGCTTTCCGGTGACAATTGCCGAGGAGTTGATGTCCTTGTAGCCGAAGGTCTTCTGGTATTGATCCACAATCCAGCTCATCTCACGCGGACCGGTGTTCACATCGGGAGCTGGGACATCGATTCCCGGTCCGATCATATTGCGCTTCAGCAGCTCCATTGTGTATCGCCTGGTGATCGTCTGCAGTTCATCCACGGTGTACTGCTTGGGATCGATGCACACTCCGCCCTTCGATCCGCCATAAGGCAGATTTACACAGGCGCACTTGAAGGTCATGATTGCGGCCAAGGCCTTCACCTCACTTTCATTAACATCCAGGGCATAACGTATTCCTAAGAATAATGTGGAAAAAATAATATAATTTCGTAGAAGAGTACACAAACTTTTTCCTCAAAGAGCCTCAATATTAAATATCTATTCCTGTACAATTTATTTATTAAACTGAAACGAGTTTATTCCATATATAATATTCTATACCATATTTTGTACCATAATAATCTAACCCTGAAAAATGTTTTTATAAAATCGAAAAGAGAATAGACTCCTGGTTAGGATTTTAATGGCTAAGAACACGAACTTTTCGATACTAAGAAATTGCAGTTTCTTTTATAAAATCGAAAAGAGAATAGACTTCCAGTTTCTTTTCTGAAAAGAAGGTTTGAGAACATACTTACCGCCTTTCAAAGGCAGGCGGTGGCGCACGTGATGCGAGCGATAGCCGCTGATGATCTCGTAGGTGCCGTTCTTACGCACAATAGGGAAGTTAACCTCCACCGAGGTGGAGACACTGCCGAGCATATTGAGGATCGCAGAGACTCGCGCCTGACGCTCCTCGGCCTTCATATGCGGATACTTCTCCATCTCCTTGATGAGCTCGGGCTCCATGGTCTGGGCGGCCTTGTGATAGTAGTAGAGCACCATGGCCGAGAACTCTGGGTCCTTGTCGGTCTCCACACTTTGCAATTTCTCTGGAATCTTGTGTTCGTTGCGAACTGAAACGAGCAAAGGACAGCATGACGGCATCCGATGGCGGATCCTTGCCAAGCTGCGAAGCATTGTGCAGCTTAAAAAAGTATCGTAGTAATTAGATACAAAATAGGCCTTAGGAGAATTTAGAAAATGTAACTGTGAAAAGAATATACTAACATATATTTGCAATCTGAAATACTGCCCACAGATAACTGAGATGGAATTTTTTGTATTTTCATATCGGTTTTTCTTTTATTGTTTTTATCATTAGCAATGTTAATGGTAGCTTTAATATTACAATGTACGCTCGTATAAATACAATATTTTAGAATTGCTCTACAGATGTATGTGTATCTATGTATCAATATAACGTTATATTTATGCGTGTAATACGTGGCTAAGCATCTAGGAGCTAGACTTAAGTAGTTAATAGCTATACACACACACACACACATACAAGGTAATAAACACTTCTTGAACTGTCGATTAACGCACTTAATGCACTAGGGAAACTACGGAGCCTAACTAGGGATAGCCTACATAAGTATACATAATAAAGTAGACGCTTAAACAAGAGTTCAGATCGGATATAGTGTACACATGATCGATCTCAACTATTGTGCCGTTTTACGTTTAAAACTTTTGGGATCGCACGGAAGCGCACAGAAGTACAGAAGGTGAAGGCTTGGAAGTTGGAAAACTTAGTTGTACCAATAGCACAGATTACAGGTTATACATAAATACTAGAGACCTACTTATATGCCATACGCATACGCGTACGCATCTTCATCGCTATATACATGCATGATTTTGAAATGTTCCTGGTGCCCCGTGCGGTTGAAATGATTATGTAAGTATAACAAAATGTTGCGCTCTAATATCACTTTGGGGACACATACTTTATGGCCTCTATCAAACGTTCGATCCTTTGCCGCAGACACATTTTACAGACTATGTGAGAACGAAGAAACATCATTGCACACATTGCACACAGAATTTCAAATTGAATTTAAATTGAATTTCAAATTTCTCCATTCAACTGGTTCTTCTCGATTTACGTTGCTATAGATCGGCTTACGACTAAATCTCTCTCTCAAGTATTTTAAATTAATTTCAAATTAATTTAAAAGTCTAATTTTTACACGATAATTACAAGCAAAACGGTTTTGACATGTTGGTGGGTAAGGGTGGTATTTTGTTTTACGGGAGTTTTGGGATTTATCGGGGACTTTGGGTGGGTGGTTTGGCCAACACTTTAATCTCGTAGCAAGATCGCAGGTTTGGGGACTGCTGCTTAAAGGCTAACATCACGCTTGGTAAACAATAACGCTCGAAAGTATTTTGCGGTTGGTTGAGTACAATCCGTGGCTGGGAGCAGCTCGCCGGCAACTGCTTTTGATTCAGGCAGCTTATCCGCTGCTCCGCCGCTAATCCACATCCTTCTTCTCGATCTTAAGATCATACTTAGCCACTAGCTCCTCGGGGGTGTGCCTGTAAACGAAGAGAATAAGTTAATAAGCAACTATATAAGTTAAAAATCAAGTATAATTTAAAATAACTTGACGAAACATTTCATAGAACTTTATTTTTATTTATATTCTTCTAAGTTAGTTTGTAATCATTTTGAAAACTTACCCAACTAGATTCTGGAGATCACAGACAAAGCGGTAGACATATCGCTTGCCAGCCGTCTTGTGGATAATGTTCTTGTCATAATAGTATCGCAGACCGCGACTCAGCTTCTCGTAATTCATCTTGGGTTTGTTTTTACGAACTCCCCATCGACGAGCCACCTGAGAAAAGAATATTAAAGTAAATAAAAAGATTCTTGGGTATATAAGTAGTATATATCCTTACCTCATCCGGATCGGTGAGCTTGAACTCCCAGCCATCGCCGGTCCACGAGATGAAGCTCTGGCACGTCTTGTCCAGCAGCAGTTCGAGCAGGAATTGCCACAGTTGAATGGGACCCGATCCCGTGAAGCACGGCACTCCGCCCTGTGTGCTCATGTACACCGTCGGATGCTGGTGGCCATGGGCGGCTCCCCACGTGTCCATCGTTGCCGCGGCCATTGTCTGGAAGGCCTGGCCATCGTAGGGACCGAAATCCGGCGGATAGCCATCATTGAAACGATTCCGGTGCGCGTAGTTCGCATAGAACTCCGTGCTGCTGTCCATGTAACCGTTTGTATTCACGGTGCTTCCACCGCCGCCACCACTCGCTCCTCCACTTCCACCGCTGGACTGCTGGCTCTGGTGATCCTGCACACTGTGGTAGTCGCTATCGTCGCCACCGCCACCACCGGAACTCCCACCGCCCGTCGGCCCGCTGCCACTCCCACCGCCGTACATGGCCAAGTGGGCGGGCAGGCCGTATATGCTGAGATCCGTGGGATCGCTCTGGCTATTGCTGCCGCCGTATCCAATGCCGCCTCCATTCTGACCGGTTCCGGGCTCCTCTTTTAGCTGGTGCTGATAGATCGCCGTCATGGCGGCCATGTAGTTAATGTTGTTATTGTTATTATTGTTGTTATTGCTGCCCGCATTGGCATTGTTGTTGTTGTTGTTGTTGCCGCTGTTGCTGCCGCTGTTGTTGCTGCTGTTCGTGTTGTTGCTGCTGCTGCTGGTGTTGTTGCTTTCGTTGTTGTTGTTGGCATTGTTGTTGTTCTGCTGAACAGCGGGCGGTAGCATGGAGTTGTTGCTGTTGTTGTTGTTGTTGCTGCTGGCAGTGCTGCTGCCATTGACAGTCGGCTGCTGCGATTGCTGCTGCTGCTGCTGTTGTTGCTGCTGTTGCTGTTGCTGCGGGGGCGGACTATTGTTGCTGCGGTCGTGTGTGTTGCTGGTGTTGTAGCCTGCAAGCGATATGGGAAAAAAGGGGAGGGTAATTGGATTAGATTCGATAGTGCAATGGATATGGGCATGGGAATCTGATAATCAGTAGCTGTTAATCCACTTAAAATATGACACAACAATTTAAGAAATCAATGCAGATCACTTGAAAAACTCATATCCACATTTTAGGAAACGAGGTTTTGAGTATCGTAAATTACTATCTTAAAGTTTTTATTGGTTTCCATTTAACCCGGAAAACAAAATAAATATGTAATAAATCATGGAAGCATAGGAGAACCTATATACAAATTTTTAAAAGTATTTTTGTGATAAATATTCTAAGAACCGTTAACGATTATTTTTATAACACACAAGAGACTGATGAAAACAAAAATTATTTCTAAATGTCAAACTTACACATGTGTTCTTACAAAAATCAGATTTAAAGCCTTTCATCATTAACTTAAAAACTATTTAATGGTAGAAAGCTACGAATTTCTCATGGGAAATTTAATTTGCGACGTCAAAAACCCGTAGATAGATTTTTTCAGACGCCAAAGCACATTGATTGCAGATTGTTCGCAATCTAATTAAATGATGTTCATAGAAATGGGGCGTCTCTCAATCGAGCGAAAGACTTCGAAAACCAATCAAAATCACAGCGCACACACATACCCCCCAACCCAGGCACACACAGATACGCACGCACACAAGCGAAGCAACCCCGATCTAATGGTGTGCACGCTACATTAATTGCGAATACAGCGAAATTTAACACATTTCGAAGTACATTCGTGTATCTGTGGGATACGAAAACCTGTTGGCACATACCCACACACACATGCGCAGCCCTGTTGCCGTCTCGTTCGCACAGAGCAAAGAAATAAAAAGCTTTCCCAGCGCTTCGTTTCGCTTCCCATTCGCTCGCAGATACAAAGATACAGCGACACAAAGATACAGACACTGCCCCCCGTTGGCTGGCCAAAGAGTTGGCTGCGCCTCTTTAGGTGCCGCCTCCGGAGAGCGCGAGAGTATCCGTCAGATAAATCTGGGGACGTCTCTTCTGGGGGCATCTTCTAGCCCTCAACAAGCCACTTATCACCAGGTCAATCTGCTACACCCGGAGAAAACAGGGCATACTATAATTAAATGCTAAGATAGGAATTTGAACTATAATTAACTTTGTTAATAGCTATTCACAGAGTTCTTTCTTGTAATTTGTTGAAAATAAAAAGAAATCAGCCCATATTATATTTGTTACATATTATTAAAGATATAAAGCTTTCAAATCCAAAAATTTAAAACCGCTTTAGTCCCATTATACTTTATTAATTAAATTGTTGTTCATTATAAAACAATACCTATTCATCGAGTAAGAATCGTCAAGAATAAACTAACCTTAACCAAAGTTTGTATAAAGTTTATTTTAACTAATGAACAAAAAATGCAGTTATAAATGAAATTATATACATACATCTCTGGAAATGGGAAATCTGATCAAACTATTTCTTTCTGTGTGCGGTTCCCCATTCCGTTTTGCCACCCCGACTTGTTGCGTGTCAAACACTTAAAAACAAATTACGAATTTAATTATGCCACCGCAGCGCATCTTCTTCTGGTTTGCTGCCTTTTCACACCCCAGCAATTGTAATTAAAAGCAGCGTTTTTGATGTCGGTAAATATTTGCTGACCTGCTGTACCTGAGCTAAAGAAGTTGACATCCGAGTCCGTGTAGTAGGCGTTGCCATCGCCCCCGAAGGGCGCCATGTCATTGAAGTACCCGAGTCCCAGCGAAGCGGCAGTGGAGCTGCTCAAAGCCCCCACCAGATGGTTCGCATTGCTCCCGGCGGCGAATCCTTGCGAGGAGGCGCTCGACGAGGAGCCACTCGAACTGGAGCCGGAGGAGGTGGTGGTGGTGCTGCCCGTACTGCCGCCGGATAAACGATGGTGGGGCAATGGGGCTCCATATGCAGCATGTTGCTGCGGCTGCGGCTGCTGTGGCTGCTGCTGGTTGGCATGCTGCTGCTGTTGCGGGTGTTGCAGGTGAAGCTGTTGTTGCTGCTGCTGCTGCTGTTGCTGTTGCATCGCATGGTGGTGCAGCGTGGTCTGCTGACCCAATTGGTGGTGCGGGTGATGACTGTGGTGGCCATGGTGATGGTGATGATGATGATGCTGAGCCAGGTGATAGCTGGGATAATTCTCATAGCTTTGCAGGACCATGTTGTAATTAGGTGCCGTGTGGCAATTGTTGTTGCTGCTGTTGTTGTTACTGTTGGTGGTAAAGTGATGCTGCTGCTGTTGCTGCTCCTTGTCGCTGTCCAAGGCGTTGGCGGCACTGATTATGCTGGCATTCACCAAAAACGCAGAGGGCGGCATTTCTTCGCTTCAAAATGATCGGTACTCAAAAACGGAAACTCCACCTCGCTGGTCAAAGTGCACGTCATTGACTCTAAACTAGGCAAATCTGCGGGATCAGCTCTCAATTGATTATATTATTTGTCCCCTTATGCTGGTGGTACTTGCAGTTGTATTAAAATTGATTTCACTTCACTTTGGGTATTTCGGTTTTTCGGGGGAATATTTTAATTTTTGCACTGTCAGACGAGTTGTTTTGTGGTTTATGATTTTTTTTTCGTTGTTGTGGGTTTTTCGATGCGGGTCCTAATCAATTGGATGGCCCGCTGGACAATTGATAAGTTTTAGTAGTATGAGGGCGTGATATTACTGCCACAAGATCCCTGCTTAGCTTGCGGGATTTTAATTAACTACGTTCGCACTTGCTGAGATATGTTTTATATTTGCGGCATTCGCTGTTCGCAACACCGTCGCGAATTCTTAGCACTTTTTGCGAATTAATGGCAATTAATTGTGAGCACTTCAAGATCGTCGCTCTGGCACGGGCGATAAATTAATGCGCATATCGTAACTATATGTACATTGTTTTCATTCCGCGCGACAATCAGTGTTTCAGTGTTGCTATTTCACTCCTTAAATTCGCGTCTTTATCGTTCTTATGTATTTTGCGCGTTCACTCCTTCGCACAGCGGGCGATAAAACAAAACGAACGTAACGTACGCGGCGTATGAGCGATTTAAGATCAAGTAGGGTCCAGTGGGTTGCGTTGGCACTCTAAATGGGCTAAAACACGAGAGCAAGCGACGTCAGCTCCGCCGCCTTCGACACTAGTTCATAAACTGAAGTTGCCGTGAAGTTGCACTCGGGTTGTTGCCTGTTCGTCGTCTCGCTCGGCTCTCGCGCTCCCTCTCTCTTTCCTTCCTCGGCGCCTCTCGCTCGCACTAGCGCGCGTTTGTGTGGGAGAGAGCACTTCGGGTGCGCTTCGGCTCGCCGAGTGCGACTCGCATTCCGAGATACAAATACGAATGTGCCAATGGCAAATAATAATAATCGAGTCGAGAATACTTTCACATGGGGGTTTTTCTCACACGCTCTCGCTCAATCAGCCATCCATCGACTGCTCTCTTAGTTAGTGGCAGCGACTAAAAAAAAACACAAAGCCACATTGACTAAAATTAAATGCCCGACTGCTGCGCATTTAAGGCGACATTTGCTCGGAAGTGCGCCCAAGTTGATTCCGTTGATTCTGCACATTTCACCCAGCCCCAAGAACAGAAGAGTTATTTTAACTTAACATCCACTATCGAAACTTTAATATAAACTTGATATGACTTTTTCGATAAGGAAATCGTGTAAAGTTAAATATTTGCACAGTGATTCATACAATTTTATCTATGGTAAATGTAGCACCCACAAATTCAGAATAGTTTTTGGTTGGAAAAAACTGGTACTTTGCAACGCAATTTAAAATTTGTAAATACATTTTTAATTTATTTTGATGCACATGTTTTCTGATGAAAAGGTTGAATATATTTTATAAATTCCGATTCCATCTCTTTTAAGAATAGGTTTAAAAGTCCATGTATCCTTTACAAGAGGGTCTTACCGAGTTGATCATTTTAGATATATTTTTTTTTGTACTGTAAAAGTACAGTTTTTGGTGGGACAAGCCTTTTGAGATCATCAACGCCAACTCACAAGGTCCGTCAAAATGGCCCACAGCAAATCAAAAGACAGAGAGCAACGACGAACGGAATAAAAAGATATAAAAGTATCTCGGCCCACTGGTCAGTTGGCTGGGCTCTTGGCGATCATTACCATGATGATCGAGTGGGCAGCACATCATCAGAAGGCCCAACACATCGCCAACGAAATGGATCTCACAGATACTCGCATAATGAGCCAAAGTGGGATTGGCTGCCGCCTCTCACAAACACACACTTGCTCGATGAGATCATGCCAAAAAAAAAACATGAAAATCCACAAAAAAAACAGAGCAGCAAGAAATTAAAAATTAGTTAACTATTCCAAACCGAAGGCGTACGTGTCTTCGACTTGGCTCCACATTCAGATACACATATGTATTATATAAATAGTGTTTTGTTTTGGCTAATGAACAAAAAAAAATGGTGGCCAACACGATGGAAACGTGTTTTGGGGCATTTTTTCCGCCGTCCGCCAGCCAATGACAATTTGCTGCGAATTTTCGGGCTAAAAACGTGAAATCCAGAATGACACGTTCCCACTGCGAAAAGATAGATCCATGGCTAACTAAGTGGATAATGGTATCGAACACCGTATAGAAGCCATAGCTAAGTATTCCGCTTATCAGTCTTCTGGGGCAGCTGCTCTTATCGGCGGGGGAATCGCTTGTTGATTCTTGGCCCACTGATAGCCATTGCAATGGCCTCAAGTGGCAGTCGTCGTTTTTCCAGGAAAACTCCAATGCACCTCCAGCTGATAAAGCACAAAAGTTCTGCGCTTTGGGGTTATGACACGAAGCAAAGTTGCCAATTTAACGGCATACATAATAACTACGTAGAAGGAAGCCCCGAAAAAAACCAACAAACAGCTGTTGACCATGTTTGGTTATGGCCACAAAAGGATCGCCTCACATTTTGGCCACTTAAGAATTCTTGCAGCACCATCATATTTATAATGTAAA